ACCTCGAAGACGATCGTAGCACACTCCCTGAGTCGGCCAGGCCACTGGCAGATACCTTCTTTTTGTGAGCATGTACTTCGTCCTCGTGCTTGCGCGTCTGGAAAGCAAGTGTCGGGGTACGATCATTCGATGATGCGTTCTGACGAACGACGACCCAAACTAGGAAAATCAGTGGACTACATATCCCTGGCATGGGTTCTTTTCGGCACCTACCACCGGAGGTTCGTGGCAGTAGAGCTGATGTCTTCTCTCGAAGCGTGTCCAGAATCTGCGGACATACCTTCTACATCCATCCCAGCACAGTGCGTTGCCGATACGCGCCTTACAATGGAGCAACCTTCCCCTGGAGTGCCGAGTGCCGGCTGCGCAATGTCAAATCACTGCTGTAACACGGTTTGGCGGTAATTGCGGGGAAGACATGGAACGACACTTCATGTGACGTGGGCAGGCAGTAGTATGCGATAACCATCGCCTCCAGCTGCCTGGCCTGAAGTGCCGCGAGTTGGCCGCGAGTCGGCATACGTCGATAACCCACGAAATGGACGTGCAGGCACCCCTCTTGATCTCCCGCGGATTGACGCCGCGGAGTTGGCGAGTAGTACCGCTGCCGTGAGATTCTGCAGTATCTGCAACCCGTGCGTGTCACCTCGTAATGTCCTAGGACAATCACGGTGTCACGCTTCTGACACGCCCTTGTGTGTGGCGACCCTGCAATACGGTGGGTACCGGCGTCGCGGGGGGTCCTTCCGTCGGACGCATTTGATGCAACGATCCTTGCGCTGTGCTTCTTGCGCAAGATGCCACTGGCACCTAAGAAGGCTGAGTTCCTGGAACGGTATGGTGGGCGTGCATAAATTCGGAATCTCGCCAGCACCATTCCCTCTCCACATCCCGGATCTTCCTTGTGCATTGTCCCGCGTCCACGCCCGCATAGTATGCCGTTGCCTCAGCGATCCGCCACGACGGCAACCGACGTCCAGCCATTCTATGGCTACGTAGACACCACTGAAGACGCTCTTCGACTCATCGAGGTACGTGTCACTCAGGCTCTTGCATATTTCAACAGACTCACACTTCCCCTATGCATTGGTTTCTTGACTGTACCTGCGTGTTCTATGCTGCCACCATAAGGCCGCTAGAAGGGGATTCTTACCTCGAGTCACTCGCCGCTTGAATGAGCTTGAACGCCGATCAATGATCAGGAGTGGTGCTGTCTTTGTCTTCAGTGTCGAGGAGAGCGGGATCAAACGTTGGACGGAGGGGTTAGCGTGGTCACAATCACGTATTTCTGGTAATTTCTTGGTAAGTCTATACTCTTGCACAATGAAGCGCAGCGCGTGCTCACGAAAGCGCCGGCATCAGATCTATAGAGAAGTCACCGACAGAAGCAGCCTTCGTGCTTCCCAGCAGTCGTCCGAGGTGACTGACATGACTCAAGGGAGTAATCCCGTCGATGGCCATGTCATGTTGAAGCCCAACGGACTCGTAAAGAAGGTGGGCAACGAGTACGCTCATGTGTAACCTTGTCGGCTGACGATGAATTAACAAGACAATAACGGTCAAAATCAACGGCTCTGACCACCACCTTATCTCGTACTTCACGCAGGACGACGTGCGCTCTGGGCGGTTGCACAGACCGACGAGTCGCCCCGATCTCATGGCGCTTAAGATACCGATGGAGCTTTTACAGTCCGCCAACTTCAGGTACCCATTGAAGCTGGAGACGCAATACACTACAGTCCCTTCGTATCTGTAAGTGGTTTGGTCTGGTTGTGCGGCCAATCTTATGCTGACGTCTTCGGGCACTGTGGTCAGGGATGATGCGGACAGCATTGATTATCAACGTAGGAACGCGCTGGGCCTGTCTTCTCTTCCGTCCAGAACGATGGCTCGGACGCCGCACCTAGGGGCGGGTCCCTCACCGCTGGAGATTTCGACTTTCTCACGCTCTCCAGTTGGTTCACCTACAAGCCCATATCTGGCACAGAGTAGACCATCGCCATTCGACGCAGTCTATCCCCGGCTTCACACCGACATTAGCCATCCCATATCGCCATCGGATTCCGCGCACACCGCCCATTCACCCTACAGCCCCGTCGACTCTCCCGTCATGGACGACCTGGCACCTCAGTCCTGGTCCCCTTCCTACTCTTGCGCGCCCGAAACGTACTCCATGTCAGGCGGGGCACCCGCGATGTACCAGGGACAGCTGCCGGTCGGCCACTTCGATTCGGCCCACCTGCCGAGGGACGAAACGTGGACACAGCACGCCCACAGCAGTATGCGTATGGAGCGCGGATACGAACACGACATTCACCGGCTCGACATCGCGGAACACCCAGAGTCGGCAGCTTGGTCTGCGGCTGCGATGTCGGGTTCCCATTACGCATCGGCCCCGCCGACCAGTGTGTCGATCAGTGCCCATTATCCTGCTGTACGTGGCCGAGACCATGTCCGCACCCGATCGGTCCCCCCCGTATGGTCATGGGGGCAAGACTCGGCTCATTCGCTCTACCAGCTCCCTCCAGTCTCTCACCCCATATACGCTTCGCATGGTGCGCGCCACTCGCCGAGTTGAGTTGGCCGCCATAGACCGTTTGTCTCTGCTACTTTCCACCGTTTATTTGCTGCACATGTATACCGTGACCTGAGTGTTTTTATTTTGATGAGCATCACGCACGATCCTACCAATGCTGATTCGGTTTTGTGAATGAACCAGCACCAAGTGTGCGTTCCCAGTGTCCAAACGTACTACGTCATAGCCGACCATGAGCGACTAGCCCTGGAACCGCAAGGGTTACAGAGAATGAATGGCGATATGCATTCCCATCTGATCTTGTCAGCCACACCTAAGCTACGCTATGCCCGCAGACCGCCTCTCGATGAATCCCCGTATGTTAGCATGCCCATCCAGGGTGCCGAAGAAACACCGCTTGGCCGGGTTCTCCCATAACACGACGTCCAGCTGCTTGGCGTAGTTGAGCACGTATTCATAATCTGCCTGGGAAGCGAACGCAGTGTATAAATATCCTGTAACCGAGAAGGTCAGCGTCCGCATGCAATAGTGCCTGCACATAAGCAACATGACTTGAGGAACCTTCTTGCGACTTCAGTCTGTTCTTCTCTAGTTCCCATAGGCGTATTTGATCCTGCACTGTTACTGGTAGGAGAGGTTTCTGCGGATGATGCGACTATCGTGAGATGCGGTCTGCGCAATCAGGATACCAGGAACGTACATTCTTGCGCATTTGTGGGTGTGCGTGTGTCGTCAAATAGCTAATAATCTGCAATACCGCATAACTGACGGCGTCCTTGGAATACGTAACAGACTCTCTGCTCACTTGATCCGCGGTAATACCATTCGCAAGGGCCTTCTTGACACTCTCACGAGTTATCGCACCGACGACGAGATTCGGGAATCGAGATTTCATATTCACGAAGAGGTTCAGCACGGCAATCTGCAGAGGATTGTCTATATCCAAATGAGACGGTTGCTCCAGGTGGGAATGTATAACACGCACCAGTGTATGCATACAGTCTGTAATTTGTCTCCAATACAATGAACCCTTGGTCATGAGAGCCGCCTCCTGTACTACGGGAGGTCGGCAGAGGAGGCGACGACGATGTTAGCGTTGTGGCTAGACGGGACGGACAGAAGCGATGGGCGGACGTCTAGACCAAATGAGATCCTGTCAATCGACAGATTGTACCAATGCTGAGATGGAAGGCTAACGGACATTGTGCTGCCAGATCAAGCCGTAATTACGCAAGTCCGCGAGCATAGCGCCCTGGGTGGGACTCAGATTCTCCGTTGAATATTCCTGCTCAGATAATCAATGATAGCCTTTCGGACACAGAAGAGACCATCGACACACCCGGCCAAGCTCCATCGTTGATAACATTAACAAGAAGCTCAAAACCTCCACCAGATCCATTTGTCGTTCCTATTCCGGCAAACAGAACGTGATGGGACCGTGGTTCTACGCAGAGAACCTCCTACCTCTGCCATATGAAGAAATTGCAGCAACAGCTCCCACAGTTGAGCGTGAGGATCATGCAACAGAAATTGGAAGCCAGACGATGTTATCTGCAGGACGCCGCCGCTATTGCGTATCTCAGCCTCTATGGCTCTCATTGGGCATTGACACGCACAACTCACTGCATTTTCGTCATTAGACCGCTTCGTTGCAAGAGAAACAGAACTTCCTGCGAAGGCTTCGTAGGATGTTGTCCTGTTCCGGAGGATACCATGTAGTGGAGAATGGTCTGAAGTCGAGCCTGTTAGACGGCTTCGCGAAACTTAGGGTGACCGAGGGCACACCTCCCAACGTTCGAGGGCATACGCATCCAATGTAGCGATGTCAGGAGACGGATGTTGCGGGTCGGGTTCCGCCGGTACTCCAAAGCTTCCTGTCGTCCCTCTGAAAGGATCAGCATCGGTGACGTCTTCATCGTCCTCGTGGGATCACGCGCTCACCCGCTAGTGATAGCTTGTCGTAGCGATGCTCGGAATGTGGGATTCAATGCAAGCTTCGTTGTTGAGTTTGGGATTATATGGAGACGTGCTAACGTGGAAAGGGAGTCACTGTAAGGCCTAATAAAAAGATCACTTCATAAAAGTGCGAGATAGGATATGCGAGTCATACTTTTTACCCTCATGTGTAACCCACGCCGACATTGTCGACATCGGTATGGCAGATTCGAGCCATAGAAGGTTCATGATTAGCTGGCGTTCCAGCGGTTGCACAAGACTAGCTCGCTGTAAGTAAGAGCGGCTCAGTGGGACGGAATACTGGCGCACCGGAAAATAGAGAGACACGCTGATGGCCTCTGATATAGCCTCGTCAGCGCGTTCTGTGACTGAGAGTGCATAAAAGCTAAGAGAATATGGGGACTCCATTCGCTCTGTGTGGCCGAGTCCGCACTGAGTTCGACGGAGGGCATGTCTCTCGCGATGGGGGTGTTGAGTGAGTCTGGCTCACTGTCCGCGTGTCCGGTATACTCTCACGACCCTGCCAACGTCCTCGATGTCCTTGACGTCGAGCGGTCGGTTGAGCCTAACTGACTGAACGGAGGAGGCCCCGGTCCGCGCTTGATCAAGGCTCCTCACCCAAAATAGGCAATTTACAGCCACCAGCACTCGCCAAGTTCCCACGGCATGATGCCACAGACGCGTCTGCCGCACACGCGTCGTCTCGCTCTCATCCTTTCCTCCTCCATCCACTTCTCTATACGATGTCAAACAATTCAGTGCACAACGCTGCACTAAACCGCAAGTATATTTAATTCTGTGCTTATATCAGTGGTTCACGGATCTTGACAGGCCAGACCGGATTGCTTCGGTCTCTGGTCTCTCAGGACCCTACCCTCGTTAACTCGCCCGACGTGGTAAAGGCCCATGGTGCTGCACGTATGTATTGAGCCCCCCCTGACTTGAGTGTTTTAGGATGGTCGAACGCCACTGCACTGGGCAGCCTCGTCGGGGGCCCTCGACATCGCACGGTATTTGATTGATCAAGGAGCAGATGTCGATCGTGCGGACAATAGCGGGTGGACTCCCCTACACATCGCGTGTAACGTTTCTGTTAGTGTCGCTGATTCTGTCCACTCATGACAGGAGTAGCTAGCGCAGGGCATGAAGAGGTTGTACGTGAACTATTGGGCGCCGGCGCGAATATCAACCGAAAGAATGACAAGGGCATCACACCGCTGTATGAATTGCACACCGCGTCTTACAGTGTCACTGACATTGGTTATTGGCAGGCACTATGCGGCTTCCAAGTCCCGAGTTGACGTATGACAGCTCGTTTTACCGAGCTAGTATTGTGTTTTACCCTGCCTCTTCAGATAGGCAAACTACTCATTTCCCGAGGAGCTGATGTGAGTCCAGCTTCGTTCCTCTCTGTCTTGGGATGAGGCCCGACAATGCTCATAGATCAATGCGCGAGACAAGGCAAACCAGCTACCACTGTGCGTCCTCATCTTGCTATCGTAGAACTGTATATCTATCATGAGATCCGAAGCCACCGTGCTGCTACCACAGGGTCGACTGGATTCATCAGTCTTCTGCTTAAGCCTCCCGAGGAGTCTCCCAAACCCCGGCTAAACACCGCTGACCGTGTGGGTGCGTCTCTTGTGCAGCTTGCCGCGAGAGTTCGCCCTCGATCTCGTTTAAATGGTGCTAGGTAACACGCCTCTTCACCTGGCCATGGAGTCAGCATACGCGGAAGCGGCCTGCCTCCTCATTGAGGCCGGCGCGGATCGCACTCGCGTAAGTAGTATGAAGTCAGTCTGTGCGATCCTCACGGTGCTGAGACGACACAACTATCGCTCCTGACAGGAGAACCTCGATGGCGAAATGCCGGAAGATCTCGAAGGTGTGGGCGGACAGGAACAGAGACGGGCAAAGGATTATGTCATTGAGCGCTGCGGGAAGCGGTCATAAGACGTCCACGGCAGCAAATCGACTCTGGGAAGAAGTTGTGCAATTGGGCTATGTAATCTGCAGGATGTCTTACATGCAATCGCGCGGAAGAAGTTGCGGCGGCAGAATCAAGTAACTCGGTGGCGGAGAAGAATCTGTCGGTATCTATATGATTCCGTAACTGACCTAGCCCGATGGCTGGCATCAAAATGAACATACAGGATGTGCCTTCTGGCCACTCCGAGAGCAGCTTTCATAAAGCAGGCACGACTAGGGGCATGCAAACTACTGATCATGATTGGCTGTCAATCACGGATGCCAATCACTCAGCATGACTAGTGGAAACAAACCACATAGGAGTGGGCGAACTGCCTACCAGGTGACAGAACAACGATTGCCTTACTCAAAGGCGCAAGGCGTATGCTTGACATTGTGCGCATCACTGAGGGATCCGAGTGGCGAATGGTACGTGCATTTCATAGATCGGCCTGCGCTTTTAGATACTAGCTCATCGCCCCCTAACTAGAATTCCCGACTGCGCCTGCACACCCTGGCACTGATGCTACAAGGGTGAGTATTCTCCACGATACAATCCCGCGTCTGACCGGCTCATACGCAGCAACGTAGCAACAGTCGTATTGCCGTCATTATTAACGCAAAACATGGCTACGTCTGACCTTCACACGGACTTCAGTCGGAACATTAAATAATGGCTACCCTCATAGAACTCCGCGATGTCTTCATGACCGCGGCACTCCTGCGCTTAGTGGGATCAGATGCACAGTGCGAGCAAGCCGTCATAAATCGACAGCGCCGAAATTCCCATGGATGAAGCGCTCTACTAGTACCTCAGGCCTTCCCTGCGTGCTGTATACTGGTCCAATAGCTGCTCCTAATTATCTGACGCTCGAATCGATGCTAACCTTCATTGTCCTACACGAAGACCAGCGCAAGAACCGGGAATTGCAGTTGCATAAATAGCCATCAGGTAGAGTATTCACCGGGACGGTAATGGCTCGTTGCTGCCGAGCTAAACACCTCGCGAAGGCAACGGGCATCTTGCTAGATCAGCCTGTGAGTTGTATTTTATTGTCAGATTGAACCAATATTTCACGACGTACAATACGCCATTGTCCCTTGCGGTCGTCGCAATATATGCCATGGTGTGTGTCAGTTTATCAGACCATCGCCACCGCAGTCCCTGAACCAGGCTAGTCTGCACCCCTGGTTGTTGTCTCTTATCGACGTCATTCACAGGGCGGCAACAATACTCACTGTCCGTGTCATGAATAATGTGACTACACATGGACACTGGGAGGACAAGTAGTGGCCTAGAATTGGACTTGCACTCGATCTCATGGTCGCGTACAGCAACGTGGCACTCATGCGGAGTCACGAACTGATTTATCTTTTGACGTAACCAAAGCGCGGTATTGGTGCAAACATGGCGGTGGGAGCCACAGGGCTTCGTGGAGAACTGGCGAGCATCACTTCATGTCGTAAAAGCTAGAAGGACTGACGGACCATCCTCAGAGACGGAGGCGCTACTCCCGGGCCCACTACAGCCCAGCGATATAATGCAGAGATATCTCGACCGCATGCTCAGAGTCTGAAACATGACACCCGAGATTCAAATGCAGTAATATTTATTCTCTTCGCGCCTGCACCGTGATGCGAGCTGTCGGGACGGTCGACGCCGATGAGTCAGTTAAACTCAGGCGCCGATGGAGTAAAAGGTGCGATCGCCCAGTTCCGTCCCATGGGGATTTATCGGTCTGTTCATGCATAGATCGACAATGGAGCCTTACCTGTCTGGGACGGTCATGTCTCGGAGAGTAGGGTCCAACTCCACGTCCCAGGCTTCCGCCAGATCACATCGCTCGCAACCTTGCTCGACGTTGTATGTTCATTCCCAAATGGGAGCGTGACTGTCCATATCCAAGCGAGATGGCCTACGTTACTCCTGCTGTGCCGGTGACGAGCGAAGCGCTTCATTAAGGGCAAGTGGCTATCGATTGCGCGCCTCAGAACAAGACTTGAAAAGTAGCGAACGTGGTCCAAGCGCGTACCTTGCATTAATCCGCAGAGGGAAGTTATGGTTGGGGGACGGGTTCCTCAGGCCTCAGGCCTTTATTATAACCCCTTGATATGCTTTATTTCCGCTAATCGCAGAGAAGCCTCTCACACACAGGGTCGCATGAACCAACCGGCGTGAATGAGCGAAGAGACAACAGCTTGGTCGCGAATCACAGCGCGCCCCGTAGCATTGCCGCGTGTTACACTGCTGCTGTGCACTTACTGAGCACTGCCCGGACTTCTGCTTTGACAACTTGAACACCTTCCCGATTTTGTGACCCTACTCGAATATATGAAGACATCTGTTCGCTCCATAGTCGTGCTGAATCACACCTTGAGCACTTAGACGAGTTTAACGGTGGCGTGCGCAGATGCATCACTGTATCCGTCGTGTGAAGCCTATATGTTGCTGATTTGAGGTACATTGGTTCGGTACATAGAACCGTGGTCATCGATCATTCTGTGTCGCATAAGGGCGAGACGATTACGGTACAGCCACGATTGAAACGCCTGTGCGCGTTGTCCATCGTTTACAATTCTACACGACCTCAGATCGACTTCCTTGCGGAAGTCCAGGACATGATTGCGGCATCAAATGTGTGGGCTCATCTATCCATTCTCCAGGGCCTCCAGGGCCGCCTCGTTAGCACCGGCCACGTCAAAACTTGCAACGTCATATAAATCACGTAGTTCCTCCGATCCGAGTCGGGGCACCAGCTGCGACTTGGGAGCTCAAACGTGGGGTATCATCATCGCAGCCTCAGGCTCTACGGAGAACTGGATCATAATCACATACGAAGTGGATTGGAAACCTGACAACAATTAAGTGCCAATGGATATTGGGAGGGGTCGGGCTTCGAGACGATGTCGAGCTGGACGTTGTCGTTGCGGATCGCTGACAACTTGAAGCCTATCATTGGTCTCGTCTGACCGCACTGTAGTAAAACGTAAGTTTTTTGGGACAAGATGGGCATGTCATACCCGATCCGAAATTACACCTTGCATCGCGTCTAGGATAGCGTTTTCGCGTATCAACATGTCACGCTGAGTCGCAGAGAATTAGTATGTAAGCGAGCATTGCGCAACGCGCTACGTTCGCGTATGCCAACTGCCGTGGCGCAAGGTTTGGTACCAAATGGAAAAGATGGTCCCGCCGCTTCTCAGCATTGAATAGCTGAGACCTGCCACTTGTCAGTCACATCTTCGACCGCGGCGAACCTAGACACACCTCACCCTCAGCGGTCCCGGGCCACACCTTATCTCTATTCCTCTTCTTAAGCGAACCTCTTGGGACTCAGAAGCCGAGCGATTCGTCATGGGTCACCGGGTGCCCACTGGATGTCCTTCATCGTCACTCGGGGCTCCGAGCAGCCGACAGCTTACGGCTTCGCTTCAACTTCAGGGACAGAATGAACGGGGGCCTCTCCGTATCAGGTTGTCCCACATGCAAGGATACCTCCATCTCTTCTACGACGTCACTTGACAGTTATGTCAGGTTCGCGAAACAAAGAGATGAAGGTTGTGCAGACACAACCCCAGTCCATTATTAGACAGCTGTGAATGTCTGGGAATCGCCTCAATATAAGAAACCCCATGATATAAACGTTGCGCCCTGCTGACTCGGATGCTGCAGTTTGCCGACGTCACTCACAAGAAGCCTAACCCTGCCTTCCTGGACATGGGTCTCCCTGCGGCCATCTCGGGTCAGCAGTTGGCAATTGAAATATCACTAGTGCCTTCAGCGGTAAACCCTACTCGTCGGCAAGAGGCGGTAGCTCCAGCTTCGCGTTCAGCAGCGTGCAACAATGGAGGTATTGAGGCAAATGGCTCACAAGCGGGACGGTCAAGCACATGGTCCGTGCTTTACTTCTGCGACTGAAGCGAACCCTGGTCACGTAGCATTCACCCCAGAGCCATATTATCCTCAAGAGGACTCACACGGCTTCAAAGGCCTGAAGGATCATGGTTAGTATGAAAAGTCAAGCTTCAATGAATCATGCACCAACGCGTTCGACTTCACCACCGCGCCTCCGACTTGGAGTCGATATGTTCAAAGCAGCGACAGCGCTGGTTTGAGCGTGGCGTCTTGTATGTGGCCGTGACGGGCACCTGCCACAGTGCCACCGACTCGGAGTGCGTACTGAGGCTTACTCAGGCTGCGCCAGTAGGGATCCTCAGAACCGATTCGGAAGGGCTCCACTATACTGTCAATCCTTTACCGATATCATAAGTATTGTGCGACTACAACCCCAGTACGAAAACTGCGTGTCAGTATCTTACACACCGCTTTCCAGATCTAGACGAGATACATGCCTTCGTTACTTCCGAATATTGTAGTAGTTGGCGGCCGAGTGCAGATTGAAGCATCGAAGAATTTACTCCATAACGTGCCCGGCACCGTTACAACTATCAAGCGCGCGCGCGTGGTCGCGGCAGCTCAGTTGCAACAAATGCGGACGCAGCCTGAGTTGGACCAACGGACAGTCGCAGTACTGGCGATTCAAGTGCTTTTCTCGTACTAGTAGGTGTGAGATGGTGCTAGATAACACATCATGGAGTCATGTTCGCGTGGAATGTCAGGTAAGCCTTTTCGACTGCAATGGAGACCTAGAGATGACAAAAACTTGGGTAGGCGGGGCGCGTTCCGATCGCGTCGAGTCGCCCGGTCAGTCTGAGGCGCACCACGTAAATGATCTTCTAGTGACTTTCTTCCGGCTTACTTACAGTCCGGTCACTGCTGGTCTGACCCATCGCTATTAGGGACGATGTTGAGTCCTCAATCTGTGCCATTCAAACGTACACGATTAGTATGCGATATGTGACATGACTTCGAAACACGCTTACTATGTAGCTGTATAGGTTTACGCGATCGACCGCCATTTGGATAAGATATACACTATATCGTTGTTCCTTGCTCGAGTGCATTGCAACCAGTCGTTGCCGGAAGGTACTTTGAACAAGTCGTACGCTAAAGCCGCGGGACGAAGTCCCAAACTCGTCCCCTGCTCGCCGCGGCTGTACCCAGCGCTGGACTCGCTATCATTACTGCTTACCCCACCAAAGACGTCCGGCGTTGGTGTGCTGTACCCGATGAATCAAACTTACTCCTCCCAATGCAGATTGCGATGACGCGACTCGCCGACAGTAACGGCTGTAGACAGCTGTGGATTTCCCGGCCAAAAGGGAAAGAATTACGCCGCCCCATGCTGGTGGAACAGTACGGGTGCAGTCACGGTCCTGAGCGCATGCATGGGACTCTTCTCAGTCATATTGATCGTGTTCACCCGAGCTACGCGGCTCCTGGAATGGAGATTTTGAGCCCCTCTGCCCTGGGTCTGTCACTGTATCATCGACCATCGACTGGATGTCAGTCTCTTGGGTACTGTTAGTTCACAAAGTTCTCCGTGGCATTTGAATCAGGCAGTGCTCTTGTCTTACCCTGGACCAGACCTACAGGGCCGGTGACACTTTCCCCCAGGACAAATCCTCGGACATAGGTGCTCCACGGTCTGGGGTCAACACTTGGGGTCGGCGACCGTGACAAGGCCCGTCGTCTCTGTGGCATGTTCTGGTCAAATGGTCTAATAACTGTCACATGAAATCTCGAGATGGTCACCACACGATGCCTGGATATGGGTACATATACTTAGAGCGGAGCCAACAATCCAATTATTCATACAAGGCGGACAGTGGATGCTCTGGACAGTCTATGGCGTGTCCGTTGGGTCCCAGTCCGTCACGAGCCCTAAGAGTTTATGTGAGCCCAAATTGTATTCGTAAACAGACGCTATAACCGAGAAGCTGAAACGCACTTTCATCAAGGCTGTCCAGGTGAGCCACTTCCTCCGATGTCAGCTCGAAATCATAGACATTCAGGTTTGACTTGATCCGGTGCGCGGACGAAGATTTAGGTAACGGTATGTATCCCTGGATGGATGTAGACAGTTAACATAGAGGTTATCTGACTAAATGGAGACTTCAAAGGCGTGCCTTCTGCAAAGAGTAACGCAAGAGTATTTGCGCAGGCTCCTTTTCATATTTCTGTGCCAGGCGGACAATCGACGGATGCTTGAAGCGATATCCGCGTACGAGGGGTGCCCAAGCCTATTATCGTGTTATGTGATGATTCGGTGTATGTCATGTAAGACCACTTACCTCCAATGCGATGTCGTGTTTCCTACACATGGCCACAATATCCGTACGGGTCATGAAAGGGTGAAGGTCGACCTGATGCGCTATGTCAGCGCACACGATGTTAAGATTACGGTTTCGCTGACCTGATTAATCACAGGGAGTTCTACGGTTGCATCCACCATCTCTTGCAAGTGTCTGACGCCGAAGTTGCTGACACCCACGCTGCGGACGAACCCGTCCTTCTTAGCTTCGAGAATCGCCCTCCAACTCTCCGCGCGCTTCTTCGGGCCGCCGATGGCAGAGTGCATCAGGTACAAGTCGATGTATCCCAGTCCGCACTCTTGAAGGGAGCGTGAAATGGTCCTTTTCGAGGTTGTATACCCGGAGTTGTTCTGCAACTTCGTAGTGAAAAAGACCTCAGAGCGAGGAACGCCAGAGGCAGCGCAGAAATCACGGATAGCCCGGCCACATTCAGCTTCGTTGTAGTACCACTCCGCGGAGTCCTGCGAGAGTCATCGGGGATCAGAGGCAAACGTCGTATTAGACGCAGTGATGGTGCAGCAGGTAACTCGGCATACGATGTGACGATATCCGGCCTGGACTACGATAAGCACGGGAGACACAGAAAGCAACACATCCACTGACCTCTAAAGCATGCTTCACAGCAGTGTAGGCCTCCCTGCCATCCATTTCGTACGTGCCTAACAATGCGAATGAGCCCCTCCTGAGTTCCCACCCGATATGAAGGATCATTGCAGACCGAAGCCCATGATGGGTATTTCTTTCCCGTCCCGCAGCTATAGGCGATGATTAGCAGGGTGTCCCCTGGACAGCATGTCTCTAGAATACGTACCTTCATTTTCGAATGCAGAGTCAATGTCATGATGAAACGTTTCGACGGTTCGTGGATTGCGCTCCGCCAACGCTGAAGAGTGCGGGAATACACTGACGATACCCTCAGCTTCGCGGTTAACAATGGAATCTGGAGTGACGGTGTGAGTAAGGACGATGGCAAGCGGAGCGGATGACCATTCCGGCACCCGTGCCCAGCGTGAGCTTATGCAGCAGGTGGATAGATAGTCCGGGCTTTGGGGCACCACTCTGTAGAGACAATTGCCATGCCGCTATGTACAAGTAAAGTACGAGAGTCGCCGGTGCAGTGACGTCCGACTCTTGAAGAACTCTGCTCGTCCCCGACAAGACGTGACACGCCCGGCGCCCCACCTTGATGGAACCCAGACATAATATAGGTCGACCAGTGCGGACCATCACATAGAACTTACCGTCGGGAATTTGCGCGGGGACCGCTTGACGAAAGGCTGTCGGGACTCGGTGCAATTGGAATCAGCTCAGCGTAAACAAGGCTGGCAACATACACTTGTGCAATGGTACAGTCTGAATATGGTACGCCGGAAGGCCACAGTTCGATTTTGGACGCGGCTCGGCGCTATCCGCACCGGGATAGACGCCGGCCACCCACCGACGAGTTCAACAAAGCTACAGTTCACATACTCTTTCCGTGATCCGGAGGGACTCGCTACAACTGCAACTCCTATTGAGATGATATTTTGAGGCATCAAGTGGCCTTGCAAGAAAATCGAAAATCGTCACTCTGAGTACGGTGGCGCAAACGGAGAATAAGCGCCCATCAAGTTCGAACGTAGCCGTAATAGATTATAGAGCTAATGAATATCTTAGCCCTCTGTTTTCGTACTAGCAGAAGCCCGTGCTACGCTACGGGAGCGTGTGCTTGCAAATCCAATCGTGCTATACATATAGTATGAGTTCGCAGAAATGCGGAATTGTTGCTCGAGTAGCTCGCTAACGTAGAACTTGAAGGCCACTCAGCCGCCTCCCTCCGGGAGTCGGCTTCGTGGCCATATTCATGGATTCCTCTGTATGAAAATACTTACCCGGTGCTCGTAGAGCTTTGTGCGGCAGCTGGTCAATGGCGCCTCGTTGTGCGCCCTCGTCGCCGCAATGCGCCCATCTTCATCATCCTTATCCTCTGCATCATGGAATTCGTTGAGCTCCTCCTCCTCCGCCTATCCCTCCCGGCATACTCGTTCAGCAACACGACATTCGTCGGTGAGAGCGCATCGCCATTCCCGAGTGGATGAAGTCCATTCGCCGCCACTTGTTCCATTGCGAGGCTGAACGCAGGGTCCGAGAACATCGCCAGGTCGAAGGGCACCATCGTCGGGCGCTTTCTCGTGTATTGCGTGCCATTCTGTGTGTTCTTCGCACTGCCACCACCCGCGTCGGGCTCGATCCCGAACGTGAGATCGTTCACCGTTGCTGCGAGGCGCGGTCGGTGTGTGTTGCTCGCGTCCCAGCCTTCCTAAGTCGCCGTCGCTGGTCTTTTTTTCTCAGCGCATGGGGTCCGAATTCGTTGGCCATGCGTGCGTGCCGGGCAGTTCTTCCCCGCCATCCGTTCGCTCCCGTCCGCACTCACCCTCCACCCGTCCTCTTTCTTGCTCGCCGCTATGCTCGCGCCCATGGTCTGCTCTTTGGCTGGGCTTGCATAGGGGACCCTTGCCCTGCGTGCTAGCGGTCGGCGGGTGTTGTGCTGCACGTTGCCGTGGGTTCACCGTCTACTCGCCCTCGCGCGTTCTTCCCTCACATATGAGTAGTCCGTTCGTCGGTCGCGTTTGCGTGCAGTGCATTCGCCCGGTGCGCCGCTCGCGGTCAATGTACGCATCGTGCTTCACATCGCCGTGCCCTGTGAGTGTAGTCAGTGCGCTCGCTCGCGTGCGTCTGCACTCACCTTTCCCCGATGTCTATCCTTACCTCTCGTGAACACAGTCCGTTCGTCGGCCACGTTTGCACACAGAGCATTGGCCTGCATGCTCGTGGTCGTCGTGCGTCTTGTGCCCGTGCTGTTCAAGTTTGTATTGCTGCACGTCATGCCCGCGAGCCCCTGACCGTCGTTGTGCATGTCGTGGCCCACTTGTCTGCCCGCTCGCATGCCTGCGTACGCGTTCGTCGGCCGCGTCTGCGTGCACAGGGTGTTCGCCCACCGCGCTCACGGGCGGCGGTGGACGTGTGCGCTGTTGCCTGCCGCCTGCCCGCTCTCCCGCCTGCCCGCTCTCCCGCCCGCTCGCTCTCCCGCCCGCTCGCTCTCCCGCCCGCTCGCTCTCCCGCCCGCTCGCTCTCCCGCCCGCTCGCTCTCCCGCCCGCTCGCTCTCCCGCCCATCCACTTGCTTGCACATCCGATTGCCCGTCCACGCGTGCCCACTTGCCCACCATCTCGCCCGCCTGCCCACTGGCTCCGCGTGCGTTCGTCGGCCGTGTCTGCGTGCTGGGCATTCGCCCGGTGCGCTCGCGGTCGGCGTGCGCATCGCGCTTCATGGCGCCACGGCGACTGCGCCCTGCGCCTGCCACATTCTCCCATCCGTCCGATTCCTTCGCTGATGCACCCGCGGTCCGGTCGTCGGCCGTGTTTATGTGCTGGGCTTATGCCCTGCGCGTTCACGATCAACGTGTGTTCTGCGTGCCCCGGCCTTGCCGACCATAGCCCACGCCCGTTCTTAGCCAGCTCGCTCGCGTGCAATAATGGTACTCACCTTCGCGTCTGTTGCTCACGCACTCGTCGGTCGCGTACGCATGCTGGGCACTTACCCTGCGTGCCCATCGTTCCGTCTCGGGCCTTCGATGAGCTTCACAGTGCCATTGTTGTTGCGCTCGTGGTGGTGCTCTTACACACCCGAGCCCGAGCCAGGCCGTCGTGGATGAATATTGAGGGGGTGGTGCCCACGGCGAGAGAGGGAGAGAGTGGCAGTGGCAGATTGGCATGAGGCAACGCCGCGAGCGATTCGACGGCCCGCACAGGATCAAGCATGCTTCCAAACTTAGAGGATTCGGCTAGGTCGAAGAGCGCAGCGAGTGTATGTACATGCCAGAGTACGTTCTAACAGTGGAGGAGTCAGGACAGTACTACTTTGAAACGACGCAAGGAGGTGGACGGCGCTCGGGCCTCGGGCATGGCCCGGAGGCCGAACCGCGTCCGTATTCGAACCGTGGCCTTCCGGCCGACCTTAGTCTGAATTGACTTTAGTTGCCGAAAGCAGCGCTGACTCTGTCATCAACCATTCAGTGGCGTGAGAGAATATGCCGGTTTCGGCGAGCAGGAACCTGTTGCGGACACAACGCAAGGCATTGTTCTTCAACTCTGCAACGAACGCCGTCCTGCCTCTACTTGACCTCTTCCACAACCTGAGGCACTGCATATCCACAACATTGCTGCATTGTGCGGAAGAATTCTACGCTTGCTTCATCTCTTATGGCGACCGTCGACGTGCCTTCGCGCGTATCCTCCGACAGCAGGCAGCAGGCTAGCGCTGCACGCGAGGTCATTGATGTCGATTCGTTTGACGACGACGAGGTCACAATCTTGGATGGCCCACTCCCGTACCGGCACAGTACAGGCTCAGTTCCTCATATCACTGGCGCCAGAGGGCCCTCAGGGTCGAGCTCCGCATCAGCCATCTTCGTGGAGAGTGATGATGAAGTAGAGGTTACACGGGTAGAGAATGCGCACGGTATGGATATTCATCTCGCTTGTTTTATCCTGTTGCAACAACTATGGTCAGTAGCACGCCGCCGATTCTTGTCTCCTCCACCGAGGCCTATCCAACCTCTATACATCCCGCCTGTTCCTCCTATTCCACGCAACCTCGCCGGCCACAGCTCATTCCCCGCTCGCCTTGGAAGACGAGAGGGTGCGCCGCCTCCCGCTATCCGTCCAATTGCGCGCCCCTTTCCTTTTGAGGCCCGTCTGGGCCAGCCGCTTGCGCGCGGCCACACCCCACCTGTTGATGTGCCACATCCTGCCCCAGCGGCTCGGTCTCATCACCAACCGGTTATGGGATTGGGTGGTGCCCTGATCGCTTTCAACAGGCAAAATTTCATAGCGGAAGTGAACAGACAGCGCGAGGAGGCCGTGCAACTTGAAGAGATGCGGCTCCCAGAGCGAGGTTGGCGCCGACTCCTTCCGGACATTGTCAATAACTGGTGGGACGGTCCAGAACCAGCGCCACAACGCCGTCTTCCAGGACAAGCCGAGATCTATCCCGGTGGTCTAATGCTCAATGAACCCATTAACGATCTCGAAGACCTCGAATTTATCCGAGATATACTAGACGACGACCGATTTGGAGTCCCTCGTGGTCCTCTTGCAGTGGTCGAACGGCCAAGAGAGCAACATTACAAGCCAAGCTACACCCATCCAGACAAACCTGTGCCTGGGTTTACATTCGACTTCGCCCCGTCGGAAGTGCCGTCTACTTCTGCGACATCGTCCTCCATTATCGTTCTGAATGACGATGGCGAGATCACCGAAGGTCCGAGCAGGACGTCGGCAAACTCGAGCGTGGTCGAGGCGTCTGCCAGTCTGGTCTGCGCACGTTGCAATGACCCCCTCTCTCTGACAGCCGAGAGTGCAGCCCCGGAAGAGGAGATTGCGAGGAGGAGGATCTGGGGGCTTCGGTGTGGCCATATGCTGGATGGCAAGTGCGTACAAGAGCTCATGAGCCCACCTGCGCCTCCTCCTCCTCCTCCTCCTCCTCCTCCCCCAGCAGATGTCCAGGAGGCGATGGATGATCCCAAGGGCAAGGGTAAGGCGCGGGACGTCTCTCATGCCGATATCGCCATGGACATCGGCGAGCCGGACCTGCCAGTATCTAGTACAGGCAAGAGACGAGGGGCAGGGAAAGAGGCGACCACGTCCAGGAAGGGCAAGCGGAAGGCGGCAGAGATGCTCCACCCAGAATCGGATCCGCCCCTAGCAGACGCACCGGGGCCGGTTAGCGCAGATGTTCCACCCGAAGACAACTCAATACGTTCTCGTCTACGCCCTCGACATCCCCGCCAGGCTTCGCACGCCGTGGCACACGAACCTATTGCGGAAAGTGTCCCTTCGCCGCTATCTCCTGCACGTCTCGTCGGTGCCTCGCCCCGGCGGCGAGGTCGTGGATCTTCATCCACAACGCGCGTTCGCGGGAAGGGGAAGGGGAAGGCCAAACCAACTATTGAAGCTGTACACCAGTGGACCTGCCCCGTGGCCGGTTGCGGTCACGTACACGCCAGCATTCGTGTAGATGGAGAGTGGAAGATGAATCCGCAGGAAGGAGCGATCAGTTTGTTCATCTAGTTTGTAGGTGAGCACGGTTGTTCCTAGCTGTCGTGCGTACTGATGCGACGCATCCTCTGTCTCCTAGGATGTATCATGGACGACAGTGGTTGGGATCAGTTTGACACTCGACGCATCATTTTGACACAATGAATATTGTCTTGCTCTCACCCGAAGGGGTACCGTGGTACGTCCGTCTGGATTTTACTTGAAGCCCTCTGGACCGCCGTCGTTCTGCCCCATATGCACGCTCTGCCAAGAGGTCGAGAGAGCTCCGTCTCAAAGCGCATGGCTGAACGCTTCTCAAGCCGTTCGAAGCCCGCGAAACGTGTTGACGAGAAGTCGTTCTCAGTTCAACGATAAAGGTAGGAAAGGCCTGCCTGGCTTAAGCATCGAGGCTTGCTTCGGATGTTTCGACCCTCGATCCTCAGGCTTAAGTCTCCCGACATCCTGGATTGTTTCTCGCACGAGGTGCTGTCTCCCATGCCCGCGGGACATATCGCATGCCACCTGGATGGCCACTGACATCCAGTGACAACCGTGTGGCTAGCCACTCATGAATGGGTTTCACGTCCCCTTGAATGGCACGCCTCGAAAGCCGCAACTGCCTTGCCTGTTCTATGGTTCTGTTGATAACGGGCAACGTCCTTGTTCCATCTGGATAGAGTTTACGGTAATTGCGACTGCCATCTGGTCTTATTTGCTCCCGGCGCGGCGCGCGTATCATCCCTTCCGTCAAAGAGGTCTTCTTTAAGGTGTGCCTGGGGGAGACTACGGCGCGCGAAGTTGGTTATTTTATGTCCTCTGTGTACATCGTGCATGAGTGTCTTGACGTCTCTATCGTGAGTTAGAAAGCAGGCACGAAATACCGACCACTTCAATGGATCTCGCAATCGGTTGGTCGGACTCCGAAGGCCTAGTGCGCACGGTTTGGATATGACTGGCTACTGTACATACTCTACAAGTTTCTTGCGGGTGACGTAGCGCGGAGTGCTGATACTGGCTGAAACCACGTTCGCATATGCTCTGGATCGATCGGCCTTTTCTCCAGCCGGAAGACAGTGTTCGCGAGCATACAGATATTTCGCTCTCGTCTCGTAGTCTTGGTGTGCCAGTACAAGTGCCCGTGGCGAGTCCGCCTGCACTGCAACCAGAACGACCCCGTCGTGAGTTAAGCGCGCGTCAGTTCGGCCACCGTGAAGCGACTTCCACGAATGGCAGCTACACCATCCTCGTTGTAACCACGATCTCGACCACGACCTCGGCACGGTGTATCCTCACTTATCAGCGAACGATGCGCGCACACGGACTCATGGTCACAACGCATGGGGCTCGTGTTGCCGGGCTAGGTTATTGGTCCCCATTGCCCACTGATTACATTCGTGACTTATCGTGGCGGCTCAAACCGCTCGAAATTTGAGCCTTCTCCGTCCTCCGCATTGCAAACGAGGCTGTCGATCCCTTAATGAAAGTCGCGTTGTTTGGGGCGGGCGCAGCTGCGATCCACATAACTGCCTCCTCGTTCCTGGCTTCCCCTCGCTCTCCTGCGACTGCTCGGGTGGCGTAGTAAACAGACATGGCTGGCTCTCCGGACGAACGCGCTCGCATACTCTGCCGAGAATACAAATGGAACAAGCTCGTACGTACTGTCCGCTGTGCTCTTCTGACGAAGAAGGTTATACATGTGTTGCTATGTAGCTGACCAAATGGGAATCGCTCCCCCGCCTTCGGCTGGAACCTCATCGCGACCGGTTCGACTGCTTGCTTTGTGGCTTCACGAATACACTTGGCCATACATGCCCGTGGTGTCTGAGTGCGTGCAAGTCTAGACCTCCAGCCGTCACTACCACCCGGCGGCGCATCAGTTGCCCCCAGCTCCTAAGCGATGCGCAACGGGTCCATATGAGGAGGATGGAAACGCACCCTACCATGGCGACCAGATCGACCTGTGCAGTGTCCAACCTGAGCGTACGCCCGGGATGTGAGACGACACGTGTTCGCGCCAGACCTCGCGCACCGACGCAGACGACGCGTCGACAGAAGCATCGCAAGGCGGGCGTTCACTCGACCGCCGATATAATGGCCACGATAACATATGTGAGGAAGCTGTTCATTCGAATCCGTGAATCGTGTACTGATGCACGTCCAGGATGTTGAAGTAGAGTTAAAGCCGTTCTTGAAAGAACTCATCAACATGTATGACGACGATCTCACGAATCCCTCTATGCTCAATGCAAGCACCAAGCCCTCTACGGAAGCTCGACGAGACACCAAGGGAGGGGGCACCAGGAGCGTCGATGCATCGTCAACGTCGACTTCGTCTCAGCGGACGCTGCGCAGGAAACAAAGGATGGCCATGCTGCGCAGACGCTCGTCGCGCTCGCTGCGAAAGCGGTCCATGCCGTTGCTCTCCAAGACATCCTCGAAGCGTATGGACGACTGCGATTCGGCGGTGGTCACGGTGCAGGCGGTGCTGCCCTCTCGGTCCCCCTCGCCTTCGCCGGTCCCCTTTGTACCACTGGGCCACCCAGAGCGTCCCCTCTACACCGCGATCCGGAGGAACATGTGTCCCCCCGGACTCCCACCCACACCCGGGTCTGACGTAGAGCACGCGTCTCTGCACGCCGTCTTGCTGGAGCGCGGCGCGAAATCCCTCGACATCCCTCGCCGGCCCGCGACCCTCGGGCGCTCGCATCGACTTCGCCCACCTATCCCGGCGTCAGACTGGACGGCTGGGTGCTCTATCACGGGGGAAACGGAGCTGCGTATGGACCTCGCGCGGTGCCGCTCTGCAGAGGTTGTATTGCAGAGGCCGCGCGAGGCGAACTTAGGAGGCGTGGTCAGGGAGAAGGTCAAGAATCTGGGGAAGGGACTGAGAGAACTCTTGTTGAAGCGAGCATGACTGCGCGTTTTCAGCCATGACCCATGTGTGCTCCATGAAGTGTGTGCCGGATCTTCCTGTCATTGTTCGCCTTTCACTGATGCAGCCGCATTCACCCAGAAGCTCCCTACGTCATCCATTTTCGCTGTTCGTCTTCGACGATCGCACGGTGCGGTGGTAGTCTTCGAGGCCTTCGCGGGATCACTCAGCTAGTTCCGGAGGATATGCTACCCTCAGCCACCGCGACCCGTTGAAGCCCGCTGTAACGCCACAAAGCCTCTGGTGCCGTGTCTATGCCATATGCATACCCTCGCAATGACCAATATACCAATCACGACTGCACGAAGAGAACAGTCGGCCCCTGTGGCCGGACCTAGATATTCTTGCTTATGACGTCCCACGTATACATGCTCCCCCATCCTAGTAATGCACCTGCTTATTCCTGCTATCTCGCCAACCACGATTGCGTGCTCGAGGAACCGGGGCGCGCTCTAAATGCATAGGTACGTAGGATTGTCTGGGTTGAGCTGGTATGCATGTCGTCACGTCTATTTGGGTATCTCGTGTATGCGGTAAGTGCTCTTCCAGTCATTCAGTTGCCTCAGTCTCTCGTTCTTGGGCGTCTGGCCTCTGCGAAGCCCACAACGCTCCTTTGTGTTCCTCTTCAGAGCGCAGAGATCCTACGTACTCGCAGCACCATACCAGCGCAGGGAGCGATGTAGACATCCATGGTTGCGGCGGCCGGGATGGCGCGCAGATGTCGCTCTATGGCTGGCAGTCACCCCGACTTGTCATGTGTCCCCCACTCGGGGTAGGTTCTGTTCTCTGCTGTTCTTGTCGAAGTGCCTCCTAGACGCTCCTATCAGCTGTCGTTCACTTTTGTTCGCCATCAATCATCGCACCTTCTGCTTCCGACAACGAGCGTGGAACGGATCCAGCGTCTGCGTTGCAGCTGACAATTTGTCAACAGCCTCCACGAAATTGAGAACGATGGAGACAACATGCTCCTTAGTCTCATACCAAGACCCTCCACACGGCGCTGGTGTGGAGGGGGTTATGTCGAACCTAACATGCTCCTGCTGTTTCTGAGACGTACTGAATGTGGTCTTAGAGACGTCTAGCCCAAGTGACTTGTCTAACGTCACCTCATGCCGCTCAAGTTCATCTCCGCACAAACGGAAGACAAGAATGCGCACTCTGAGACCGACCTTGGGGATGGTTTCTGCTGAACGTTCCAGTGAGAAGGGCGGACGATGCTGGGTAGACAGCCTGAACGTAATATCGTCTTTTTGTACGTTTGATCAGGCTGCTTGCGAAATGCTGATTGATGCGATATGCGAGTCGAATGCGAGTGGGTCGAGGCCGACGACCGCGACGCTCACCGTGGCGAGCAGCATCCCGCTGGATGGTGAGTGACGGTTGAGCGATGCTCGCCAACAGTTGTGGCGGGGCGACACAGTACTTAGCGCTCTGGTAACGCTAAAGATGCGGGCCTAAGGCCATCATCCAAAACCCATCTCGAACATCCTCGAGCGCATGCCTTCATGATCGTCTCGGATTCACCCAAGATTCGCCGTACATTGGCGTCTGCATCTCAGTCTCTCTGCTTCCAATGACGAAAGACTTTCCTTATCGGACGGCATATCAGCAGAGACTAGAGCCGTAAGGAGGACTCGGACACTCTCGGAGCGGGGCAGCGCAGTGAGCATGACCATTGCGCAGATGGAAAGGCGACACATCATCCTCCCGTTACGTCTACTCAGAGTACATTTCTGTTCCCGGAGATCACAGGTGCGCGGTCGAAAGCGACCGGTCTGCACCAATTTTCTCTGCACAATCTCGAGATTGGGAGCGACTGTCCTCGGAATCCCCGTGCGTGCGGAGGAGCCGAGACAAGATAAAGCGGGAGTGCGGATGGCCTGCCTCCCAGTTTCGCCCACCCTCCTCCTCGCGACACCCACCTTGCCCACGGCGTGTACTGCTCGTAGTGCGTATGCCCCGAAACGACGATGAGAGACTCGATGAGACCACGGTGCTCCTGCCCGCGAAGGAGCCCAAGCCCATGACGCCGCTCCCCAAGCTGCAGATCGGGATCCTCCTCCTCGTCCAGCTCGCGGAGCCCATCACATCCCAATGCATATACCCGTTCATCAACCAGGTGAGTATTGACCGTGAACAGCGCCAACTATGCACGTCTAAACCAACACCATGTGTGGTAGCTTGTGAGCGAACTGGACATTACGGGTGGGGATGAGAGGAAGGTTGGATACTATGCCGGGTTAATTGTGAGTTCGCCTTTGCAATCGGGAAAGCTATGTGTGCTCATGGACTTTTGGGGTGTAGGAATCCGTCTTCTTCCTGACCGAGGCAATGTTCGTCCTTCAATGGTCGCGCATCTCAGACTACATTGGGCGCAAGCCTGTCCTTCTGACAGGCATGGCCGGCCTCTGCGTCTCGATGATATGCTTCGGGCTTTCCAGAACGTTCCTGCACTTGATCCTCAGGTATATGCATCTGTGCTACCTTCATGTGCATTCAGCGCTGAATTTCCGCATCTTAGTCGTTGCTTGGTCGGAGCACTCAATGGCAACATCGGTGTCATGAAGAGCATGATGGGAGGTACGTCATAGCACTCCAGCGCTATGTAGCGGAAACTCACTCCTGCATAGAATTGACCGATTCGACCAACATGGCGCAGGGCTTCTCCCTCATGCCCGTTGTGTGGTCCGCTGGGTCAACCTTGGGGTACGCGAAATCTACACGGTGTTACTTCCTCGCTGACGCTCCATCCCTCAGTCCCATGATCGGTGGGCAACTTGCAAAACCCCACGACAGATGGCCGAACGTCTTCACGGCTCGCATATGGTCGCAGTATCCCTACCTGCTCCCTTGTGCCGTCTCCTCTGCCTTTTCCGCATTCACGTTCGTGATTGTCTCTGTATTCCTGAAGGAAGTGAGTTTTGTTTTCACATCCTCTATGCGTCGATCCTCAGTACTAATTTTGACTTTCAGACAGTGCAGCGGAGGCAAATCAAAAAGAAATCCGTCCGCATCCTTGTACAAGCCGAAGAAGACCCTCTCTTGCGTGAAGAGTCACTCGAAAACCCCGCCACATTGCGCTCGCTCATGGTCCGCCCCGTGCTTCTCTCGGTCGCGAACTATGGCACGCTCTGCCTGCTCGACATCGCCTACCGCGCGATCCAGCCGCTCTTCCTCAGCACGCCCATCGCTCTCGGCGGTCTCGGCTTCACGCCCGCCACAATCGGACTCGTGCTTGGAATCTACGGGCTTATGAACGGCTCCCTGCAGGCCATGTTCTTCGCGCGCGTCGTCCGGCGGTGGGGCCCCAAACGCGTCTTCATGGCGGGCATGGCGTGTTTCGTGCCGCTGTTTGGGATGTTCCCCGTGATCAACGCGCTCGCGCGGGCGAACGGCGTGACGGGTATCGTGTGGGCCGCAATCGTCCTGCAGCTCGCGATCTCGGTGCTCATGGACATGTCCTTCGGTGCGTCCTGTTCCACTGTCTCACGACATTCTCGGAAATTGACACTCTGCCGCGGCCTAGGCTGCTCCTTCATGTTCGTGACGACTTCCGCCCCGAACAGACGGTCGCTGGGCGCGACGAACGGCGTCGCGCAGGTCGTCGCGGCGCTCCTGCGTGCAGCAGGCCCCGCGCCTGCGACGTCGCTCTTCGCGCTCTCCCTCGAGCACAACTGGCTTGGCGGCGGCGCAGTGTACGCCGTGCTCATGTTGCTGTCGTGTTTGTTGTGGCTTGTGGCGCTTCCGCTGCCATATGAGTCCTGGTCGAAGGACTGGTGATTGGGTGTAGGAGGTTGCTGCGGACGCGTGTGTGTGTGATGGGTGGGGGGGAGGGAGAATCGGTTCAAAACTCAGGAGGGTTGGATGATGACGGGGTGGTCTGGCGCCCACGATGAGCTAACGTCGTTTTCACGTCTGTTGTTTCCTTGCCGCAGCTATCGATGACTTATAGATTTCACGAACACTGGTCCATACGTGTATTATACTAGACTGCATCACTAGGAATTGACTCGGTTTGATACGTGTTGCAAGGATTGTACGCTGCTCTGCCATAGGCGGACCAACTATGACGATGAGTTTGAAATACGTATTGCAGCAGAGCGCAGCGACCGTGAGGAGACCAAGGTTGGAGATGGTGTTAGCCAGCACCGGCGGCATGGATGCGACCTCGTGAGCGACATGCTGATTGGCACAGCAGAGCCCCTCCACTGACTTCTTCGAGGCATTGGCTGTAGGGGATGGATTTCTGCCCTAGCTGAAGTGGGTGGTACACCGGTAGCAGGGGTCTCCAGTCGGTCACCAACCGAATGCCTGCCCACCGCGCAGACGAGGTTAGCTTGACTAGCCCCGCTCATCAATTGAATTTTTGTGCACAGTCTGCTCTGCCTTCCTCGCCGACGAACGTGCGAGAGCAACCACGATGGAATCGGGTGCGCGAAGATCGGCATGTCTGTCGGGAACTTGCGCCTTATCGACCTGTTATGGTTTGCAGCACCAGGCGGTTGGTCGTGAATAGGGTGCGACTTAGGTACGTTCAAACGAAGGGAAGGCTTACCAGCAGAACAGCATTCAAGCTCGGCGAACACAGGGACCATATGAGACCATCTTCGGCAGGCCAACAATCGCGCTCACGCTGATGATACTTGCATCCGGCCGTGGCGGCGATTCCATGCATGTAGCACTCCTCCAACGGTGATCTCGATGTCATCGGCTTCCCTCGCAAGCCGCGCTTCTTGAAAACTGAATCTTGACACTGGAACGTCGCGCATGGAAGCCAGTGTGAGTTCATTCCAACGTGCCTGGCGCGGCCACGCCGACTCGGACTCGGAGCTCGATCTCTTCCCCGCCCTGCCAAACGCCTTTGGTTAGTAGAATGGCTAGCTCAGCCACCGGGACATTAGCGGGGTGGGGCGGACTAACGATGAGAGACCTTGAGAGGCCCACTGTAGGAGCGTTGTGACCCCGCGATCCTTCGAAAGGGGTCCCGCGGCCCTGCAATAACTCAGCGCTCAGCGCTCAGATCCCGCCGACCCCTGGAATGCATCTTGTCTCCCAGATGTCTGCGCTGTCGTCAGTGCTTCGGTCATGCTGATGACGACGTAACGGCACACCGATCCGCGGACAAACACTATGCGATGCGGTGCGCATGTCGCGGTCCTGGTATGTACGGCACGTCGTTCCAAACCGTGTGGAGGCCAAGTAGAGGCTACTCCAAACCGCCTGCGTCGTAACGTTGTCATTGCGGGCCGGCCGCGAAGGTCGGGGAACCAGGCACGGCGGGAGCTTGTTTGTGATCTTGCGACGGCGGAACGAGTGAGACGGTGTGTTAGCAGGCCGTACATGCTCGCATTGGGGCTTGCCTTCGTCCTTCTGTGTCCCCCCGCCCCTGGAGGATAACGGCAATCCTGATGTCTTCGCGTTCTATCTGTACGAGTTTAAACCAGATGTGAATATGCGAATGCCGGCGGTAGGTGGGACAGTACCACTGAGGGATCGCACAGCCTGAGGTATCTAATCGCGTCCGAGTCGACGGTCGTATGAGCTTGATCCTAGCTATTAGACACTTCACATTGTCAACGAACCTTCCTTCGCGAAGGCGGAGGTGTCGCTGTCCGTGAGAAACGATCTGTGGACGATCATTCTGCGAGGAGTGCGATGTTCGAGTTACACTGGCAGAACGTCGTCGACTCCGCCAGCTTCGTTCTTTCCTACGTACGGTGCGGTTTTCGATAGTGTCCAACGCATCAGGGGAGGAAATACACGAACCCTGAGGAAGTGGAATTTGAGACAGTCACGCTTGTAACGCGACGGAGTCGATTGGGTCGCCGACTCAATCACACGTAGCGATGAAATTCCAGGCGGCGGCGAAACGGAGAGAGGGCAGGAGCGAAGGCCTGCAAAGAATATTCACCACGCAAAACGCCGATCAGGGATAACCTGTGCTGAACATCCGGATCTCGGAATGCACGTCCGAGGTGGAATGGGGATTCAGCGTCGCATTACTAGGGCTCTGGTTATTCAGCGAGTGGAACGACGCGGAGACCACAAGAGATACGAACCGCTGACTTGGCTCGCATGCGCGAAGCAACCCCTGTAGTAGTGGTGTAGCACACCTGAGCGCAGGGTACATCGCTGAGCACGCTGCAACACCATTGCTGAGAGGCCCTGGCATCAACCCCGTCGTGCGATATATCCTTACGTCCGAAGACGCGCACATCGGTCTTGAGTCCTTTGTGTTACACGAGTGTATACACGGCAGCACGCCCCTGCAAAGCCGTCCCTTGAGCCTCACAATACCTGCAGTTTGCAGCGACCGGATGGAGGGACACCCAACTTAGACATGCGGGCGAGCAGCACCCAGCAGCCATGCACTGGAGATGTGTGTGTGAAGTACAGTCAATATGCGCCTACAGTGCACGATGTGCAGATGCATGCGCGCAGACAGCGATGTCGAGCTGACGAACGGTAAGTATGCGTGTCGATTCCAAGGCGAGCTGCACTTACCTGCGGTCTTTCATGCCCCTCGCACTGCTCGACAATCCAACGTTTTCCTGCGGATCCTAGCTCTGAGCCATCATGGTGAATTCGTCGCCTGCGCACAATGCTCTATCCGTTGGACAATGCGGCATGCATGAGCTATACTTGAGCTCGCCACATGTCTACTTCTGTAACAGTCCATCTCGTCGGAGTTGCACTGCGTTGTTGATGGCCACCGGAGCGGCGTCACTCAAGACCCCTGGGTCCTGGGGACGAGGGCCTGTCCCTCAGCCCAATGTTTGTCATGATCCGACTTCGGCGAGAGCTGCCTGTCAATGTTGAAGGACGCCATAGGCGTCCAGTTTCCTCGGAGTCCCCTCCATGAAATCGCAAGTGAAGGTTTAGGTGAGAAGGCTCGCAGTAGCGCTGCGTGCCTTCAGCCTGTCGCATCGCAGTGTCTGCAGCCAGGCGCGGAAATCTGTCCACCGCGACAGAGATCAAGAAACTGGTCCAGAACGGGCAGCGGACCCCAGAGCCGCCGCACGCTGGCCGAAGCGGGCACAGCTAGCACATATGTGCCGCAACATCGTCATCCAGACATGATACTGCATCGCTTGCAGTGCTGTTCGAGAGTGCGGAGGGACAGCGCACCCCGTCGCCGGTCGGGCTGGATGCGCAGTGTAGGATTTAGACTATGCGCTGGCAACCCGGGTATACGGGGAGTTTCGGCGATGTTCATTGTTGAATCGTAGCTGCACCACGAAGGCTCTCTGCAGCACCGGGCAAGAAGTTATTTTGGGTGGTCAGAGACGGGCGAGGCAAGGGGTGGGGATGTATGGGACGTACCGCTCTTATGCTCATGCCAACGGATCTCGAGTTCGAGAGGCCGCAAGGCAGCGTTGCTCGATGCAGATGAGCGCGGTCACCGGTCACCGTCTCAGTGAGGGAGGCATGCACACTTGCGACGGAAAAACCAGAGTCGGTGACATTGCGGCAAGTCAAAGTTTATGTAGGTTGACGGCGTGTGGTCAGACAAGGATATCCTGAGGCACGAAGGTTGAAGGAATTGTCTACGTCTGCTTGGGGAGACTAGGCGTGTGGCCTCCGAGTCGTACAGCGTTTCAAGACTGTGGCTTCCGAGTCGGGTCCAACTTGAACTTACCACGCCACATCGGCCATCCCATCCACACCGTGCATTCCATCATCCGCTGCAAGGCGGTTGTGACGATAAATGACACCCGTGAAGAGGTTTTGAGGATGCTGTCGCTCGCGTCGCAGAAACTCTGCAGAAGTGGTATGTATGCGCGGGAACCCTCGTTTTCCCCATATGGTAGCGCGGCTGCCGCATATGGTAAACCTGCGAACATCCTGACAACTTCAAATCAGCGAATCCTAATCTGAGCCTTCAGTATGTACCTCTCCGAGTCCTCCCAGGTCCTCCCCTTTGCCCTCCTCCGCAGCTAGGCTCCGGCGACACCCGGGTTTCGTGCCGCCTCTCAGCCGCAATATTCGGTCGGCCGGGATACCGAATCCCATCAGAGTAAAAAAAAAACGAGTCTATCGGTGCACCATCCGTTCCGACGATGTCCCCCGGCCCAACGCTGGCCCAATGCTGACCAGCATCTGGGAGGAGAGACCTGCAGCTGTGCGGTGTGTGTAAGCTGAACGAAAGTCACCGCTGCACGCGGGCGGGCCTGGACCGGGACGACCGTGTAAAGGTTGTGGGCTGCAAGTTGGTTGTGCGGGAGCGTGACGGCCATGTGGGGACTGTCGATCGACGCTCCGGGGCCTGGGTCCCCCGGGACTCGAGACGCGCGCGCCCCGTCATGAGTTGGTGCAGAGCATTCGAATTCACGCCCGCGAGCGTCCGGGGCCTCCAAGTTCAGTTGATCAGCGGGGACATCGTGCGCTACTTACAGTAAGCGAGGAGTGAGAAAAGGAGGGGCGGCGGGACAGCTGGAGAATGCGAGGCGAGAGATAGGGACCGGGAGAAGGGTTCGGCTTGCCGGCGGGACGGCGGGGAACTGGGGGACTGACGCGCCGTGGCTGCGGAAACAGCCGTCAGCGGCACTCCACACATCCCACTGCTGCGCCCTCTCCTCGTCCCGCCCCTCGCAGCAGGCGTCGCCCTGCCTGATTTAGCCAGCTGGCCTCCCCTCAGACCACCGTGCTGGCCCCCCCACCCGCCACCGCCCGCCCCCGTCCGCCGCCACCGCCGTCCGCGCCAGGATCAGGATTACGATCAGGACCGCCCGATCATCCCAGCGCGACTTCAAAGGCAGCTGCGAGCAGCGCGACTGCGAGTACAAGGCAGCCGTCGACGAGAGCCTCCTCCCTGTCACGTCTCTGGGCCAGATACAACGCGCCCGCCATGCCCACCGTCCCGCCCTCATGCGTCCCCAACGCCGCCTATGGTGATCATGGCTCCGCTGCGTTTGCGATCCCTGCCTTCCTCGACCGCGAGCGCGACGACGCCGCCGCAGGGCCCACCCCCGACCCGGACCTCGACGACTTTTCGCTCGTGGCGTCGGAGAGCGGCAATGCCGTGACGGAGGTGAGTCTCTTTTTCCCCTTCGCCTTTCGACGTGCGCCTGGCGCCTCGTCTTCTGTTGTCGGGATCCTCGATGGCCGTCAACGGCGGCCCCGTCCACGTCCACCCATCTGATCGCGCCAGCGCCCCTCACACCGTACTGACACACCTCCATCTGCCCACAGACCGGCCCGCGCGTCCCCCCGTCCTCTCTCCGCCCACCACCCCACCCTCGCCCGCGCCCTCCGCCTCCCGCAAGCCCCGCCTCTCCCTCGGCGCGCTCGCCCTCCACTCGCCCTCCGCCGCGATCATCGGCACGCCCTTCGACCTCTCCCCGCGCTTCGAGTACCCCTTCCCGTCCGCGCCCGCCTTCGACCCCGGCGCCCACCCCCACCTGCACTACCCGCACCACCCCGCGCCGCCCGGCTACGCCGCGTACGACCACGGCCACCTCCCCGGCTGGGCGGGCTTCCCCGGGAGCACGAGCCTCCCGAACCTGCAGCTGCACCTCGCCGGCGGGGCCGCGGGGGGCCATCCGTGGGGTCACGCCGGGCAGAGGGCGCACAGCCCGACGCGGGCGCACCCGAAGATGCGCGTGCGCGAGCCGCCCGTGCCGCCGGGCCTGGCGAAGAAGCGGAGGCTGTTCCGCGAACGCGAGAGGGGAAGGGACGCGGGCGCGGATGGGGGCGGTCGCTCGAGCGGGCTTCCTGGCGTGCTTGGGTCGGCTGTGTCGCAGGCGGTGGACGGACCCCGACCGCTGTCCGTTCTGCCACCTTCGCCCCTTGCTGCTCGGAGTCCCACCTTGGTCATGGACGTCTCCCGGAAGCTGAGTCTGGACAGGAGCGAGAGCGACGACACGGTCGTCGGCAGTGCCAGCGAGCGAGATGAAGGGGACGTGAAATTCGCGCCGTTGGAGTCCATGGAGCTGACACTTGTCGTTGAGAGGGAGGTCGAGGTCGAGCCTATCCTCGACGACAGCTCTGGTGAGGGCGGTGTTCGCGCATCTGGAGCGGTGCTGCATATTGGGGAGAACGCAGTGGGCGTCGACGGAGACGATCACGACCGACCCCCTCACTCACCACCCTCTGCCCCTTCCTCGGCGCCCGCTTTCGTCGCCGTCGGCGCCCCCGACTCCTTCACAGCCGTCCTTCCAATGTCTGACGCCCTACCACCTTCTGACATCTCTGACACCGACATTCACGCACTCATGCCCCTCGACACCGCCGCCTCAACGCCGCCTCACGAGCACACACACGAGTCTCACGATACCAGCGACGACACCCCCCTCCCTACACACGCCCATAACGATCGCGACACACACGACTCCGATCATGACCACGACCACGCCTACAAAACAGAAGCGGAGGTGGAGGAGGTCGCTGCGCCCATACATGACGGCGCCCGGCCTCTCCTGCTCCGCGACGCGGACCCTCCCGCTCTGCCTCTCCTCCCCGCTGATCTTGCTCCCGACTATGTGATGCACGCAGCGGGGCCGTGACGGACCCGGCTCGCTGGTCGTGCTCGCGTCTCCGTTGTATCTGTATCTCGCGCACAGCCTATCGTCGATGCGTATATGCCAGTCGTCTTTTGGGTTCCCGTGGCCGTTTGGGTCTCTTTTGTTTTGTGGTGGTTCGGTACTTGGCGCGGACGGTCGCGGTGCGACTTGGCTCGCCTCACACCGCGCCCCTTACATAGCTCATTCCGCGTTCGCCCCCTCTCACCCGCGCACGATACGCCGTCCGTCTTTCTTTCGTCTCCCCCCTTTCCGCTGTCGTCGCTCTGATCTAGTTGGCGTGCCTGTGCGTGTTTTGCGCGTATCTCGTTGGCTTTACTTTATGTCGCTCGGACAGTATTCCGTCCGTCCGTCCGCTTATGCCTACACCTCGTCCTCGTCCTCGTCTCCTCTCCTCGCACGCATACACGTATTCGTCTCCGTCTCTGTCTCCGTCATTCCGCATCTTACACCTGCATCCCCTCGTCCTCCCCATCCTCCCCACCCTCCCGCATCCCCCCCCCCGTCCTTTGCCCACAGTCGCTTTCCGCCCCCTGCATATTGTACCCGCACGTCGCATCGTCCGTCTCCTGCTGCTGGTTATCCCGTACACGAATGGATAGCAGTATCTCCTAACGCGTCCACCGGATCCGGCACCCGCGCCCCGGTGCACACCTTCTGACTGACTTGTGTACGCGGACCTCACAGCTGACCTGATGGCGAACGGGTGAGCGCGACGTTGACGGATTTGGATGATCGTCGGTTGGATTGGGGATTGTCGCTGCGGCGGATGCGCGCGGGTCCGGGGTAGCTCCGGGCGATCGCCTTGAGGCGAGATTCCTCAGCGAGGATGATCGGCGGCGGTGGCAGTGATTGTCAGTGGGCTGGTGCTGCCGATCTGAGGACCACTTCCTGAGGCGTGCGCAGGCTTTGACTGCTACTGAATGGATGCGTACGTGACTATGTAGCAGCGAGGCTCGGAATACACACCCGTGCGCGCCCCGACTCGGACTCAATTTACTTGAGCTCTGAGTCTCAGCTGACAGTCATCGCTAGCGCACTGGCAATCATACTGTATCACCATACTTACTAGTACTGGCACTCGTCGCCCCGCCGGCCGGCTGATGGTGGGATGAGTACTTATGGGGATCTAATTTTCCAGGACGGACGTTCGGCCATTGGTCAAACGCTCGATCCTCGACAGCACCTTTGATTGCACCGAGGTGTTGGTTTCAGATGCAGCTCCGAGTCGTACGGCGCGCCTCATCCAACGCTGGGAGTATAACTACGAGAGTCACGGTACTGGTGATGGTCGGTACGCATCGTTGACGTCGCCCATAGTATCCTGTGCAGAGTCCAGAGCCCGTTCTCCCTTCGTGTTGAGCTGACAGTCAACAATGCGCCCGCTACAGAGACTCGGGCACGCACCAACGACCTTCCCTCTCCTGCTCTCCCTCCTCTCGGGGGCACTACCCGCCACCCGTGCAGGAGACTTGCCCGGGAACTATTCGACATGGATGGCCACCAGCATCATGTCGCGCAGTCAGGGCGTCCTCGGTGGCCCCGGCGACGCCTCACAGCTCCTCCAGGCAGGCTTCACCCAGAAGGCCTTCCACCAGCTGCTCTCCACTTCCGCACGTAACGACGCGCTGTCCGACTCGCTCGCAGCGTACGTCCAGCGATCCGTGGACTCCGTCACGAGCGTCCTCGCGAACGCCTCGCACGACACGGCCTACCCGCTCGACCGGCTCTCCAGCGGCGACGCGCTCCTCCGCGCGTACGCGGACACCGGGAACGCGTCCTACGGCGCCGCGCTCGCCGCGCTCCAAACCTCCGTCGGCCTCCAGCCTCGGAACGCGGCGGGCGGGCTGTGGTACTACGTGTACCCGAACTGGTCGTACCTCGACGGGATGTACTCCTACGCGCCCTTCAGCGCGGCGTACGCGACGCAGCACGGCGGGGCCCTGCGACCCGCCGCTGCGAACATCACACACCAGCTCGACCTCCTCTGGGCGCACTGCTACGACGCCGCGACGGGCCTGCTGGTGCACGGATACGACGACGCCAAGACGGCCGTCTGGGCGGATCCCGTCACGGGCGCGAGCCCGCACGTCTGGGGCCGGAGCCTCGGGTGGTACGCCATGGCCCTCGTCGATACGCTGGAGACCCTCCAGGGCCCGCTCGTGGGCGCTGGCGTCGATGCAGGGGCGTGGCGGCATCTGCACGACAGGTTCGGGACGCTGGCGGGTGCGATAGCGCGCGCGGCGGACCCCGCGACGGGAGGGTGGTGGCAGGTGCTCGACGCGCCGGGGCGAGAGGGCAACTACGTCGAGAGCAGCGGGAGCGCGATGCTCGCGTACGCGCTGCTCAAGGGTGTCCGGCTCGGCTTCCTCGGCGGGGGCTTCAGCACAGGCGGCGCGGGGAACACGTCTGGCTCCGAGTCGGTTGGGAACGCGTCGTACGTGGACGTCGCGAGCCGGGCTTACCAGTACGTTGCGGAGACGTTCGTCGTCAACGATGGCAACGGGACGCTGGGGTACAATGGGACGGTGTCTGTGTGCAGCCTGAACTCGACCGCGTCGTACGATGTGAGCCGCAGTCTTCTGTTTCCGTTTGATTATTGTTAAACACTACTTCTAGTATTATGTCGGCCAGCCAATCCTCTACAACAGTGTTCTAGGTTCGGCTGCATTCGTGCTTGCATCATTGGAGTACGAACGTCTCGCTGCCGCATCGTCGTGAGGGTCAACTTGCTCGCCGCGGTCCAGGTATTTTCGCGTCGCGCTGAGAGATCGAATCTCTGGCGGGCGTCGGGAACGCTGTCTTTCTATCCCGCCAGCACATGATAATCCGCTTTTAATGTCTTTTGGGACCAAGTAGATACAAGCGACACACTTTTGCTGCCAGGAGTCCAGCGTAACGACAATCACGCATAATGAATGGCTAGTAACTCAGCTATCGGGACTACTATTGCTTTCACAGGCGACACCGTCAGTCGGTCGATCGCTTTCTCTTGGCCAGGTCTCCTTCGGTAGGCGGAGCGACACGGTCCACAGCGCGCACGAGACGACGATCAGAATGAGCCAAACAGCACCTCCGCCCAGCCAGTTTCTCTGGAGCGACACCGCGAACAGCGAGGTAGCCGAGGCAGGCCCCACAGCACGCACGAACGCCGCGACGAGCTGTCCTATACCGTTCGTGCCCCCGAGTGAGCTCTTGTTCGGCGCGGAGGACGTGATGTACATGAATACACAGCCTGTGACACGCGGCTCAGTTGCTCGTTCTTCCCCCCGTTCAGAGGTGCGAGAACTCGACGACTCACCATACGCCGTGTCCATCACGACGCTGACGACCTGCTGCAGCATCACAGCCGCCCACACCGCAGGCGTCATCCCTCCTCGTTGCGCGAGCGCCCCAATCACAGGAAATAGCAGCCACAGCGGGATGAACGCGCCCATGCCCGCCATATACACATGCTTCGGCCCGAACCGCCTGACGAGCGGGGCGAACCACAGTGCCTGGAGAATCCCGTTGAAGATGCCGAAGCTCCCCAGGATCAGCCCGATCGTCGAGGGTGGAAGGCCGAGCCCGCCTAGTGAGCGCGGGGTTGCAAAGAAGAGGGGCTGGACGGCGCGGTACGCGATGTCCAGCAGAGCGAGTGCGCCGTAGTTGGCGACGGACAGGAGCACGCGCGGGTGTTTGAGGAGAGTGAGCAAGGGGATGGGGGTCTCGAAGGCTTGTTCGCCGGGGTCTTCAGAGGATGATGGGGCGAAGCTAGCGGATTTCTTGCGTTTAAGAGTCTAGAGCAGGACGTTCATGAGTGCCCGAGAGGTTGGCTGACGGGTTGTACGAACCTCCTTCATGAAGAGGGCAGCGATCAGGAACGCGAACGCTGAACACGAAGCCGAGGCGGCGCAGGGAAGGAAGTATGGGTACTGTACCCAGAAATGGACCGAAAAGACGTTTGGCCATCTGTCATGCGGCTTTGCCAGCTGTCCTCCGATCAGTGGTCTGACAAGATAAATGGATGTGAGAGACCCCAGTGCGGGACAGGGAAGAGAGAGTTCCATACGCAGTAGTCGCACCGACAGACCACACGACAGGCATCAGCGCAAAAACCTGGGCCATGTTGGTCGAATCAGTCAGTTCTACAATGCCCATGTGAGTATGCGAACGTAAAGGAAGGCCGCCCAAACCACATACCTCCGACTACGCTTTGCATTGCGCCAACATTACCATTCAGGGCACCCAGTATACACCGGCTACGGTTTGGCAGCTCATGAGTACATCGTGTAGCACCGCCTATGGGAGTATTAGATACCGACCTGAGGACTAGCTGCCAGAACTTCTTCGAGAGGCCGAAACAAACCATCGACACGGTTGCGCCCGCCGTGCCGATGAGCAATACCGGTTTGCGGCCAATGTAGTCAGACAGTCGTGACCATTGTATCACGAATACGACTTCCGTGAGGTAGAAGATGGATTCCTAATACTCTCCAGACAAGTCAGTCCACGCCGACGAGGTTTCATACCGACACTACTCACAATCAATCCGGCATAATACCCGATCTTCTTTTCGTCGCCACCTGTGATATCTAGTTCCCTCACAAGCTGTCCCAGAAACCAATACCGGTCAGCTTGCAATGATAGAGACTCCCTTCAGAGATGAATACTGACCTGGTTGATGAAGGGATATATGCATTGCGAAAAGATGGGTTCTACGAGTAGGAGAACGAACAGAATACTGATCTGCGCTTTTGGAAGAGGTGTTATCAGAGTAGACTCCTTCCCTTTGTAACGACCATCCCCGGCATTGACATCCGTCTGCAGTAAAGGCGTGTCCTCCGTAGGATCATCATCCTCGGTTCTCAGTCGAGACATTATCTCGCTGTAGCGCTCACAAAAACCAACCTTGTGATGGTCGGGGTGGGCGTCGTAGGTACCGGTAAGCTACCATCGTAGCCGTACTAGAGCTAACTTATATATACGCAGCGACCAGTGTGGTTTTTTAGCGTCACGCCCGAGGACCGCCAGATCGGTGACGTAACACGAGTCTCCCAAGTGGAGAGCGCCCGATCAGAGGTACCATGTCGAAACCTGTCGAAGTGCCGATAAGTAAGCCTTACTATCCAAGATAACAGCCTCATTTACACGCCGAAGGACACTGGCACGGGCAACACCTGTACCAACGTAAAAACAGCACCTGACTGATACATGACCGGTTGACCGGTGACCGGTGACCCTCGGCGGTACGCTGGCAAAAGGCTTCTCAATTGATATATCGAGAAGACAATGAGAAACTGACAATGTTGGCACGGCACTTTGTCAAGAGAAGACACTCGTTCTCCGCCAATACGCCATCCATCTCTGCATGTCTTCCATCCGCAAGCGTCTCAATCCAGGGTCCGCCAGGGTAGGTGATGCGCTGAGAGCCTCTTTCAAGTCAAGATTCACCATTCCTAGCGCCATTGGTCCTGCGTCGACCCGATTTGCTAGGCTTCTGTAGAACGACAGTAGGCGCGACGCGTGTAGGCCACGAGGTACCGAAGACGCTACGGCCAGGCGAGAGTTGTACTTGGAAACCGAATTCTCGAGCTTGCCGAGCCACGTCGAATACGGTACGAGGGGTACCGAGAATTCACCAGCGACGAAAGTCGCAAGTGACCGCCAAGAGACCGGACGTGGATGCACAAGATGTACGGTGCCTGTGCGATTCGAGGATTTTCGAAAATCGATAATTGCCGCGGCCGCGAGGTCAGCAGGTATCCAATCAACAGCCTACTTACCGCTGGGTGAGTTACAGACATGCCGTAGAACGAGACGACGCACCCTCGTGTCATCTGGGAAGCATCCCACTATTCGCGCGCTTTGTACCATGGAAGGGAACCATTCATGAGCGTTCCACACACCATCGGGCCCCCCGCATATCTGGCCCGCCCGAACAACCAGCGGTCGTAGAGCTGTATGTGCTGCTGCATGGTACAGGATTTGTTCGGATACCCACTTCGACTCGGCATAGCCAGTGGGAACTACGTCGTGAGGCTCAGACGTTGTCTCAGCGCAGAGCTTGTCTGGAGGCATATCTGACATTGAAGTATGGTCAATTACGCACTCTGACGCTACACACAATCGGCGCCTACTTTGAACGACTCCAACGGAACTTGTGAACTGGACGTGAGGTGGTTGTGCATGCATCGGTGCGGTGAGCGCGAAGTCGATCAGAGCACGAATCCCGTGGACTTGAGGTTCGAATGATGCCAACTTCAGGGCGAAATCGACGGGCCACGCTGTGAACAGCCATTGTGAGGCCAACGGCTTACATATACAAATTCTCGCTTCGCACCATTGTGTATGATGTGTGTCACCGAAGTGTGCATCTGTCAAGCGTTCGGTGAATGCTCTCATGAAGAACAAATTAGGACCTGGAGACTAACGAACCTCTTGATAGATATCGTCCGTCAATCCAAGTTTTGGGCGCGTCAGGTCACCTTCCAGCATCACCACTCGGCTGGAGTCTAACGCGCTTGTGTCCAATCCCCGCTCGCGCAACGCTCTTTCCTGGCGGAGCCTGATCGTGTCACCATTGCTAGACGGCCTGTTGAAGGCGTAGATGCGCCGGATATCGGGATTTGCGGCTAGTTGAGCAAGAAGATGACAACCCAGGCTGCCGGTGGTACCGGTTACTAGTACGACATCTGCAGGATTTGACGAGGGAACATTGTGGTCCGAGAGGAAAGTCGGATAGTCGGCTGTGTATTTGGCAACCATCGCGTGCATTGAATCAATGCGGGGTGTGGACGATCCAAGATGTTCCTTTCCGTTGGTACTGCGCGCAACCGTGGACATGAAAGAACCGATGCGCGAAATGGTTGGGTTATCATATACAAAGCCATCGGGGATCGTATTGATGTTGACCTTGGTCGACTCACGAATGGCGCGGAGCAGTACGTTGCGGATGTAAGTGGCCTGCAGGCTTATGGAAACGTAGTGTCACCTCTTTTCAGCATACACGAGTACCGACACTGAAGTACTGACCTGTCACATCCGCTCTGGAAAATGTCGTCATCATCTGGCACTTCGCGACCCATGACCTTCTTAACGACGCTCCGGACAAAGTCCGTAGCTTCGTCGAGGTGCCATTGCTTCGGGAGAGCGACTTCAACTTGCGCACTGGCATCGACCGTGTCATAGAGAGCGTTGATCTCGTCTTCGTAAGCTTTGAGCACGACACCGCGCCGTACAGTATGCTTCGCGGTGTACGCAAAGGGTTTGCTTGGCTTCGCAACTAATATCATCTTTGACGTAGCCCGTGAGCACATACTGGGAGGCGCCGATGACATTCAGCTCACCTCTTTGAATAGACGTGAATGCTGTGGAGCATAAGCGTTGATTCTCTCTACAGTTGGCCTAGCCTGGCATCAGCGATCCTCGTGGAGAACGAGATGATCAAGAGCGTGTACCATATGCGGTTCCTGAATTCCGCCAGCTTGTTCTCATCCGCCGGGTCAAAGCTATACTCAGCCTTGGGTTCTACCAGTAGGCCCGTTTGCAAGCGACCGCGGCCGAACATAACAGATGCCGCGACATGTAGGTCTTGATTCGTCGTACTCTCTTCGTCGAGGAACGATCAGCAAGGGGACAGACAGTGAGAGCGACAATTTACCCAGGGGTCCTGGGTTTGTCTATACCGTGTCCATATCATGAGTAAATCTGGCGAAACGAAATGACATTTTGATTACCTTCTCGCCCGTACTATGCATGATCTGGTCGTCTGTGCGGCCGAGAACCCGCCAATAACCCTCTTTTGTCGGATGCTGCTCGACAACGTCAGAGGTAGCATACCCATCCAGTCCATCGACCCTCGTGTTGACGACATGCGGATAGAGGACTTCATTTGCCTCAAAGATACACATGTTGAGTGCCACTGATTGTGTCATGGAGATGACTCACCATGATGATACATTCATATTGATCTTTGCCATGGGATTCGAACCTGACATTGAGGGAATATGCAAACCGGAAATACTGCCAATCTTCACCAGGGAGCTCAGCTGTGCAGAAGTTCATCAGCCTTTCGGCAGAGAACTGAGACGCAGATACCGACCCTCTAAGAATGTGCTGACAGCGCCACATTCAGTGCTGATCATGAAGGAACGTCAGCGAAGCACAATGGCTACATAGCGAGTGCCTGTCAACTCACCACCCATATTCGGTGAATAGAGGTACACCGCACGAAACCAAGTAATCTCCTACCTCCTTGTTGATAGGGCCTCCTCCGTATAGCTACAAGGTGGCAGCGTCAGTTCGTTCCATCAACGCCCTGGGAGACACCTACAACACCACTACACCCGCTCAGCCATTTCACGTAGTCTGGGTCGCGCGACCACTTCTACAAGACCATTCGCGTGTGGGCATGAGTCGATCACATCGGGTCATCCAAGATACGAACCTCGATCATTGATGGGGCTGCAAGAATGTAGTCCGAGTGAGTAGCCATTGCCCCGCGGATCGTCAAGCCCGCTGTCAGACTCGGAGGAGGATACTTCGGTGCGGGCAAGCCAATGCACAAGCCCGATGAAATCTGCACGCAAGGGATTGAACACACGATGAACACATAAAAGATACGAGACGTACAGCAAAACTGGTGATGGTGCAACCCATAGCGTGATACATCGGGTTACCATGCAGAGACATGATCTTATCGACGAGATCGCGCTCGCCGTAGCATGGGGCTCTGGCGAATTGCAACAGACGTTGGAGAGTCGCGGGAATAGGCTTCGGGAATGCAGTCGATCCTAGGATGATCTCGCAGTCATCGGTCGGATGCTCAACGTCCCCTAGACTGTCACTCACCCGACGAATGCAGAATGAGCGCAAGTGTGTCCGAGTCTTGTCGTTCATAAGGGGCGTCTACCGAGGAAAGTGCCTCATCGCTGTCGTCGCTAGTGTATAACTCAGCAAAAACCGGCATTGGTGAGAGCTCCGGCTGCGGAAACGCTGGGTATTGCGTTCTCAAGACTTCCAGGGATTGCGCGACCAGCTCCCGCATGGCCTGTTCACGCCCAACTAGGATGTGCTTCACACCCGTTTTCTCAATGAGGTGTGCTACCGCCGCAGGAGAGTTCCGCGTGGATATCGGGAAGGCGACACAATTCGCGCGGATGATTCCCAAGATCATCGTCATGTATGGAATGGAATCTGGCGGAGTTCACGCACATAGACGTTGGATTAGCCTCACGTCGAGAATCAATCTGAGGGCGTAGTAGCGCACCTGAAGACGACAGAATGGCGACCACCCGATCCCCGTTCTTGCCTTGTTTGTCTCCTAGGCGTTGCTTGACGAGTTCAGCAGCTCGGCGGATCGCCTGGCTTGCGCTAGACCACAAAATGTTCTTGACAGTGCCATCGTCTTCAGCGTAGACAAACAGTCTATGGTTAGCAGAGTGTTCGCCGTGCCAATCACAAAGCTCTGGGAGAGTCAAGGAGCCATCTAATGGCGGAGGTCTAAACGTTGTGCTGGAAAGCCCATGGGTCGAGGGAGGAGCAGGTAGGAGTCGCTGAGGCGGAGACATGGGGTCAAGCGGTGGCGACTGTCGTGCTGATGTATATAGTCAGACCGGCCTTCGGACGTGACAAGCAAGCCACAAGGATCCGAGTTCGTGAGCTGTCATGTTGATTCATCTGGCCCGTCCATTTCGATAACGACGGCCGTTCCAGGACATGCCATGACGTCAAGTTAGTCCACCATTATCGTCACGGCCCAGCTCGTAAGGGCGTGGACAGCCCACGATTGGACAAGATGACAGCGTGGGCTAGAGACAGCCGCAACGCGAGTAGAGACAGACATGTACGGCAGCGATGTAGCTCGCAGACAGCATAGAAGGCCGACGCACCTCCAATGTGACCTCTTTTCACGTACTCAAGAATCGCCCTATTCATGCTGCGGGTATTGCGTTAGGAATCGGGCAACCTGGATAAGCACCGATAGGAACGACTCACTTGTCACGAGCCGAGAATCGTGCTCCCTGAGAACAGCTCGAAAACTCTATGACCGCAATGCCAATGATAACACTGCCGTGAGATGCTAGCTAGCGCCGTTCACGTTTGAGTTACAAATGCGCGTTCGGGCTGAGTGGCATTTAGTACAGCACAGGTATCATGTGCTGGCAGCCCTACACCTATACCCTGAAACCCAATTTCAAATACGTAAGGATGGACAATGAGTTGGAAGACTCAAGTACTCACCTTAGAACACACTGTAAGTGACCGAGCGTTTACTCATTCCTCGATTGCGTTGCGATCTCTCATAACAGGCACTCAATGGCACGCGAACAGTATCTTGATAGTACTGGCAACCCATCGCTGCAGGACAAAGCTATTCAGGCTGAGTCAGCTATAAGGCAGTATGATACAAGTATGAGCCCGCCCGGTTGTGGCGGAAGCCGTTGCACATTCGCTCTTCCCGTCGCTTATGGTCTCATCCCCCAGACTCCAGTTCTCCCCGCATTCGCTTTCCACGAACAGGCACGGGAGCAATAGGCAAACACATATAACCGAACACATACCAGCCGTTCGAAACGCGTCAACATTGTCGCCAAAGTGTCACTGACATTGTAAGTCGAAAGGTTACGTTTCCACTGGGTCGGCTGATACGAGTGTGAACGAGAAGTCCTCGCGCTGCCTGCAATTGCTCCGCGCCACGTTCAAGGATACTGAGCTGCGACGAATGCAGAGATGCGCGGCCGCCCAGAGCGGGCGAGACGATGAGCGTCGGAGGCAAGAACTTGAAGCGGGAAAGGGCGCTGAGCGCGCGTTACCCCGGACCGCATTCCTCGGCACAACAGTTGAGTCCAACGATCAAGCTACCGGACGCGTCGACGGCGAGCGACGGACCGGACGCTTCTCCGCGTCCTCGCCGTGCTCATGTGGGTGATGCGCGGGGACCTGGGGAAACCAGGACCGGAGGACCTGGCCAGTGCTTCCGACTCGCAGTCGTATAAAATGCCCGACACATCATCGCCAACCGCAGCCCCTCCCTCCTCGCCCCCACTCTCCCGGTGCTCTCGACCCACCCCTGACTCTTCCACTGCCCCGTCATGTCGTTGGCTTCACCTGTGAAGGCCGCCCTTGGTCGCATCGCGCTCGTGACAGGTGCAGGCCAGGGCATCGGGCGCGCCATTGCGTGTCGACTTGCTCGGGACGGTTACGACATCTCCATCGCAGACATCCCTCCCGCGAAGGCGAAGGTGGACGATGTGATCAAGGAGATCCAATCCTATGGCCGGAAGGCAGTCGGCGTGTACGCTGGTGAGTAGAACGGCCCACTCTAGTCCTTGGTGTACGCTGACCACATCCGCGATCGTGTCAGACATGAGGGAGCCGAAGCAGATCTATGCTGCCGTCGAGGAGACCGTAGAGAAGCTGGGGCCGAACCTCTTCGTCAGTGTCGCCAACGCTGGTGTGACGCAGGTCAAGCCTCTGCTAGAATGCACGCCCGAGTAAGTCGCTTTCCACAGCGAGGGCCTTAGTTCAGTGTCTGACCATCGCGTCAGGTTCATTGAGAACGAAGTCCGCCTCAACGTTCTCGGCCTGATGAACACGTACATCGCTTCAGCGAAGCAGATGGTGAAGCAAGGGTCCGGTGGACGTATCATCGGTGCAGGCTCAATAGCGTCGTACCGTACAGCGGGTGAGCCCTCATCTACCATGTTCCACCTGCCAGATGGCTCATATACGGGTCAGAGAACCTTGCACCATACGGCGCGACCAAGTTCGCGGCTCGTGGCTTCACGGAAGCTTCAGCTAAGGAGTGGGCGAAGTATGGTATCCGTGTCAATGGTGCGTAATTGTCTGTCGTTCAAGTCCCTCGTCTAAACTGCGCCCATCTCTGTAGCCTACGCCCCTGGCATCGTCGATACGCCTATGTGGGATCACATCGACAGGGTGCTTGCAGAGATTGTGAGTCCACACTTGCGTACTCCGATTTCCCTTTGGTTTGACCGAATCATACGTAGGAGGGTATCAGTCCTGGCGAGGCCAAGGCTAAACGTGTGAAGAACGACATCCTGCTCGGCCGCATCCAAGAGCCCGAGGACGTCGCGAAACTCGTCTCCTTCCTCGCGTCGGAGGAAGCGGAATACATTACCGGACAGACTATCAAGACGTGTGGTGGTGCCTCGTTGTAATTGCTACGTTATCGGCCAAGTTACGTGTCGCGCTCGTGAGTCATATACCAGCTAGATTTGGGATAGAAGTGGGGTAGACCAGGGGTAGACGGGTTTCGCTTTGCTGCATTTACTGCTGTATAGTACGTACGATGTTGAATGGACATCACGAAACAATGCTTGCTTACAATTCCAGTTCCCCGGCTCATCCGTGCGATCGCTCGGCGTCGAAGTGTTTACGTTGTGAGCGTCTACAGTGCGGGGGCGGGGCCCCGCCCTCGCCGATGAACTTTCTCCGAGTCCTCGAAGATACGGCACTGCGTTGGGCCAATCTCCCAGGGGCCGAATTCACGTTGTCCAGCCTTTTCAGGTCACATCGCCTCGACACTACGAAGACCCGGGGAGCTTGATAGCGGGAAGGCGGTCAACCACTGCGCTTGCCAAACGCGGAAAGCCCGCCTGCCTATTCTGGCGCGCGCCCCTCGCTTCCACAGGTCTGGGCGGGGCACCGCGCTCCTGCCGCGCTCCTCTGGACGCGTCCACACACGCGAAGCCTTTTATGGTGGGCCCTTATCTTCGGGAAGAACTTCAGCGGAGCACAGGATGTCATTGCTGTTATCTCCATCAATGAGCTTGTCGTCAAATTGTCTTTCCCTGCGATATAAAACCTCCCAGTCCCATATGATGTCCGGTTCCGACTCGGACCCTGGCGGACGTCCTCCCACTCCCTCTGAACGCAGACGCAATGGCGAAGACGCGCGCCCGTCTTTCAGCCTACCTGAACCCGTCAGCATGGGCTTTGGAGCCAGAGCCCTCGACGTTTGCGCCGAGCAGCAAGTGGTCGAACAAGGACATGGATCCGGTGCCTCCACATGCTGTGAGCACTCAGCCAATTCTGCGATGGAACAATGCTAAAGATGCGTACTTCTCGCGCGTAGCGGACATGGACGACCGTGAACTACATCGCGTACTGGATTTCGGACGCGACGAACGCTGCAGTGTGGGAGCTCGCGTCGAGCATGTTAGCCGTCGGTCTATCATGGTGCGTCTGATAGCTCGTGCCACCACGCATATTAGCCTGATACGCTGTGTTTAGGCGGCAGGCTCTCCCTGCGATCGCAGTGGGGCATATCATCATCTCCGTTGTGATGGTTCTCAACGGAACCGCCGGTGCCCGCCTGCATGTAGCATTCCCCGTGCTGAACAGGTCTTCCTTCGGATTCTGGTTCAGCTACTTCAGCGTCGTCAGCCGAGTGCTCCTGTCCATGTTCTGGTTTGGCATCCAGACATTTACAGGGTCGGAATGCGTGTACCAGGTGTGCAGTCTTCAAGCGAGTTCGTAAATAGGTCTGGGTGTCTGACTCGCCGCAGATGCTGAAAGCCATCTGGCCATCACTGGATAGAATGCCCAATCATCTACCAGTTCACGCGAACATCACCACCTCCGGTATCATGTGCTACTTCCTGTACTGGCTCATCCAGGTACGCACCTCCTCCCGGCAGTAGTTCACAGAAGCAGTGCTAACTAGGTTTCTCCAGTTCCCGTTCATGCTAATCTCGCCTCAGAGGATCCGGTGGTTATTCATGGCGAAGGCCATAATAGTCCCCCGACGTGGCTCGCCATGCTCATCTGGGCGATGGTCAAGGTGCCTCCAAGAGACGGGCTCTTCGTGCAGCACGCAACGATCCAAGGAAGCGACATGTCGTGGGCGTGGCTGAGCGCACTGAACAGCGCGCTAGGCATCTACTCCACGCTGGCCGTCAACATCCCCGACTTCACCAGATACGCGAAGAACGAGCGAGCGTGAGTGTCCCCCCTCCCTCAGTACCGCACGCCATGTTGACACACAGCTCACAGGCAATACGTCCAGATCGCCATCATCCCCATAGCGTTCACCCTGTGCGGGTTCATCGGCATGGCGGTCACGAGCTCGGGCATGGTCCTCTACGGCCAGACGCTCTGGGACCCGCTCAAGCTCATCAACCAGTGGGACAACCGCGCCGCGGCGTTCTTCGCGTCCCTCGCGTGGGTGCTCACCACGCTTGGCACGAACATATCCGCGAACTCCCTCTCGGCGGCGAACGACATGACAGTGCTGTTCCCGAGGTATATCAATATCAAGAGGGGGCAGGTGCTGTGTGCGCTGCTTGGTGGGTGGGCGCTGTGCCCCTGGGAGATCCTGGCCAGGTATGTTGTATAACCCCTCTGTACAGAACGTCCGACTGAGGTTCCTGCAGCGCCGAGGGCTTCTTATCCTTCATTAACGGCTATACCGTCTTCCTTGGCCCCTTCGCCGGTATCATGGTCACTGACGTGAGCGGACCATTTATAAGCTCCGATACCAACTAATCGCGCAGCTCTAGTACTGGTTCCTGCATAAATGCAAGGTAGACGTGCCATCCATGTATCGCCCACACGGACGTTACCGCTATACGTACGGCTTCGTAGGTGTTCAGGAACAACTGCAGACGAGCTTGGCTGGCTAACGACTACATGATAGAACTGGCGAGCCGTCCTTGCGATCCTCTGCACCGTGCCGCCGCTCTTCCCCGGCTGGATCAACTCCATCAACCCCAAAGTCAAAGTCGGCGGCGCCGTCGACATCTTCGACTTTGCGTGGATATTCGGCGTACGTCTTTCCCCTGTGTCGCGCGGCGCTGAACTGACGGAGCCGCAGTTCGTCGTGGCATCGACGGTGTACTACGTCACGTCCGCGTTGTTTCCGGCGAAGGAGACGTACATCCCCGAGGCCATCTTGGCGGACGAGCCGGAGAGCGACTCTGGCCGGACGTCGGATGTGGAGGAGGACAAGAAGAGCATCAAGGAGGAGATCAAGGAGGCTACGGGAGTGTTTCCTCCGGAGCAGGAGCGAGGCCTGTGAGGGGCATCATGACAGAGAAACTACACCTTGTGTAGCTTATGTAGTCAACAATCTAACAAGTTATTGTGTGTCGTGGAGAAGCATTGGGGTTGCACTTGGGGATGACGAGGGCTGTGTCAATATGACTGGTACAAACGTACAACTCTCTCATACGTGCGGTGTCATGAATTCTCATGATCCAAACATTGCGAGCCAGAATGGAAACAATGACACATGTGCCTGTGGTACAGTGCACCGCTGAGAAGACTGTAGAAGAGTGCTACACTACAGGGGTGAGATGAACCTGAGGAGCATTCATGATCACCACCTTTCTGGACAAACGAGCACGCTAACGTCACTATAGAAGTGGCGACCATCAAGTCCATGGATTGTGTCGTGAGTAGGCCAAGCACAAGTAACCAGATGGCGTGGTGGTCGACATAGCTGCAGGCCGAAGTGCGAATCCAGGTCCAAAAGTGAGTATTACACGAGGCTGGTGGTATGGTAAGTAGTAAAGTACAACAATGTCCGGTCATCTGAAATGCACAGCCAAGGGCTAGAATGGCCTTTCTGCTCGCATACGTATCTCCGCTGCAGAGTGAAGAAGGTTGGCCTCCCCTTCACGACGAGACAGCCTCCACGAACCGGCTGTCCCCCGAGCCGCGCGAAACACGCGCAGGGGGGTTCGCAGCCGAAGCGCCGTTCGTGCTCTTCCCCTTGCGGCTAAACCACCGACTGCCTTCCCTCTTCTGCGCCGGCCGTTTCTCGTCCCTTGCGCTGCCCTGTGCCACGGATATCTCCTGAGCCACCTGTTGTGCCTCATCGATCTCCTTCTGCACCTGCTCCGCGCGTTCGCGTAGGAACTTCTCGAGTATGGCGGCGTTGCGCGAGTTGGCTTTATAGACGGCGAGGAGGATGTCGCCTAGGACGGGGACGAAGCCGATAGTGGCGGAGATGAGGTTGTTGGCAAGCATTTGGTGGTATAGGTGGTCGGGTATCCTGGCGGCACATGAGCTAGGCAGTTCGCCGCGAACAAGGAAGACGTACTCTGCTTGCTTTGCCTTGCGTATAACGAGGAAGTAGTTAAGACATACGTCAGCGATGTCACCTGCTCCAGGGATGATGCCTGCACCACAAACTCAATGAGAAGACAGTGCGAAGGAGGCAGACCTGCACTTACCGACGACAAACGTCCATCCGAAGCGCATGCCCAAGATGCGGAAGCCCTTATCGAGGTAATGTGCGCGACGATTGACCGACTTCAGAATCTTCGCGTCACGAGGTGTGAGGCCCGACGGCAATGCTCTCTACCGACGTTATGTCAATTGCGCGAAAGCCAGCAGTGATTGAGAGAGCCAACTCACCTTTCGCCTTTTCTGACGACCTCTGTTGTCGGTGTATGTCTCGTACAACGGATCCTTAGCCTCAAGGTCCTTCAGTTGCTCAGCGAAGAGCTTTCGTCCTCTGCCGAGAATGAAGTTTTCCATGATGGTGGGGGTGGGGGTATGGTAGAGAGCGATTAGTGGGAGGCGGTTTTGTATGAAGGCCGTGTTTGTGGTGAGCGAGCTCCTGGGTGGCTACAGGCTGTGACGTCAGGCAGGTGATTGTCGGCCGTGTCATTTCCGCGGTCTCATTGGCTCGAGCCCTACGTGCGCAGACCTAGATCCGGGTCGTATAGAGTTTGGGACACAATCAGTATATAGGCATAGAGTGGAGGCTTGGTGGAGGCCTGTTCGGGCGAGTGCTGTCCAGGGCGCAGCAATGGCCATGATAATAATTCAGCTGCCAAAAATACATCGGAATTCCTCAGTTCAGCACGTGGCGGGCCTGCGAGCCCAGAAAGGGAAGAAAAAATAGACCCCGCAGCAACTCCGCTGCGGGACGCGACCTGCCGCGGCCGTGGCTTATGTTACCTTGCACTTATCCACCATCATATCGTCTCGGAAAGCCACTTGCTGCCTCCCCCCGGAAAATAGCCATCACGGGCAGCGCGCCCACAATTACCTACAGGCTTCAAGCAGACTTGTCGTTTACAAAACTGGTGAGAAAGTCCTTTCCTTCTCCCTTCCGTCCTATCAGTCGAGTGGCCGCACATCGTTTTGTCTTTACTGGGCCTTACCCGCCCATAGTTCCATCCTGTATTCCAGCAAAATGAAATGTGGATAGACTTCATGGCAGTGCGCAGGAGTGGCTTGGAAACATGGAATCTCGGTAGCGCACCGTGCACGGCGGGGAGCCCTCGTAACCTGCTCACACTCGAACATCATTGACTGCGTGCTGCTAGCTACCACCCATGGAGCTGTCTATCACAAGCGTCCTGCGTGGCCTCTTGGAGCGATGTGCAAGAGATCTCTTCGTTCTCTGCCACTTCAGTCTCTCTGCTCCTGACCTTGAATGATGTCACTGAAGCGATGTATAGTACCTTCACCATGGCCGACGGATCACTCCACAGCCTCACCAGCACGTTGGCTACTCAACAATCTCTTGCTGCACCTGAACCCTCGCAGCAACCGGCAGGTAGTGAGTCTCACATTTCTCAACCCATCTAATCTCTTAACCGCGCTCCAGCCGCTCCGGTTGCGCCTCCACCTCCCCAGCTCAACGGTGCACCACTCGTGCTGGGCCCAGACACCATTATTCCGGAAGTTCCTGTGAAACGCAAGCCTGGCCGCCCGAAAGGCAGCGGGAAAAAGCAGCTCGATCCAAACGCAGAGCCGAAACCCAAGCGGCCAGTGGGACGTCCGAGGAAGGATGGACTCCCTGCGGGCTCGGTAGGCCCCAAGCGACCAGGACGGCCTCGCAAACGGCCACCTGGCTCCTTTGCGAGCGGAGGGCAGTCTGTTTCTGCCGCTTTTCCTAGCTATGCAGTGTGTATCCTTCTATTCGCAAGTGAACCGTCTACTGAGACTGCAGTTCTCTTGTAGCCGCCGTACCCGTATCCTGTCCAAGCGCAGTGGAGAGCCTCTGTGCCGCCTATGGGCTCACTTCCTGCGGGGCCGCCTCCGCCTCCGCCTCCTCCCGCGGCTCAGTTGGCATTCCACATTGACCCCAACCTGGATAGAGACAACTGGACTGAGCTTTCCCGCACCCGGCCGGACGTATTCCTCTCTGCGCTGGTGGCTGCTCTCTCGGCGCCCAACCCAGTGTCGCACGCTGGTCCGAGCGTAGAGGACGCCTTCCGTTCGCATCTTGCATCCCTAGCGCCTGCCAGCAAGAACACGCCGTCGATCCCTACGCTGTACTCCGTGCTCAAGACATTCTGGCTGCCATCTTCCCCCGTGTACTTCTCCCTGACGGCCTCTGCGTCCACTGCGCGCACACCATCGGACCATCGGTTTCTATACTGGGACCCGCAGCCACTCGTCTTCAATGGCATCGCCTGTCCCGCCTGTAGTACCCCGCTCATCAATCGCGGCCGCATTAGCTCGGGCCCTATGAAGGTACACGACCTGGGCAAGCCGTTTTTCATCATCGGCTGCGAGTACGTGTGCAACGGTCAGACGTGCGTCCAGCAGACGTCGCCGGACGGCAGGAAGTTCGCGAGCACGGATGCATCCATCCTGCGCTCGCTTCCATCGAAACTCCAGGACGAGTTCCCCGCGTACCTCCTGCAGGGCGCGCCGGACCTCGGCACTGGCCCAGAGATATGGAACTGGCAGGGCATGGGCGTGTCGATCGCTCTGTGGAACATGGTGCACGCGTGTTTGCGAGCAGGGCTGAGGAAGGAGCCCATCGTTGATATCATACACGCAGTGCAGGACCCTGTCAAGGACGAGAACGTTCGGCAGATGCAGATGCAGCTCCAGATGCAGATGCCGCCGCCTGCGCCTCCCCCGCAAGCCTCCATCTCCGCGCCTCCTGTTCTTGAGCAACCGGATGAGCCAGAGGAAGAGGAGGAGAACGAAGACGCCACACGCGTCGAGGGTGACCTCGAGTACCCAAAGGATGTGAGTATGCACACTTGGTGCACTTTACTGACCGACCACTCATCTCAGCCACAGCCCGCGGAGGAATACAACGAGGCTTGGAATGCCAACAACGGCACGGCGGAAGCGGAGGCCGCGCAGCCGCAGGCGGGGCCTAGCAATGCGCCAGACACCAACGGCCAGCCGGCTGCTGCGCCTTCTATCAGCCAGGGCCCGCCTGCACCCACGAATGGGGCGGCCCCGCCTCCGCCCCCCCCCGCCCCCGCCACAGTACCCCGGCTATGTGCAGTCGTACGGGCCATACCCGTACCCGCCGTACCCGTACTTCCAGCCGCCGCCGCCGCCGCCGGACCCAAACGCGGCGAACCCAAACCCAAACCCTAATCCGAACCTGCTGAAGCGCACGTTTCGATCGTGGATGGCTCGCCGGACCAGGGTCTCTCGGAGCCGATGCAGAAGCGCATCCGGCACTGCTGCAAGTGCGGTTCGAATGAGTGCAAGGGCAAGGGCGGGCGCGCGTTCTGCACGAACCCGTGCCAGGACTGCGGAAGCTCTCGTGTAAGGGCGGAACAGCAAGCGACCGGATAGGACGTGCTCGGATGCGTGGCCGTGATGGCTGGTGAGGAGAGAAGGTGGAAGTGTCGGTGTCGGACGACGACCTGTGTAAGTATCGTATGTTGGTTCTTGCGCTGTCATCCATGAGGTTATGATGTGTAGGCTGTGTATTTTTCTATGCCACTGGGCCAAGTTCTGTATTTCTTTTTCTCATACTTAAGATATAGCTCTTGTTATGCCAATCTCATTCCAATTCCGATCCGATCCTTAATGGGCGGATTGCTTCGAATGCGGCTGGTGTTCCGCTTGATACGGTATCGTGTCTACTCTCCGTTTTCTTTTTCGTTTTCGTTTTCCCATAGATATTTCTCATCTGCTCTCAGTGGAGCACCTTGCTACTGCATACCCATAAATTGCGTGGTCTCGCTTACACTCTTCATAGTCGAAGCTCACCAATTTGAGGCTTTGAAGGTTGGGATTATGACTGTCACTCCTAAGCGTTGACCCGCACGTCGTTATTGCTCTCAGCTGAAAGTCCTCATGCCAGCAGAGGATATCATACTGTCGTACTCTACACAAAATACATGTCTGCGATTCCCGCCGGCGTAGGCAATGGTGTCGGACCCGACATCTGGTCCTCGGTGACGCTCAGCCCGCCGAACGACGAGCACCGCGAAGCCGGGTTCGAACTTCCCCAGTTCCCCAATAACCCCTCGAATAGACTCTGGAACGCGACAGTGCCCTGCCGTTGCGGCACATCGAGCGACGTCACTGGCGGGATGGTGGTCTGGCGGTAGAGCGGCGCGCCAGGCGTGCGATGGAAGTCGCGAGGACCCGCCTCTTGAGCCGGGGTGACGGCAAGATGGAGCGGTAGACCGGGGGTCAGAGGGAAGTACCGCTCCGTCGACTCGCTAGGAGCGACGCGGGCTGCGGAGTGAATGGGCGCGCCAGGCGTCAGGGGGAAGTTGCGTCTCATCAACTCGCCGGGAGTGACGATTGGGTCTGCGGCGGAGTCCTCCTGTATGACAGACAAACGGTCACTTTCACGAGGCTAGTAAGATTGTGAACTCAGGTGACTTACGATGATGCGACGAGGATCGATACGCGGGCCAAGGAATGCGCTCGCCGTGGGCTCGACTGGCGAGCCGACGAACGAACCCACTGGGATCATGATTCCCAGCCCGATCAACGACTGCGACTGCGGCTGTTCGTGGGCGAACGGCGGCATGACATACAGCAACGGACGTTCCAGCGGCTTCCGGAGCGTCGGCTGGGACGGCATGCTTACAGGCGTCGACGGAAGACTGAGGTCGCCCTCGTCGTAGTCGATAGGCCATGCCTTCCCCTGCTGCATTTCGGGCGAAGCGGGCGGTGTCGGCGGGGGCGTCGGAGGAGCGCTGAAGAGCGTCTGTGCGTAGCTGGTGGACCTCACGCCCATCGGCGCCATTCGCGGAGGCGTGTCGCGGAGGGAAGGAGGGAACAGCTCGGATGGGAGGCCCAGTCCGACGATAGATGCTGTGATGCGGCTGGTCAGCCATCGCGTTCAGTGCAAATGTGTGACGGAGCTTACCATCATTGGTGTTTGTTTGGGACTCAGAGCCCTTGCGTGCCTGCGCATGGGCCAAGACTGCCTGCAGTTCGAGCCTGTTCGGACGATGCGAACCAGTCGTAGATGTGTCCGAACCATGGCACTTGGTCCTGGTGAAAGACCGTGCGACGCTTCCCTGGCCCGCCAGGGAGATGGTGCGAGTGAACAAAGGAGCAGACATAGTAGTGCGATATGCGGGTTTAGTAGATGTGTGACTCTGGTGTGGTTGGATTCGATGGTTTGAACGGAGGACCCGTCCCTCCTTTTATGCATTTCTGCCAACGGGTTCGGATACTGATTGTGCAAGCACGGAAGCCATCCGGAGCGGATGTAGGAAGCCACTGGATGTCCGAATCCGAGGTCTGCATATCCGTCTGGATTCAGCACTGGAGACGCACCAGTCAGCATCGAAATCCGCTTTCAGGTAGAAACTCCTATGCCAACTCCTACTAGTGAAAGATGTTAACTTAATCAAAAGCGGCTTTGGCTCGCACCTAATTAAGCCGAGCATGTAGCACTGTTCAAGTTACAGAGTTAGAGGTTGAAAAGTCGCGTCAAGTGCAGGATTTTACCAAAGCATCTTGCCACACGACACTAGTGAGTCATTGCATATAGAACACGATCGACCGACAATGCGGATGCAGGTTTCTGGTTTGTTTCCGAGGATTACGGATATGTAAGTGGAGAAGTCACGGTCTGGGCCACGGATCTAGATAAGGATGATACCAAGCGGAGGTGGCTGTGCCAAGCCGTCCGGGGCGCTTGTTGACTTTGTGTTGCCAGTGACTGCCCACATCCTCTGTCAATGCTCTCTTCGCCTGATATCTGGCATTCGAGTAGATACGGTGCTCTCTTGTCATTTTGATGACGAATTGGCAGCCTTCAGGACGCAGAACCTTCGACATCCAGGCTGCTCATGATATCCGGGCAGGGATCATCCGGAATCCGACTGCCATGGTCCCCACGAACGCGGCATCCTTGTATGTATCTCCGAGAGCTTGCTAATAGCCGCCTTGAAGATTCAGATGGGGAACTCGTCGATGCACTCATCGGACTGATTGGGTCGGTATCGCAAGCTCGGGCATCGGTCATCGAGGCCGCAAGTTGCTACGTGCCGTCGTTGGGTAAACTTGAACACCACGTCGACGTTAGCGATATCTTCACGCTCGTTCTTTTTCGCAATTCACGTCCGGCGCGGCACCGCAGTGCGTGGAGACATGGAGTAACGCTCTGAGCCAGGGCTTGATCTATCAGGCATGTAAGTATAGTTCAACCCGATGCCGACGCAGTAGCTCTTCGATAACTGGTGCTTTGACAGCCTGAGCGGCTTTCTCTTTTTCAAAGAGTTACTGCAGGGGGTCCCGCATTGCAGGTCGAAGTAACGCACAGGGACGCTGATCATATATTGCAGGATGTGAAGCAGCCTTTTCTGCTACATAGTTGTCGAACCCTCGGAGGACACGTTCTGATCGTAGACATTAAATAATGCATTTTACAGCGCTTGCATGCAGATCTGATGGTATGTGTGATCGCGATCTGGATGAATGTTCCTACCTGACGTATGCACACAGTAACGGCCTGGTAACGGCCTCTGCTCACCCGGATCCGTTGCGGTTCCGCGAGGAAGGCTTCTTTCATGGACTGGTTAGCCTCATTTTCATTCTCATGCGCAAGATGACTGAATGTTACTGACAGTCAACGATAGCGCCCCGCGTCAGCCATGACTCCGAGTCGGAAGCACGAACGTACCCATTCAGCTAATGCGTTGGGATAGTGTGGTGACGTGTCGGCCACTATCGTGAAGTTCCTGAGATACACCGTTAAACATCTCGAATCTTGATTTGAACGTAAATGTCCGGATCGGGTCATTTGGATGGACACCCGCAGCCTGGATACAGAATGTACCGGGTGGTGGCGCTGCCGGATCGGAGAAACGTATGTAGCGCGTTCGACGACAGGACTCCGGACCACGCGGACGCTATGCAGCCTATGCTTACACACGACACATGCAGACAAATCGCCTCAGATTCGATGTCTCTGACATACGCCGGATATGCTCAGTTACCGGGTCCCATAAAAGAGGCTTGGGCCCTCGTCACTTCGCCGCTATTAGTGCTCTGTCTCGTCGTCAAGCCCGCTGAACTGTAGCGCAACAATGTCTCTCCCTCCGCTGCCTCAGACGCAGGCCTCTCGCACGCAGCCTTCAAACTCCCCCCCTCGACGGGTCCTGGTGATTCCTCAGATCTATGACTGGCACCAGCAACAGTCGTCCACGCATCGCCTCTTCGTGTATGCGGAGGACGACCGTGGTCCTATCCGTACCATTCCCTGGTCCGAAGCTGCGGTAGCCATCGCGCGGAGCTACCATCTCATCCGCGAGCGTGTGGCTGGTCTGCCGGAAGGCAGCGTTGTCGGGATTCTGTCAGGCTCAGGTACCTCACGTCCATGCACGCAATTCGTCTGTGAAGCTAACGACGCGTCTTTCAGACTCCATCCCTTATGTCACCTTCGCCATGGGTATCATGCGGGCGAACTACGTCCCCTTCACGATCTCGTCCCGGAACTCCGCCGCTGCGGTCGCGCACCTGCTCAGCAAGGTGGACGTGAAGCACCTTCTCATCGGCCGGGAGCAGGCCATGCATGATCTTGCTGAGGAGGCGTTTGCTATTCTCAAGGAACAGAGCGCGGACGCGTCCGTCCCTTCGACCTCGTCGATGCCAGTGTTCGAGGAACTCTTCAAGCCGTCATCCGAGGATGATGCCGCCCTTGAACTCAGTGCTCTGCCGTACAAATCGAGAGGGGCCGATGCCCCAGCGATCATTCTGCATTCTTCAGGTGCGTCAAGGATGCGGATCGCACATCACTCGCGGAACTCATGTGCTAACACTGCATGTCGTAGGATCGACTGCCTTCCCGAAAGCCGTCACCTTCAGCCACCAGCGGCTGCTCCAGATTGCCCGGGCCCCCTTCTACGGGCAGCGTGACTTGACGAACAAAATCTACTCGCTGCACACTGTACCCATGTTCCACGCATTGGGTATCATTCACACCATGCTCGCGGTACGTCCATCACGACTCCTCATGCCTCGCATCAGTATATCGACCATCGTCGTCGGATACCTAGATGTCTAGCGGAATTGTGTTCAGCATCTTCGCCCCGCGCTCTCCCCCGGTGACGCCAACAACAGACATGGCGATCCAAGGCGCTATCGCATCGGACAGCGACATCATCGTCGCGGTCCCTGCCATGATTGAGGTGCGCACGTCGTCCGGATGAGTTTCTCCACGACACTCAAACTTTGATCACACGCAGGCGTGGTCGCACAATCCGGATTACGTCAACTGGCTCAAGACACGCACCGCTGTCGTGGGTCTATCCCCTCCCTCCGCGAGTGCTGCGATGCTGAGGCATACTCGTTCAGATATATAGTGGTGGCCCTCTGAACAAGGAGGCTGGTGACTTCATGGTCTCCGAAGGCGTCACGATCTTCTCTCTTTACGGATCGTGCGTCGCTCCCGTCTCCAATACTCTGCAGTCCACTAATGCGAGCGACAGACCGAGTCGGCCCAACTAGTGTCGTATTACCAGGTAAGCCTGATCGCAGCTTTAGCTGTTTACCTCTCATACGCAGCGAATCGCAGCGGGGACGCCGAAGGAGTGGGAATATTTCCAGATAAGCTCCCAAATCGGACACAAGATGCAGCACTTCGCGAACAACGAGTATGAATTCATCCACGTCGTAAGTTGTCCTTGTCTACGGACGTCAGCAGCGCATGGTCAAGCCTGACGTGATGCTTAGGCTAACGAGACCATGGTCCCGAACATCATCAACACCAAGGTCGATGGGGCGGACGCTTACGCTACCTCAGATCTTCTCGTTCCCCATCCTACGAAGAAGGGCTTCTGGAAGATCTATGGTCGTACGGATGACCAGATCATGCACAGTACTGGAGAGAAGGTAAGATTGGCCGTCTGTGGAAGTGCACTTTGAGCTCATCCGTGCACTGCAGACAAACCCCGGACCACTTGGTAAGTTACATGGACAACAGACGATATTGTCTCCGTCATTTACATAAACTTCAGAGGCCATGATGAGCCACGATCCGCATGTGGTATCCGGTGTCATGTTCGGCCGCGGACGGTTCCAAGCGGGCATCATCGTCGACCCCAAACCTCAATACGTCTTCGACGTATCTGATGAAGCGAAGCTAGCTGAGTTCAGGAACAAGATTTGGTACGCGCTCAGTCGATATTCCTATTGTCGATTGCCTCTCATGTAATCACAGGCCAACGATCGAGAAGATGAACGCGTACGCCCCGCAACATTCAAGACTGTTCAAGGAGGTGCGCGGAATGGTGGAAGCAGTCTCATTAGTGTCGTCTGAACACCACTTGTTCCCCAGATGATCCTGGTGGTCAGACCCTCGAAGCCGTTCGTCTACACCCCAAAGCGCACAGTGCGCAGAGGCGCCGTCATCAACCTCTACGAAGAGGAGATCGACGCCCTGTACAAAACGGTAGAGGCATCCGGCGCACAGGCCAACATCCCTTCTCCCTCGCAGTGGGATGTGTCGGCGTCTACGGAGTTCGTCCGCCGCGTCGTCTGGGCGGTTATGACACACAAGGTGGCGGACGACGATGACGTCTTCCAGCACGGATGCGACAGGTGACCGCATCACCACTCCTGATGGATGGCAATATCTGACCAGACCCCCAGTCTTCAAGCAACGTACATCCGCAACACCGTCCTGCACGCGCTGCGCGAGGACGCGAAAGTCGAGACACGCAACTTGTCCAGTGCCTTCGTATACGAGCATCCGACAATCGCCGCTCTCGGCGCCTTCGTATCCTCTACTGCACTCGGGACAGCGAACGTGACAGCGTCTCTGACAGCGCGGGTCGACGCCATGCAGGCCATGGTGGCGAAGTATACTGCTGACTTCCCCGTGCACAAGACGATCCTCCTGAAAGCAGCTCAGCCGGTGAAGGATGTCGTCATCGTTACGGGGACGACTGGTGCTCTGGGAAGCCAGTTGCTCGTCAAGCTTGCGCGCAACCCAGAGGTAAAGAGGGTGTATGCATTGAACAGGGCGTCGCGCGATCAAGTCCCGATCCGCGAGAGACAGGCGAAGGTCTTGGTCGAGCGTGGCCTCGATGCCAGCGTGCTGGACACGGACAAGGTTGTCCTTGTAGAAGGCGACCTGACACAGCAGAATTTCGGGCTCTCCGAGGAGACCTACAAAGAGGTCTGTTGGTCAGCACTTGAAGCAGGCATTGGGGGGCACTCATTCATTTTGATAGATCCATCACTCAGTGACGCATATCATCCACAATGGTACGGGACAGTCTCCGAGTTCTGTGAAAGGGTGCGACAACTGACATCTCGTAGCATGGAAGGTGGATTTCGCCATCAATCTACCCTCATTCGAGCCGCAAGTACATGGCGTCCGCAGTCTCATCGACTTCGTGCTCACCTCTCGCCTGCCCTCGCCCCCGCGGCTGCTATTCACAAGCTCAATGGCCGTCCTCCAAAGTGAGTGACCTCCGCGACGGCAACGGCAATTCACTGAGCACGCACCTTCGTTCTATCGCCCAGATGCCCCGCTGGACCAGCGCTGCCCAGAATCGTCCACTGACCCACTGTGGGCCGTCGGGAGCGGCTACGCCGAGTCCAAGTGGGTCTCAGAGCAGATCCTATACGCCGCAGCGGCGCAGACCAAAGCAGACACCCTCGTCGCGCGAGTCGGCAGGTCTGCGGGGGGCCCGACGGCGTCTGGAACGCATCAGAGTGGTTCCCCTCCCTCGTCCAGAGCGCCCCCAAGCTCGGGTGCTTCCCGGACGACGACAAGGTGCGCTGCGCACCCCCGTCCGAATACCCGCGACGGAGCTGACACGCCGACCCGCAGGACGTGCAGTGGATCCCGCTCGACATCGCGACCGACGCGCTCATCGACTTCCGCAGGGCGGCCCCGCGACGCGCGTCGTCCACCTCGCGCACCCGCGGCCCGTCCCGTGGCACGCCCTCGCCCTCGCCGTCTGCGCGACGCTCGCCGTGCCGCTCGTCCCCTACCGCGCGTGGCTCGAGCGGCTCGAGGCGCAGGCCGCCGTGTACGCGTCCCAGAGCGCCGCGGCGCAGGCGGACACGATCCGCGGCCTGCGCGCGCTGCACCTGCTGCCGATGTTCCGGGGGATGGCTCAGAATGAGGGCCAGGAGAGGCGGATGGCGCTCGGCCTGGCGGATATGGACGTGAGCCTTGCGAAGGGGGCGTCGCCGACGCTCGCGGATCCGGACGTGAGGCAGTTGGGCGCGGAGGACGTGACGCGATGGGCGGCGTACTGGCGCAAGGTTGGCTTGCTGGGAGCCTAGGTCCGATCAGCACAGGAGCTCAGTGGAACTTATATCCAGATGCACTCACTGCATTTCAATGATCTCGATGACTACTTTGATAGATGAGGATCTCGTTTACTTTGCAAAGTTGTGCACTCACCCGATGAGTTGATGGACACTACATACGGATACCCACAACGACTTCGCATCCAGTATCTACACACGCTTCGATTGCTACCTATATCAAGAATGATACAGATTCAATGGAAAGGACGTCGCAGCGGCGTACGCGGATCTTGCTCCTGAGGGCCTGATAATAGAGAACAGCGGTGCGCGCAATAGTCGTGATAGTGTGAGATTACAGGTATGCAGCAAGAGACCGACAGCAGACAACAGACAACAGCCAAAGTATACCCAACGATAGCACCAATAACTTACTGTGGATCCTCGTTCCAGATTTCCATCCGCGGGGTAAATAAGTGGCATGACGGTTTCATGTTCATGTTCTTCAGAGGAGTCGATTTTGCGCGGGCGGGATGCCGTTCGCCATCCTGAACATCGTGACGAGCCCCGACAAGCTCGAATACTAGAAAGCATCCGACACCATCAGCGCGGCCCAAGGCGGAAAAAAACAACAACAACAGAAGCTCTACCCACCCCGTTGCCCACGAACACCTCTGCCCGCTGCCCGATCAGCATATCCACCGCCTGCTTCACGAACCTCTGCTCCCAATTCACCTCCAGCTCCCTACTGCTCGCGACCGTCCTCCACCCGCCCGTCGCCCTCACCGCCTCCCGGAGCTCGTCCACCCACTCCCCCGGCGCGTTCGTCATAAATACATGTCCACCAGCTCCGGCCGGCCCGCCGCCCGTGCCCCCGCGCGCTCCTCCACCGCCGCCGCACGATCTCGCCATGTTCGGGAAGCAGTGCGGGCGCTGCAGCGCGACGCGCTCGTCGTCCGTCGTGTCTGGGGGGTAGCCGAACCGGTCCGGCAGCGCGGGGAACGCGTTGTGCCCGACGTACGCGGAGCCCCAGCGCGCGAGGTTCGCGCAGTGCTCCGCGAAGTCGCCGCGCCGGATGTGGAACGCGAGCAGGCCCGGGATCGCCGCGTACCGCGCCGCGCTCGGCGAGGGCGCGCCGGAGCCGCGCGCGGGGGCCACCAGGGGCTGCGTGCCGAGCGGCGGGACGTAGACGTGCGTGGGCGCGAAGGCTTCGCGGTTCTGGTCGAAGGCGAGCTCGACGAGCGGGGACCAGGCGAATTCTTGGAGGATCGGCGACGTGGAGAGCACGGGCCAGACGTCGAGCAGTCGGCTCGCGTCGCCGAAGATGCTGTGTGACGGTCAGCCGGCGACTCAGATTTGAGCACGGGTGCGACGGCGGACGTTACGCACAAGATGTCAAAGTTGGACGGCGCGTCGTGCGGGATTTCGACGCATTTGTCGGGGAGGTCGCCGAAGACCTCCACCCACTTCTCGATCATGTTCGCGGCGGTGGGGACCTTGCCGCCGAGGCGCGACGAGACCTCTTCCGTGCGAATGTACTTGCGCTCGCCTTCCGGGCAGACTCTGCGGTAGTAGTCTTCCGTGACGGCGAACGGTCGTGCCGCGGAAGGGTCGGTTACTGACGGGGCACCGAGCATCGGTCCTAAGGCTTGGTGTCAGTCGGGCAAGGCGGGGCGCGTATATAGAGTGACGCACCCTGCAGGAGCGCTGAGAGGGGAATCGTCGAGGGTATGGGTTTGTCGTCGAAGTAGGAGATTTGTGAGCCGTCGTCCCGCCATGTATAATTATAGTACACAAATCTGCGGGCGGGTTGTTAGACGACGGACACCAAAGATACGGTGAAACGTACGTTCTACCCATGCGATGTGCCAGCAATGCCTGCAGAAGTAGTTCTTGCATGACATTACCCCAGCCACTGTCTATCAGCAATTCGTCAGCCTTGGTCTCAGCACACGCGATCAGCTGTGAGAGTCATAATGATTGGGCCTTGCGATGGGGAATTGAAGTGGTAAGGCATATCGCGTAGACCTTTGTGGACTTGCGGAAGATCAACCTGTTCCACACTCATCAATGGAACCCAGACAGATGGCATGCATCCCGATATCGGCTACAGGCTGACGACGATCGCCAGGCGGACTGTCGCAAGCATGAATGCAGCATGTATGCGCGACTCCTGCCATACATGTAGCTTTGTGCACGAGGACAGACGGCGTAATTAATAATTATGCACTCACTTCGTGCATGATTGGCAAAGAACATATATTTCGTGTCAGCGAAGTCTCCATTCTGCTCCGATGTCTGGAGCTCGTATTCGTGGAACCTGGCATAATCCGGCGGCATCCGTACTATGGGGTCCGGGAGTACAGCAGAAACGACGGGTGCATCGCGCCACCGCCAGTAGTTCGTGCCCAGCGAGATGACTGCCCAGAAGAGCGCGAGGCCAATGAGGAACGCGACGGCGAGCTTCGTGTATCGACGCGTGAACCAGAGGCCGCTCCTGGCGGGCACGCCGTTCACCTTTGGGAGGAGGTCGGCCTCGGAGTCGGACGGGGCATGACCGGGGACCCAGCGCGTCTTGGAGGAGCTACGGGAGCTGGTGAAGAGGCTAGACATGGGTGACCGGGTGCGGAGGGCGCGGGGAACCAGCCTGAGGACGAGATAAAGACGAGGGTGCCGCGCAGTCTGACCGAGGTGGGGCGCGCCGCGCTGGTGGGCATCTGGTTAAGTAGGGGCGAGAGCCGCCGGTGGCCGGGTGGCAGTACCGCGAGTTGGAGGCGCGGCAGGATGGCCCCCGTGTGGTTGTGCACATTGCTGCGGCGAGCGGTCGCTGGAGGAGGCGGCCGGGGCGGCTTCTGTTCGCAGCGTGAGCAGATTGTTGTTGGGTTCCCGGAGGCAACAAACTATCACAACTGACCAGGTTGATGTTGTTGAGAAGGGTGCCGTCTGGCTGCGTGGTTGGGCGCGCAGCCGTGCATTCGCATTGCAGGCAGCGCGTGGTGCAGCGTATCTGGCCTGCTGACAGCGATGACGGTGCACTGAACCGCGTCGAGCATAGCTGGGGGCCTGTCATGGAGCCCGCCCGGGATGCCAGTTGGACAGCCCGATCGGGCGAGGAGCATGCGCCGCGACTGGGGCGTGTCTCTTCCATCCACTCATCCGCCGCATCCCGCTTCTCCCGCTCGCAGCACGCATTCTGTCCGCTCTGACCTGGCGCAGAACTATCCGTCAGCGATGTCGCCCGACAAATACCCAGACATACAGAGTTCAAACTCTACTTCAACCAACTGTCAGCGAAGATGCCTCGTCCGTTCGATGCTATCCGCCGACGTTGAGTCTATTGCATGAGACTCGGCATCCAGCGGCCTTCCTGATAAATAAGCAGACTGGTAGCACCTAGCGGGTAGCCAAGGCATTCGCATGAGAGGCTGTGTCGCAACTCACTGTTCGTCACGCTGGGTCTGCGCCCAATGTCAGCCGGTGCATTACGAGACGCTTGCTGGTTTGTTTGGTTGGCAATGGAGACTACCGGTGCATCGGATAGACCCTGCAGTTAACACCACGACGCAGCTCCTCTTGTGTTCCGTCTTCCTCATGGGGGGAGGTTCCAGGAGCGGGACCGAATAGACGCTGTCCTCGCTGCATCTCATTTGGGCGCTATGCAATGTTTTGACTCCACTTGCCACCGTCGTCCTCGTCCCGCGATGAAAGTATCAACGTAGAGCTGTGTTGTTGACGCCTCTTCCAAAGCAAGGAGTATCTCGCTTCCTTGGATGTAGATGCAGCTACAGATCTAGGCCTTCTCAAAGCGTACATCAAACCTGCCATATTCGGACGCCTCGATCAACCCAGTAGTAATACCCATCCACCCGCGTGCCCATCCTCCATGGTGCCATCCAACACAGTCCTGCATCCCGCCAACACGCTCTGGCGTGCAGCCTAGGTGCTCTTCTTCTTTCCCGCCCACAGCATATCATCCATCTCTGCTCTACGCCAACCTGGTGTAGTGGTAAGTAGTCTCCTCCGAGTCGCCCCGCATCGGGCTTTATCAAATCTGACATAACTTACTCAAAGCCGTTAAGATTCAGTAATCCCGATAGAGTATAGAGTTCGCTGGCCTACGCCAAGTGACGCATGCCAGTGCGTCACGGTGCTCGCGTCAATCTGCCAAACTCCCCTCGCGACCCAACTGCCACGTCCGTCACGGTGATCGCGGCAGTACTTCGCAAGTACTCGTGGCTATGGATTCCCTCAGCCTCATGCAGTCCCGCTGTGACTGTCGAACTGTTCAACGCTCAGGCTACCGGTAACCGCGACCCGCAGAAGGCCTTCGGATTGTTCAACACACTAGTGTCCCAGTCGTACAGTGACGTTGGGCGCAGGTGTCGCACTGGAGGCTCAGACTCTTCTGCTAGTGGTCGTGCCAGTGCGACGCGGTGCTATCTTGGGCCTCAGCACTGTGAGTATCTAGCTTCAAAACGGCCCCAGCAAAGCACCCGTCTCGAGGCTCAAACCCCGTTCCTATCTCCCGAGGAATGTGGCGATGAACGAGCGCTGCCATTAATTCCGGCATGCCTAATCCCAGCGCGGAGTCGATTACCTTCCTTCGGCCCCACCAACTCGGACGAGCCTTCGTACGCGGCACCGGAGCAATCGCGAACTGTGGGTTTGATTCGGAACAGCGGCGTGTGCCAGTGAGTCGTACCGCCACTGACCCGCCGGCGGTGAGTCGGTCACGGATGCCAGTGCCGTGATCAGGTCTCCGTTGTAAAGTTGCACGTCCATTGGTTGCGACTCGCATCCGCTAGGATGACCGCGGCACGCCCCGCGCAATACATCTGTCACCGCGCCTTCCATCTCGGCGCTGTCAACTAGCACATGGGCCAAAGCTCATGCAAACTCCGCCATCGAGGTGCCGTTTTGTCACTTGGAGGTCACGGCGAAATCGATCACGTATTGGACAAAGCCGACGTTTCTACAACAAAGGCGTGCGGGTCTGGAGAGTCGGGCTGACTACACACATCAGTGGGGGGCGTCCCGCTGCAGTTGTCGAGTTTGCGCCGCGATTGCTGTGATCCGGCGGGGCTCGAGCTCCCGCACGCTTTCCGTGACGTCGTGCATTCGCCCGCGTGTGCGGCAGGCGAGGATAGACCGCCTGAGATGCGCTGCGAGACGAGCACCTGGCGCGATCCGTGGAATTGCGTCTGGAGTACGCGCGGAGCTTCTCCGTGTCGAGAGGACATGTGGGTGGGTGGACTGTGTAATGTCGGCGGAGTGATCTTGCCAAGGTCTCTGACCGCGCGTACTGGAGCTTGGCAGATGTGTTTGGTGAACCTGTGCTGAGCCGCTCGGATTAATCAATTCTTTCGTGACTGAAGCCTATATGCATACACACGCGACTTGCTCTCAATGTTCCATACTCACTATTTTCCCAGGCTCCGCCGGTGCCCTCAGACCCCAGTGACACCAAAGGAACAAACAAACCTATATCCTGCACGTCCATAATGACCGCGTTTCTATCCTACACCCAGACATACGCGTGTCTGCACGTTTCCTGCCTTCTACGCGCCCATGCACACAACAACCTGCCGGCGTGAACCGGCTCACTCCCTAGCAAAGAGCCCAACTCTCCGCCAATACGCCAACCACCTTGCACGTCCTCCACACCCAGCTGCCTCATCCCGGGTCCGCCATCGTCCCTGACGCCTCCTTCGCCCTACTCACGTCCATATCCGCCATACCCACGCCCGCGTCCCTGCCCACGTTCTCCGCCATCCCGCGGAACATCGGCAGCAGGTGCAGCGCGCGCAGGCTCTGTACGCCGACCCGTCCGCGCTGCCGCCGGAGTGCTGCTCGAGCTTGGCGAGCCACGTCGCGAACGGCACAGCGGGACGGAGAACTCGGCGGAGACGGCGACGCGAGGATGTGCCAGAGACGGGGCGGGGTGACGAGGTGCACGAGCTGTGTCGGGCTGGACGCCTTGCGGAAATCGACGAGCGCGGCGGTGGCGAGGTCCAGTTGGATCCAGTCGACGGCTGGTAGAGGATCAGACTCGTCGTTCGGTGAAGTCAGGTGTACTCACCTTGTGGTCGTCGGGGAAGCAGCCCAGTGTAGGCGCACTCTGGACCATGGACGGGAACCACTCGTGGGCGTTCCACACACCATCACGGCCAGCACAGATCTGACCCAGTCTCGCGACGAGCGGGTCGAGCGCTGTCTTCTCGGTGGCAGTGAACAGGATCTGCTCAGAGACCCACTTCGACTCGGCGTAGCCCGTGCCGATGGCGTACTCGGGTTTGCTGGAAGACTCCAAGATCAACTCCTCCGATGGGGCATCTATTTTGGGAGGCGATGAGTGCTTGGACAGACATGACATAACTTAGGATTTCGAACTCACTCTGGAGCGTCCCCATCGAGCTCTCGAACACCAGCCTCGGTGGTTCAGGTAGGGGGGAGCTGAGTGCGAAGTCAACCAGGGCCCGGACACCTTCCACCTGCGGCTCGAAGGACGTGAGGTTGATCACGAAGTCCACACGCCAAGCTGAAGGTTACAAAATGTCAGCAACCGTTCAACAGCCACGCCACCCTCATGCATACCATTGTGAATGATGTGCGTCACCGAACGACGAAGCTCCTCATACACCTTCTCGCCCATGCCGAAGTCCGCCTTCGTCAGGTCGCCCTCGAGTAGTACGACCTTGTCCGAGTCCAGCACGCTCGCGTCGAGCCCGTGGTCGTCAGCGCCGACTTCTGCCTCTCGCGAGCGGGACTGGTCCCTCGAAGGCCGGTTCAGCGCGTAGATCCGCTCTATCTCCTGTTATCCACGAGCTGAACGAGCAAGTGACAGCCCAAGCTTCCCGTGGTCCCCGTGACAAGGACAACATCGCCCGTGGGCAGTTACCCGGGTGGCTCTGTGTCGGGAACCGTGGTGTACTTGACCACCATCGCGTGCATGGCTCGATGCGGGCGGCGGCGGAAGCGGTCGAGCTCTCCGAACAGTCGGGATTGCCGAGCGCGATGGAGGAGTGAACGCGGCCAGTTGCGTGATGCTCGGGTGGTCATAGACGAAGCTCTCCGGTACGGGGCGCGTGTCGACCTTCGTTGTCTCGCGGACGGCGCGTAGCAGGATGTTTCGGATATATGTGGCTTGAAGACTAACGTGGACGCAGTCAGCGGACTTTGCAGACGACGCGTGCCATAGATCATCACCTGTCGCAACCGTGCTGGAAGAGATCGCCGTCGTCGGGTATGCTGCGGCTCATGACTTGACTAACTACCGCACGAACGAATCCAGTCGCGGCGGGAATGTCCCAGCTTGAAGGGGGTGAAACAGCGGACTGCGAGCTGCTTTCGACCGATTCGTACAGTGCGTCGATCTCGTCCTCGTATTCCTTGATCACAGCTCCACGGCGCACGGTATGCTTAGCCGTGTATAAGAAGGGTTTGCTCGGCTTGGCTACCAATATCATCTACGGGTATGACGAACGCAGACGTCAACTCGTAGACCAGTTCATCACACAATGTGAGGCGTACCTCCTTGAAGAGCCGCGAGTGCTGCGGCGCGAATCCGTTCATCTTATGACAGTCGGCCTAAGCAGGGCAGTGAGACAACATGCTGACGCACACTTCCGTCTTCTGTACGCACCATATCTTATGCGAAACTCAGCAACGTTAACCTCGTCAGAGGGATCAAAGCTGTATTCCCGCTTAGGCTCGACAAGAATCCCTGTCTGGAGTTTCCCACGACCGAACATGACGCTCGCCTGCACATGTGGGTCCTGGTTCATCATGGTTTCTACGGTCCCAGGTCAGTCCTGTATTGCCCGTCTTATACCTATCAGCTTACCCAAAGGACCTGGATTCGTCTGAAGTACGTCAGCTCCGCAGAACTTAACCAGAGGCCCCGTTCGCTGCTCACCTTCTCACCGGTACTATGCATGATCTGATCATCAGTGCGACCCACGACCTTGTACAGACCCTTCTTTGTCGGATGAGGCGCAACAAGATCGGAAGTCGAGTAGGCGTCCACCCCATCGACCTTGGTGTTGATCACGTTCGGGCGCAAAAACTCGTTTGCCTAGAACGTGAGCGCATCTTAAGCATGCATGAAGGAAAGTGACAAAACCCCTATTCACCACTACGGTGACTTCGTATTCATTGTTTCCGTAAGGTCCCAGCTTCACCTGTAGGTAGGTCCCAAAGTGGAAATACTCCCAGTCTACCCCTGGGTCAGCTAGAGCGGGCTTCAATCTCACTCGGCATCGGGTGCAGAAACAAAGCTGACGCCTACCAGCTATGAACATGTTGACAGACCCACACTCAGTGCTGAAGTTTCTGTTAGTGGTGCACGGATTCTGGATCGTGCCGCACGTACGACCCATAGCCGACGAGGACTCTGACGCCTTGAGAAACCAGCTGATCGCCACGCTCCTTGCTGAGCGGGCCACCGCCACATATCTAGACAACACATCCTAGGATGGCGGTCACCAATAATGCTAGAAGTTACGTACGACACCGTCCCGCGTAGCGAGCCATTTCACATACTCGGGGTTTTGCGACCAAGCCTATTAGTCAAAAGCATTCAGCACGGGCGGGAAAGGACCGCACGGAGTTCAGGACGAACCTCGATCATTGATGGCACAGTCACGACTATTTCTGCGTCGGTTGCCATTGCGCCTTGGATGACCGAGTCATGAGTAGGAGTAACGGGCGGCGTCTTCGGCGCGGGTACAGCGAGCACCATGCCGCAAGTTACCTGGAAAGTCGATGGTGCACGTCCTTCAGCGCTCAGATTTGGCACACGAGCTGTGCTGCACCCGTCACGTACAGCATTCGATGTGAGGATCATGCCCATTGCATGGAACATCGGCAGGCCATGCATAGACATAGAACGGCCTGTTAGGTCGCGCTCTCCGTAGAACGGAGTTCTAGCGATTTGTAGCAATGATCGGTGGGTCCAGGGAATCGGCTTCGGGAAGGCGGTTGACCCTGGTATTCTTCCATAAGAGACGAGCCGCTCCGTAACAAAAGCCCCTACTTACCCGATGAGTGCAGAAGAAATGCGCGCTCGTCTAACCCCGGATGTTCATAGAGAACATCGTCCGCGGAGATGTCCGCAGGCCCGGCCCCATATAGATCGCTGAAGACAGGCATTGGCGACGTTTCTGGTATGTTCGTGGAGTTATACTGCGATTTGAGGATCTCGAACGCATCTGCGACCAGCTCCTGCATGGCCTCGTCAAGCCCAACGATCACATGCTTGACGTTAGTCTTCTCGAGTAGATGCACGACGGCTGCAGGCGAGTTCCGCGTCGAGAGAGGAAACGGGGTATAGCCCGCACGCATGATCCCCATGATCGTCGTCGCATAGGGTATCGAGTCTGCAACGTACAGATGATTAGATTGTGCCTAGCCGTATACTCAGTGACCACATACCTGAGGCGGACAGTATCGCGACGACCGGGTGGTCACCCTCATTGGCCTTCCAGCCTAGACGTTCTCTCACCAGCAGCGCACTTTTACGGATGGCCTGGCTGGCACGGGACCAGGTAATAGTTTTGGAGGTACCATCGTCCTCCGGATAGATGAACAAGCGATGATCGGCAGAGTGTTTCCCGTGGTAATCAAGCAGCTGAGGGTAGGTCAATGAGCCATCTAGCGGTGGAATATGGAAAGTAGTGCATGAACGGCCTTGAGTCTGAGATACAGTAGGGAGAAGGCGCGACGTAGGCATGGCGGAGAACTACGTCGAGCTGCGGGAATGGATTCGTAGGGTGAAAAGTTCTGAGGTCTTCCAATACGGTCAGATGCTCTACATTTATAGCCCAATCCCAAATCCGACCCGTGCGAAATGTGTAAGATGTAATTCACCTCGAGTTCGGCGACGCGGGTCGTAGCTCATTAATGCTAGACCCCTTCCCGAAAACGCCTGCACGGGCGAGAGTCGTCGAGTGACCCGGAACTTCGCTGGTCGCGACCCTCGACATCCCCTAATATGATAAAATCCTGATGAGCATGCCCCAGACACCAAGACGTACGGACACGCTCCACCTGTCAGAACCTTCGCGCCCGGGCTGTAGCGATTATGTGGCATTGGCTGTGAAACGCCTCCACCACCATTCGTCCTGCGGTCGGGCGTGTCCCTCGGCCGCTCGGGCAGAAGTTCAGGTTAGACGCACCTAGCGTTCACCTGCAAGTCCTTGCTCTCCAATGGTTTCCTCGGCCATGCAGCCTGGCTAAGTTGTTCCCGAAACTTCACTCAAGTCGGTAACGTCATAGCCGTATGTCGTTCGTGCAAATTTAGGCCTGATGCGCCATCCCGTGGTGTGCGGGGAGTAGAACCAGCGTATGATTCATGAGAGCTTCAGGCGTACCCGAGAACGGGATGGAGTGGTAGAGGGCCACAGACGTACGATTTCAAGCACCGTCGTACGGCAGGACGATCGGCGTGTCGTCCGACCCGCTTTCTGCCTCCCCATCAGGAGAGAACAACAAGAACGTTTCCCTGGAAGCCTCCGACTTGCGCGATGTGTGTGCACCTTCTGTAAATGTAAACAATTCGGCCAGACACACTGTTCTGATCGGACGCGCGGTAGCAATTACCTGTGTTGTTGCGAATTAAGGTCAAGCTTGGGAAGCGCCAGGACAAGTATAGTGTCTTACCCTGATAATAATGGGCCGCTGGCCTTCGAGTAGACAGCACGTGATCAATCAAATGCAGAACTCAGCGGTGCCCGCACAATGAACCTATATATGTAAAATCTGCACTTCAAAGACGCACCACCACGCCAACACACTCCCCACGCATCATTATATCCACAGGAGACTACAACAACACGTAGCCTCTCAACAAGACCTGACAAACCGCAGCCCATACACACCAGCGCCGCGACGCCAACAACAACAACAAGCGCCGCGGCGATTCAAAACGACGACGTACGCAGTGCGCGCGGGCCTAGGGGCCCGCCGCACGCAGCAGACGAGAGACAGACAGGCAACGTGGATGCAATTCGGAGTCGGAGACTCGAGCGGGTTCAGTGCGGTAGTGGTATGTAGTTGGTCGACAACGGTTGGAGCGGACGGACGACGAACGGACGAGAATAACGATAGCACGAGTCTCGGGGACGCGAGGGCAGGGGTCCAGCGCGCGCACGCGCACGTATGGGCAACGAACCGGAATGGCTAAGGTGCGTACGAAGATGGACGATAAGACCAGGGCAAACGAGAGACGAATAGGAGGGGCGCGACCTGCAAGGCCGCGCGGAGAGCTGCAGCGCGTCGAGCCTGCAGATCTTACGGGTATCGGGAGCGTGCGCAGTGTCTACACGGGCACGCGTGGGCGGGCCGGGCTGCTCAGAGCGAGCCGTGCCCGGCGAGGTCCAGCATGCGCTTGTGCCTCTTGAGCATCCCGCGCGCCTCGGGCGCCGGCGTCGCCTGTGCGACGGGCACGTCGCGGCGCGCGTTCGCGGAGGACGTCGGCGCGCTGCCGGGCCCGAGCGAGGAGACGTACGCGTCCTGGAAGATGTCGTTCTGCGCGCCGTCGTGGAAGCCCATCTTGTCGCCGTAGACCGGCACGTCATAGTAGCCTTCGAACATCTGCACACGGCCAGTTAGCATTGTAATGTCCAGAAAGGAGATGTCGCGAGGATCGGAGGGAGGACGCACGTTGTTGCCTTCGGCCTGCATCCAGTACATGGGGTACTTGGGACCGATCGTGCAGTTGCCCGGGTTCGCAACAGACCCGTGCTGGGTCGTCACCGCACCTGTGATCGGGAGTGAGTATAGGCATCCCCGAGGTGCAGAGCGACAAGACTTACTGCCGGGGCAGCATTTGCTGGCCAATCGGCGTCGTGCTGGTCGCGCCAGTAACATTGCAGTTGAAGCCGTTCATGTATACTATGCAAACAGTTACAACCTGAGTCTCTTCCAGGCAAGGCTGACACTTACGCTGCTCCGAACCGCTGTCATCCTGATATGGGCGGGAATCTGTCAGCCCTCACTCGACCAAAGCACAGCACGACACGGCCTCACTCACAGAGTGAATCCAGAACCACGCACAGACGCAGTTCGGGCCAGAGCACGCCGGCATCTGGGCAGGGATCTGGAACTCCGTGTTGGCATACCACACGCAAGTCTGGTTGACGCTGATGATGGTGAAGTCGTTCGGTTGCACGTCCTTCCCGTCAGTCTTGTCTGCAATAGCGATGGCACAGCCCTTGGTGTCGTCGATGCCGGTTGTGTGGAACTGCGATGAGTCCTGGCCGGGGCACGGCCAGTTGGTGGGGAATCCTGCGTTACCTCTGGGCGAGACGCGTCAAGTCAGGTGAGAATGTGGAAGCCAAGAGGCAAGGCGGACGTACCCCTCGGAGGAGGCGTAGGACGAAGACGCGCCCTTGTCGCAGGTCAGCTCGGCGTTGATAGAGCCGCCAGCAGGCAGCTCGAAAACATCGCCGGCGTTGGGTGGGTAGTCAAGGAAGCCATGCTGTGGGAACGCATCAGTAAAACTCGACGACGTGTCGACGAGGGGGATGAACTGGGTACTCACGAACCACCACTGGTCGAAGGGCTGGTTGACCAAGGGGTGACAGGGCGGTTGTCGTAGGAGAACGTCTGTTGTGTCACGTTGAAGCCGTACATGGAGGGAGTCCACATGGCTGGCAGGAGGGACATGAGGGCGTGCTGGTGGGGGGAGGGGAAGACTCACCGATGTGGGCTGAGGCCAGCGGCGCGAGGGCCGCGAGCGGGAGGAGGACGGGGATGGAGGAGAGCATGTCGGGGTGAGAGGCTGTGAAACGAGCGCAAGTTCGTAAAGAATGTGGTGCCCTGGGGGCGAGACAGCCTGGCTGGGAGGAGAGCCGCGAAGGTGGGGGAGGCGGGAGGCGGGCAGGGTGGTTCAAATACGAAGCGCGTATGCATTTTGAGTTCCCAGCGATGACAGCGCCGCGTGGAAGCCAGCGCCGCGCCGCGGGCCCCACAAGTCTTCTGTCGCCCTGGCGACTCCGTCCTCCTCCTCGGCTCGGAGATCCCACGTCAACCGTTGCCTGTCTGAGCTGCACATCTCCGCTCTGGGCGCACTGGGCCACATCTGCCTTTCCTGGCCTCCCCACGCTGCGTCCTGCGTCGCCCGTCATGCTGCTGCAGCGCTGGGTGTCTTGCAGATCGCCAGCCTCTTGACGGTCGCATATGGCGGCGGTGCCGGGAGTTCTTCCCTGCCGAGCCGCCGGATGATAGCCGCCACTGAAAACTCCTCCGCCGCCTTATCTGGATTGCAATTCTGGCGTGAGCATCATATCGTCGCGGACTTTGCCCCTACTAATTACTTTTCCTCCACAACTGGGGTTGTGCCAACACCGCTCCACCGTCCGTCACATTAGGATGTGTGCCTGCTCGGAGTAAGTGCCGAACGACTGCTGAGGTGGTCGATGGCCCGAAACAGGCACGTCGGGCGTATGCATTGCATAAATTGGCCACCAGGTGGGCATCAGACGCATCATGCGCGAGAAGCGCGTTTCGCCCCCGAAATAGACTAGGAATTCCAACCCAGAGCCGTGACCGCGTACAAGTTGAGATGGCCCACATTGTACTTACTTTGTAACACTTTCCTGGTGTTGTAGTCAGGGTCTTTACCATCTCTCGCAGTACCACATCACGACGCACCACCAAAATGGCATCATGATGAACAAGTCCTGTCCATCACAAAGCTAAGTATCATGCCCACCCATCTCAGTCGAACACAGCCCGACACCAAGTCAAGAAAGATGAGTTCCAGAAATGTCTCAACCACTTCGGAACCAGTCCAGGCATCTCGCATCTCAAATTGCGTCTGGGCGGCGAGGCGATGGTATGCCGCCGCACCCGATCGAGTCCCAGAATGGCCATGAGCTGCCTTGGAGCTGCCCGGACAAGCCGCGCCAGCGCTGCTCGGTTGACGAACACGTCGGTACACGATCGTACGAGACCATGTGTTGATCCGCAAACACGGCAGGGAATGCCCACCCCTGGAAAGATGGCGTGTTGTTCGTTTGCTCTGCGCGCTGCGACAGCTCTGCGACTTGGAGTCGCTTCCTCCACGCTACCGCTGGTCTGCAAGAGGCGCATTTGTGGTACTCCCAGCACCGATTGGGGAAGTGGTTGTCAATGTCACGAAGCGAGGTTGCATAGCAACAAGGTGGAACACCAGCATGCCAATCCCGGGTACGTTCCATCTCCGCGCGCATACATTCGTCCAGGTTAGGGGGGTTGCTTACCTTGTGCTCCTCGTGAGCAAGGGCGACCCACGCTGACTCTCAGCACACAGCACGTACGAGACAGCCCTGCGTGCACGACACGCACATCACAATAACCTTCCTCCGAGACGGGCTGCACGACATCCCCGCCGTGTGTCGACCGCAACGCTACCGTATTCGGGTCTCCATGGCGTACCGTTCCTTCGAGTCCGGACCGGCGGATTTGCTGGAATCCGACTTCACTGTGAAGCTCGGAGGCACCACCGTGGTGATGCGCGACAAGACGGGACATGGCAGTACTGAGATCTGAGCAGTGGGCAGACGTACCAGCGCGGATGTGTACAGCGTGGTCGGGCGCCCGGCGCTGCACGAGCGGCACCGAGGAGGTCCGCTGGCGCTCCGAGGGCGCTCAGCAATTTGACGGTCAATTTGACGAAGGCAAGTCTCGATTTGTGGACGGTTGACGGTCCGCCGTCTGAGACCGTTTTTGCCCGGTAGAAGTGAGCGTTCTGTTTGGTGGAAAGGAGGATATGCGCGTTTTTTGCGCGGCGCAGGACGCACAGCGAAGTCGTCGTGTCCTGGGCTGTAAGTATGTCTGCCCAAACCATTGCCGTACGGTCAGAGTTGATCGTTAGCAAGGATGGGGGGAGGCGAGATGTGCGACGGACCTCGAGTGGAACTAGCAAATCCGTCCCTTGCCTAAATGGCGAGTGAACAGCACCGCGCCTCCCCCGGCACTTCGCCACAGGGGCAGAGGCAAGAGCGCTGGTCGCTTGGACCATCGGGCAAAGGAAGGGCGCCGCTCCGTGGAACAAAGATATCAACGGATCTGTACGTTCATCGAGTCAGCATACAGTGCGTCGCTGACGGTGAAATCTGACAGGAAGGTCTGCGTACGTGCCTGTTTGCAACGGGTTTGCCCATCTCTTCAATGTTTCGCGCGCGAGACGCTCTGCAAGGCTAGTGGAAGCATCTGGTTAAATCGAGCGGTAGCTGAACGGCGTCGTGCGCTCCTGTCGCCCATTAATACGCGCCAGCAGGGGGGATGCACGTCGCTTTGACCGCCGCCGAGCAAGGGGTTCCACCGCGCCACACTGAACGTACGTCCGTTCAATAAGCACATATGTCCCTGACAGGGAGACTGTGCAGGGAGTCTGTACTTAGCTGAACAGCGTGGCTTTGACCGCCCCCTACAGGTTCAGTGCTCGAGACCTAGCCCGTCCACGGATGGTTGTCTCCAGGGCGTTGGCTTTCGGGTCGATGCTGGGACAAGGGGCCAAGGCATAGGGGGTTCAACGCGTGCATAATCAAAGCGTTGGACTTTTGTAGGCAAGGTGTTTCGGCAAACCTATCGACACTCGAGGGGTGTCAGCGACCTCTGGGAGCGAGCGGTGCGGGTGGCGTGGACACTGCCACAAGGCGGTAAATGGATGGAGGAGCTATGGTCGAGGTCAGTCCCTTCGCTTCAGCTCATGCCGTCTGCTTACCTGGCCCCAGCGGCTCGTAACAAAGCGAGTGGCCGCCACTCGCCACCCGTGGGACAAGTCCCGGCATTCAACATCATCCTCCAGACAATCCAAGGCGCGTTTAGTAACCCGGGACCCGCACGCACCGCCCCGTACACCCGTGGACCTGCCCAAATCAGCCCAGCGATTGTTCCCTCCCCAAAAACTCCGCGTCGCGGACTTCGGCAGAACCGGGGTGTGTGGCACGTACGCTTTGCTCGCCCAAATCGGGACGAGGCCACGCACGTCTCCCCATTGTCGCTGTGGGTTTTGTGGCAGACACGAGGCATGCCGCCCCCCGGCGTCGTTGCCATGCGCCCGCTTTGGCAATCCCCTTGTACTTCGCCCGATCGGTGGTGATGCGACGCGTCGGTGGCACCGCATAAATGGCTCGCGTGGCCTGCGGACGCTCCGTAACTCCTCGCCCCTGTTGACTCCTGCACCAGCTTATTGTCTGCTTTTCCCGTGGCCCCAGCCATGGACCCCTTCAGCGTGTACGCTCCCATAACCGTTCTCGACACAAATGGCTACAAGGTCGATCCTGCCCAATACCTCATCGAACCTCCGAGCAATGGTGGATATCCCGACTACGGGCGGGACTTTTTCAATAGCCTGCTGACAGAGCGATGGATCCCGGCACATGGGAGGCTTGTGCCCGCGGTACTGACCTCGAAGGACGGGATTTATGCATTGCAACCTGCTGATCCTATTCCTAATCCCTACATCGACCCAAAGGAGGATCCCCTGAAGCCGATCGACGCAAAGCAGCTCCAGATGAGCGATTACGACATACACTTCCAGGACTACGAAACCTTCGCGAGGGATTATGAGCCTCCGGTGGACTTGGGGCTGTGGGGTGTGAGTACTGTCGCCTTTCTCAGGTCCTATCGTCGTCTTATTCGCGTGACCCGTCGCTCCGCAGAACGTGGCCCGCGCCCATGACAGGCGAATGGGCTACATCCTCAGGCCAGACGGCTTCCTGTGCCCATGCCCAGCTTCCGGCCCGCTCCTGCGCTTTGAAAAGCCCGTCCGGTTCGACAGGATCCGGCTCGGACACTGCATCTCGTTGTATGACGCCGACGACGACTGGTACGACGCAAACGCGAGAGACGCGGATGCCATCGACCCCCGGGGCACAATGATCCCCAGGGAGCTCGCAAGGCCGCTCAGACGAAGGCGGTGAAGAAGCTGACTGCTAGGGCGATCAGCGCCGGGAACAGGGCGAAGGCAGAGGTGCTGGCCGCTGCGCTCGTCAAGCCACCTTCTGGTCGCGGACGCGCCGTCTCCCCAAAGAAGCCTGTCTCCGCGCGGTTGCCCACGAAGAGAGCCGCCTCTCCCCGCAAGCCTGCCTCCGGCGCATCCCCAGGAAGCCGACGTCGTCCGCGAAGCCGCCTCGATGCCGTCTCCAAAGAAGGCCGCGCCATCGGGGCCCTTCACATTCGCGATCCCTCAAAAGCCAGCCTCGCTGGCGTCCCCGCCCAAGCCCGTCTCTGCGCCGTCTCCGAGTAGGGCTTCCCCCGTGCGCTTGACACGGTCAGCCACGCACGCAGGACTGATGGAGCTGACCCTGCGCCGGAGGTCATTGACTTGACTGGGGATGATGATGAGCCTGCCCCGGCGGCGTCCGCACCAATCCTTGGCGCGTCCGCGAGTTTCGGGAACATCTTCCCGCCCCCCGTCTCCGCGCCCGTTGCTGGCCCTTCGAGGCGCCAGTTCCGACGTACGCCGTCGATCACGTTCGACGACGATGACGCACCGACGGGCTACACTCACCTCAACCTCCCGCTCGGCGTGCGCGCCGCTGGGTTGTCCCCCACGCGCTCGGACCACCATGCCATGTCTGAATATTAGATGGGTACCAGCTTGGTTGACAAAAATACCTGCTCCTCCCTACGGCTGGTGCATCACGCTCGAGGCTAGGCCTGCATGAACTGCACGCGCTCTTCAGTAGTCTATACTTATCCCGCATCATCTCTCTACGCTTTTTTCGAATTTCTTCTGCAACTGTTACATACCCCTGCATACTAGTCTCGTCATCCGTGTTGTGTGTACACATCTTCCTTGTATGTTTTATTGCTGTGCTTTAGCTGTAGTCTGCTGTATCATTTTGCTTATTCATCATCAATGGAAGGTTTCTACGAAACACAACGCGCCACGAAGACGAGTGTGATTTCAAGAAAGCTAAAGTTACAACTACTCAAACACGATACGACCAAAGCCAGACACTATCGCTACAATTTTCACCCTTAAGTACGACAAGAGGGTATCACCAAGATCTCAGGACACTGATACAACGCACACGCCCGCGCGCACCTCTCGATCTCGTTCGTAGCACACCACTCAAGAAACATCAGGAGTCAATTCAGAAGATACGCCACAGCCTACTCCTCTGTGCGGGCCTATAATCCCTCCCCCCGTCAAGTTGCGACTGGTCATCCAAGTCGGAGTCATCCGGGCTGATGTCGCGGCGACGCGGGCCCGGCTTCATCGCCTCCCAGAAGTCTTGGAGTCCGCTCTCCGTCGAGCGGCGCGTGAGACGGCGTTTGCCCAGGATGGCTTGGCCCCCGCCCTTCGCACTGCAGAAGGAAGCGAAGAGTCCGTCAGCATACGCCCGAAAGGATAAAGTGAGCGTTCAACGTACCAGGTAAGGCCCGTGGGGCTTGAGGACGAGCCAGAAGATGAAGAAGCCGTGGGAGATGCGAGGTTGACATCTGCGTGGAGGGAGGAGGGAGAAGGGGTGTTGAGCAAGAGCGTCGAGGTCGCGGGGAGAACGGAAACAGCGGAGGAAGATGAGAGCGTCGAGAACGCAGCCGACGTTACGGAGGCAGCTAAATTTGAAGACGAAGATGACAGCGGCGCCGTTAAAAGTGAGGCAACAGACGTCGAAGGCGTTGTGGGTGACAGGATCGACGAAGTCGCAGATATCGCAGAAACCGCTGAAGACGCTGACGATGAAGCGAGCGTCGAAAAAGGCGCATTGCCCCCAGAGGCAAGCGAGAGCGAGATGCTCGACGCGGAGACAGGCGGGGCGGTGATCGTGACCAACTGTGTACTGACAACAGTGGCGGTCGATACGACAATTGACACGCTTACCGCGTCTGTCGCATTTGTCACGGAAGACGAAGACGAGGACACCGGCACTGACGCCGACGCCGACGTAGCCGACGTGGAATTGAAAGCCGCTGACGAAGAAGAGCTTGCAGTACCTGAAGTAGTAGTCCCACCCCCTGATCCCGATCCCGACGTGCCCGTAGCCGCCGGCGCTGGCGTCCCCACGATCGCCATGGGCAGCCCACTCGGCGCGCTAGGCGTCGCAGTAGGCTGCACGCCCGCGAAGTTCGCGACAGGGATGGTGCCATTCACGACAGGCGTGGGGAGCCCACCAGGATACGAGTCCTCGAAGATGTCTTGCTGCGCGCCGTCGAGGAAGTTGTAGAGGTTCGTGTAAAAGGGTGGAGAGTAATAGCCCTCAAACATCTGTACGTGCAAGTCAGTCTATGCAACGAAGACAGAAAAGGGAGACGCACGTTGTTCCGCTCCTGCTGGAGCCAGTAGAACGGCTGCTTCGCACCCCAGGTGCAATTACCGAAGTTGGCCTCGGGCCGATCGTTGTCCGGGTCGGAGCCGCAGCGGCGGGGGACTTGTGGTTGAGCGAGAGCGACGTCGGATGTTGCGCCGGTCACGTTGCAGCGGAAGCCGTTCATGTAGTCTGAGGGGCGATTGTCAGTGCGAGTTCGGTTTACGTGCCGAGTTGTACTTACTCTGTTCGCCGCCACTGTCAGGCTAAAACACATACTGAGTGAATAATGCATGAGAACTTGGTGAGAAGCCTACCGAATGAATCCACATCCACGCGCAGATGCAACCGCCCGCCGGGCAGGCAGGCATCCTAGCAGGGACCTGGAAGTCCGTGAAGCGATACCACACGCAGGTCTGGTTGACACTGAAGACGGTGAAGTCCTCTGGCTGGACGTCGGAGACATTGGACTTGTATGTGATCGCGAGCGCACATCCCTTGAGATCGTCAAAACCGGTCGTGTGGTACTCCGACGGTGGCGAGCCGGGGCACGGGTCGTCGCCATTCTGGATGTTTCCTCCGGGGTCGGAGGCGAAGAATGTGGTGGCGCCCTTGTCGCAGGCAACCTGCGTCGTCACAGGCTGGCCTGCGGGCAACTCGAAGATGTCACCGTCGTTTGGCGGGTAGTCGAGATGCCCGTGGAACCACCATTGGTCGAAGGTGTACTCTGTCAACGGGGCGACGGGCCGGTTGTCATAAGGGAAAGTCTGCATTGTCACGTTGAACCCCCACATGGAAGGGTGGAAGAACGCTATGACGGTGATGAGGAAAGACTCGTAGCAGAAGAAATGACAGGAGACATACCAGCATGGCCAGCCACCAACGGAATTAAGCCTGAAATGGCGGTCAGTAGGGGTAAGGTCACACGAGCCATTCTATCGTCTAGCTAGGACGTAAGGTAAAGGAAGGAGCAGTCAGGGCACGATCGCAACACAGTCCGAGTCCGAGCACCAGTCTCGCGAAGAAGTCCGGAACCGAGTCTGAGTCCGCACCAGGCGAAGAGGGTGTGAGCGCGGTATGAGCTTGGCAGCGGGGAGACCGCGGTGGCGGGGTGTCTTATAGGCGCAGCAGATGAATAGCGGACAAGGAGGCGCGCACACCGACAGGCCTTATTGTTTGATTTGGATCTCGACGACGCCGACGACAGCACGGCAACGCTATCGGCACATCGCCCATTGTGCTATTTTGGCCGGAGTTGTGGACAACAAGTTGCGGCTGTAGCGGGCAGTGATGGCTCCGAGTACGTACAACAATGGCCGGATGCGCGCCCTCCACGCACGCGTCTAGGGCTCGAAGCCAAAGCAAGCCAAATAACGCGCTCCATGTGCCACGCGTCGCGTCTTGAGCGCCCAAGTCTTGTGCGAGCGCTTCGTGCTTTGAGCCGGATCGTGTCTTGAACCTCACCTGGGCGACGAAGTCTGTATCTTCAGGCAGCCTGGCAGTCAGCAAACTTCTCTACAATGCACATGCATCTGCTACTGTTCTCTACTTGGACTGTGCATTGCCACTTGGGGTATTACACGAGGACGTCTTCTGAGGGCCGACGCAGCGCATTCAACGTGGTTCAGGGCGCACGAGCTTGGTGCCAGTGCGCGTCATTTCGCTTACACCATAGAGGTGCAAAGCTCTCCTCCTATGGAAGGTCGTGGATGAAGGACACTGAGAACCGGGCGGATCTGGACAGAAGGGTGAGTGCTATAAGTATGTTACCTGAGCATCGTTGGACGTGCCGTACGCCGTGGGTTCAGCAAGACGGCGTGCGCCAACATCAGTCTTACATAAGTCTAGTTCAATGTGCCTGCGCTCGGGTTTGTGACCATCCTGCCCGTCCTGACCACAATCTCCATTCAGTCCAACTCACTCACACGACATGCCCAGAGTTGCCCTACCCGCTGGATTTGGTCCATCAGTCGGACAAACATGTGCCCTATATGGTCTATCCTTCCTGCCGCGGTCATTACCTGGCACTACGTCTGGGCTCTCTGAGGTGACTAGTCGCACAACACTCAGCAGGTTTGTGAGCGTTCGCGCGCGCTCCGTGGGAAGCCGATAGCTCTTGGTCCTCATCGCCCCGAGTCCTGGCAGTGGAGGACTATGCGAGCACAGTGGGCCTGAATGGTTCATGAGACGCACTCCGGTGTCACGAACGTGGGTACATGTTTTGTTGTGATTTGACAACAGCTATCTGTCAAGCGATTGGTCATGGATGGTCACCCTGTACTTACTTACCATTGGGGACTACGGTCGTTCCGTCGTCTGTCATGACACGACGCAGCTGGATCGGCCATAGAAGAGGTTCATATCGGGATAGTACGAACGCCTGCTTCGGACGCGGTGTTGAGACCTTTGTACCCGTGGAGACGTAAATCCGGGGTCGAAAAGAGGAGATCGGCTGCAACGAGGATCAGACCTGCGTGCTACAATCAACGTTTCAATGGGCGACGACGACCCCGGGCAAGGTCCAGGGCAATGCGCGGAGTCTGCGTTAGTCGTGTCTGCGTCTGCGGAGTCTTCTATATGTTTGACGCGGATGCCCTGTCCCCATGGAGTCGTCGCGGACGAGTAGCTTCGCCCATGGCCAGTTTGGACTAACACAATCTAAGGAGGTGAGAGTTGTCGCACAAATCTTTGCAGGCTCACGTTGCTGATCGCTTTGCGCAGCCCGTCATCTCACGTTGCTTCACACTGAATCACACGGGCATCGACGCTGTCGGTCTGTACCGCTGGTATCATAGTCTTCTTCCGCATCGGAGCCAACCCTTCCCGTTCGCGCCTCGCATGTGCGTCTTTTACGACTTTACTTCCCAGTCGGACCCGTACCCCCAGCGACTCTGAGATGGTATAGACACACCGCAGACAATGACTTCACCGGGACACTGGGCCGCATACGACGAACGTTACTCATAAGGATGTACTTGATACAATGCAGCGAAATTTTTTCTGTAAATTTGAGCTGAAGGAGTGGGAGAGGAGAGGGTGACCGGATTCTCATGTCATTGGAGAGGAGCAGCGCCGGTGACCCCGGTCCGTCTTGGCCCATGGATCCGCCACCCTCGGCCAACGGCTGATTGGGGACGATAAATCGCGCGCAGGCTGAGGCCGCACCACAACTCTCTTCCACTCTCCCTCCACCGCCCTCCTCACGCCGCACATCCTCCAAAATGCCCGGCACAGAGAGCAAGTTCCCCATCGACCTCAGCGCACTGAAGAAGTGAGGACCGCTGCTCGCGCTTCCTCTAGGTTGGCTTGCTCACGGTCGATGACATACGTCGTTATGCAGGGTGTCGCTGGACCCGACCAAGCCGCAGCTCACGGGTGAGCAGCGCTCGGCGTTGTTGCACAACATCCAGATTATGCGCGATGCGATCGTGCTCTTCACCGCGACTGGCGCTGCTCGCGGAGTGAGCGGACACACTGGTGCGTGCGATGATGGCGCTGCACTCTGCTCGATTTGGTACGATGATCTGCTCTCACAGGTGGTGCATATGATACCGTCCCGGAGGTCTGCCTCCTCCTTGCCCTCTTCAACGCTTCTGCGGACAAGTATGTTCCTATCCTCTTCGACGAAGCCGGTGAGTACATCGTTCGATGAGATATTCCCAGTTTGTGTGGCTCGCGGGGCATCGTAGGCGCAAGCGGGTGTGTCGCCTTGTGCGTCCACGCGACCCCGTACATTCGCAAGCCGTCGACTCAGAGGCGGGCGCTGTGATGCGCCCGATCAGGGCTATGACGCACAAAGCGCAGCGCGGTGGTCCGACATTGTCGGGGCTGCATCAATTTCGCCATCAATTTCGTCCATAAACACGCCATTGTTCTGTTCATCACGCATGTAGTGCATCTCGGCCATGGCTCACATTCAAACTTTCAGGTCATCGCGTTGCGACGCAGTACCTGCTCTCTGCGATCGAGGGACACATCCCGCCAGAGCACCTCCTGCACTACCGCGAGGCCAACTCCAAGCTTCCCGGCCATCCCGAGCTCGGTCTCACTCCCGGCGTTAAGTTCTCGTCCGGCCGTCTGGGGCACGTCTGGCCCTGGGTGAACGGCGTCGCGCTCGCGAACCGCTCCAAGACCGTGTTCTTGCTCGGGTCCGACGGCTCGCAGCAGGAGGGCAACGACGCCGAGGCGGCGCGCCTCGCCGTCGCGCAGAACCTCAACGTCAAGCTGCTCATCGACGACAATGACGTCACCATCGCCGGCCATCCGTCGGAGTACCTCAAGGGCTACGAGCTCCAGAAGACGCTCTCGGGCCACGGCCTGAAGGTGCTCACCGTACAGGGCGAGGACCTCGATGCGCTCTGGGCTGCCCTGTGCGAGATCATCGCGTATGACGGACCCGCCGCGGTTGTCTGCAAGCGTGTCATGGCGCCCGGTGTCGCGGACATTGAGGGCAGCACGCATGGCCACGACGTTATCCCCGTCAAGGCGGCGATCAAGTACCTCACCTCGCGCGGCTACCCCGAGACGATGGCGACGGATATTCTGAACAAATTACTCCCCACGCGGTGCCTTACCTCTATATTGGTTCATCCAAGGAGGTTGGGCGAACCGTGTCGTGTTCGGTGAGGCCGTGAACAAGGTGCTTGACAAGCTTCGAAGAAGGAGGCGGCCGAGAAGGTCATGGTCATTGACAGTGAGTGCCTGCGTGCGGGAATATTGGTGGATGTTCATATGTTGGATAGGTGATCTTGAGGGCTCAACTGGTCTTAAGTCCATCCACCAGAAGCACCCTGAGGTCTTCGTCCCCTCAGGTATCATGGAGCGTGGAAACTTCAGCGCAGCTGCTGGTTTCGGATTCGACGCGAACAAGTTCGGTGTCTTCTCTACGTTCTCTGCCTTCTTGGAGATGGTCATCTCCGAGGTAACCATGGCGCGCCTGAACTTCTGCAACGTCCTCTGCCACTTCTCTCACTCTGGTGTCGACGAGGTACGTCGCGTGCGCGCGTCTTGTTAGAATGACTCTAATTGATGCCCTCTAGATGGCCGACAACACCTGCCACTTCGGCATCAACTCGTTCTTCGCGGACAACGGCCTTGCAGATACACAGTCGTGGCTTTACTTCCCCGCCGACGCCACGCAGATGACGAAGGTCATCGAGCGCGTGTTCTTTGACCGCGGCCTTCGGTTCATCTTTTCGACGCGGTCCAAGGTGCCGTACCTCCTCAAGGAGGATGGCAAGACGCGATTCTTCGGCGATGACTACGAGTTCGTGCCTGGTAAGGACGAGGTCATCGCTGAGGGCAAGCCGGCTACGTCGTCTCGTTCGGTGACATGCTCTACCGCTCGTGGGATGCCGTCCTCCGTTGCAGGCAGGAGGGCCTCGACGTCGGTTTGATCAACAAGCCGACGCTGAACCTCGTCGACGAGCAGGTGATCCGCAAGGTCGGCTCGAGTCCGTTCGTGCTCGTCGTCGAGTCGTTGAACCAGAAGACTGGGGTGAGCGCGATCGTTGTGGGGATATCAGAGCATGATTGCTGACGTTCTATACGTGGTAGCTTGGCTCGAAGTTCGGTACTTGGCTGCTTGAGCGCCAGCTCACGCCGAAGTATGGCTACATGGGTGCGAACAAGGAGGGCTGCGGTGGTCTGACCGAGCAGATCCCTCACCAGGGCCTCGACCCGCAGTGTGCGTATCCAGATCAGTTCTTGCGGGATGCTGGCTAACTTATCATGCTATAGCGATCATCCTCAAGATTAGGCAGCTGTCGAACTAAAGGGTTTGCTGCTGTGCAATGCGTGGGATGTCTTCGGTCATGTATTCTAATGAGCGGCGAGTTGGGTAGTAGCAGTCGAAAATTGTGAATGTGTACATGTACCTCATAGAGCAGCTGAAAAAAACGCGAATCTGTATCATCACTCGCCTGAGATACGCACCCTCTTCGGTTGAAAGTTGAGAGAGGCCTAGTGCCAGTCTAATTACTTGACTCAGGAGGAGGAGGGTATTCCATTTAGTCACGACATCTAGACGCCTCGGCGTTTTCGATGTGTGACAGCGCTCACTAGGTACATGACTACCTCCAAACCCAACATACCCCTACTACCTAATCCTAAACTACCTAATCCGACTCCCACTATCGCATAATTACAATACTGTCCACCAGTTCAAACATAAACACCCCGGCGTCGTGCGTTAAGCACAGCAGGATACATGGCTAAAACCTGGGAGGAAAAAATGAAAAAACCTCCAGGTGTCAGCGGTGGTTCTCCACCATACTGACATAACTCACCATGGTCCAGGTGGAACCACGTGGCAGCGCTACTGCCGTCCGCCATCATGCGGAAGGTCCAGGGGCCTCCAGGGGCATAGTAGGAGCCGGACGCGAGCAATCCGGGTATAGGCGCGTAGTGTCCTCGGTCGACGTTGCCGCCGACTTTGGAACACGGGCGTTGAGCAGGCGGCGGCGGTGATATAGTCGCACGCGGGGACCACAGTGGCCCGCTCACAATATCGCATAAGACTGGTACTGTTCCATTGTTGTGACCACCAGTAGGGGGACGGCGTCACAGCATCCAAAGACATCCGAGATGAATTGCGCGACAATGTGTTGTGTGCATTCATCCGCAATTACCGCCATAAGGAACCGATTCGGGGATGACATGGAGATCGCACGACCATGGGCCGTGAGCGCATTGTGCACTCGGCGCATGAAGTGCGCTCGCAGGGACCGAAGGATATCTGCTTGGCAGCACATTAAAACATGCGCCTCATCCTCCACCATGTTCCGCCCTTGGCAGAAGCGACAAATTCGCCACTCCCGCGGGATCGGTGGGGACCGCCGGCGCAGTCCCTCAATTGCGAAAGGGTGATCGGAAGCAAGCAGGCGGCAGATCGCTTGTCGAAGCGCTCGGGAGTCCAACGAAAGGTACTTGCGTCGGGCAATGATACCGAGGTTGTGACTGCGGGCACTAAGCAGACGTAGACGTTCTGAGCCACGCACTTCGTTCCTCAGGTAGGAGCGTAGCGACTGCAAGACTTGTTGCGCACATTTCTTCACGGTGTCCGGTGTCAGGGCGTCTGCGATGGGGAACTTGACTGGAACTGGTAACTGTTGCAGGGCGTACTGGAGGTCACTAATCCATGAAGCCGAACCAGTCAAAGCCATACTGCGAGACTCGGCCAGCGCGGCCAAAGGTAGTTGCGGGCGCTGCGTTACCACATAGAGGAGGTAACGCAACGCCAGCGATAGCCGGCGGTATCGTATTGGCCATAGGCCGGTTTCCGTATACAGCACCGAGGTGACTGTTCGTGGGTTAAGGCCCAGCGATCGGCGCAGGTATGTCATCTGTACCGACGCCAGGGACGTAAGCGCCGCGAGGCGTACGTCAATCGTGACCTCGCACCCCGAGATTAGGTGCGAGTCGATATGAGTGTTGTAGAGGGTGAGCGACGCCCAAGGTGGTAGGTCGGCCACGTACGACTCCACCGAGAGGCAGGCATTCGCTGTCCTGCGAGCCACCGCTACTCGATGTTCGATGTGTGCCGCGAAGATGTCCCGCGCCGTAGACTGGAAGAGGATGCCCACGTATGTGTAGCGATCTACGAGAACAATCCGTACACCATTCACAGACAGGCATGGCATTTGCGCAGGGAGAGGCCCGAAGATCATGAGCTGCGTCTTGGACACATTGATCACCGCGAAGTTGAGTGAGCACCAGCGCGCCAGGTCGTCGAGCTTGCGTTGCAGACCCTCCTGCGACATTGACCATAGCACGATATCATCTGCCTGCTCCAGATGTGACATGAGGATACCGCCAAGGTCAGTGTCGTCCGGGTGGTCTGAAATGATGAGGTCAGCGAGGAACAGGATCCACAGGATAGGGGAAGCGGGGTCGCCTATGAGGATCCCTGCCGTCGCACGGAACGAGTCGGACTCATTGCCGTCCTGCCGCACCACGTAGCTCAGCCGAGCATAGAGCATCCTCAACCAGTCGAACAGAGGGCCACTGAAACCCGCGTCCTGCAGCTTCGCCCACAGTGTCGGTTGGTCCACCGAGGGGAACGCATTCGATAGGTCTACGAACGCAACATACAGCGTACGGCCACTCGATCGCGCCTTCTCGATCGCAGCCCTGAGGACAAACGCGTTGTTGTTTGTACGGCAACCTGTGCGGAAGCCGTTCTGCGAGGGGGGAATCTTGGCTGTTGCCTCCGCCCACGCCCTCATGCGACGTTCAATCATCAGTGTGAGCATTTTCAGCAGGCAGCTCTCGAGTCCTACCGCCCTGTAGTTCGCTGCCTGTGCAGTGTCCTTTCCTCGCTTCGCAATTCCGGTCAGAATAGCGGTGAGCCAGGTGGTAGGCGCGTCGAGGGAGTCCACACACTCCTGGAAGAGGCAGAGCAGATCTTCGTTATCCAGCCCGAGCACACGGTCGTAAGGGATCCTATCCTCTCCCATTGCTGACCGTCGGTTATGCTTGCGGATGTGTTCCTTGGCGTCCGCGATCTCATCCAGGGTCCAGGGGCGCGCGAAGAACAGCTGGTCAGGGTTCGGGGTCGTGCGTTCGGGGAGCATCTGTGACCACATGCGATTGGCTGAGTAACGCACCGCATCGAAATTGGACGGTAGCACGACCGGGGCGTTCATCCGGGGCATAAATGCGGCGCGAAGGTCAGTCACCGATACTCTCGCCGCTCGTGGCGCCGGGTCGACAAGTCCGCGGAATGCTGTCCAGAACGCAGCGACTGGTTTTCCTGGCTCCAGGAGCTCGCGAACGAACCGCTCGCGCATTAGGCGGAGGTTATTCGCTTCCGCAGAGCGTCCCGACTCGGGCTCATCACGTACGCGCAAGGTGCGTTCCACAGTCAGCGTAGCCGCGCTCCGAGGCACCGTATGCGGTGGCAGGTCGGTATGCACCTTGCATGTTCCGTCCGCCATCTTGACGAGGTCGTCAGCATGTGCATCCATAGGGGTATGTACTGGCTTGAGGGGCACGAGAGGCGCCATTGGGCCTAGCTGTCTACACCCCTCTCTTGCGAGCTCATCAGCAGCCTCATTCGCAGCATTCTTTGCGTGGCCTTTCACCCAGCAGAACGTCACTTGAGTGGGACGTGCCTTGAGTATCTCCATGATGTTTACAAGGAGGTCTGCATTCGCACACCGCCATCCCGCCGCCGCAAAGCGAGGAGCCCAGTGGCATATGCATCGGATGGAGTATTCCGAGTCGGTATACACTCGAAGGGTCTTCCATGCAGGCGCCTCTGCGATAGCGACTAGGATCGCGAATAGCTCTGCCCGATTGTTCGTCGGTGGCAAGGGAGCCAGCAGGGCTCGATTACTTTCGCTTCCACGCCCCCAGTATATCCCTGACCCTGCTCGTATAGCTCCGCCCGTGCGCGCCCCCGGTGGTCGGTCTGCCGAGCCATCCGTGTAGACATGGACGACGGCCCGGGAAGAATGCGTCGCCGGTCCGTACAGCGCCAGTAAGGCATCACTAAGAGATAGCGATCTCGCAAGCGCAGTGTTTAGCATGACATCCAGGTGTGACGTGTATTCCACGCGAGGGGCTGGAACACGAGGCGATGTACCATTGTCCGTAGGCTGGGCAGGACCACTAGGTGTGTCTACATCGTCGACGCACTTATCTCTCGGGAGGGTGATGCACAGTGCGGCATGATCCGACCACGTCGGCCATTGCGGGAGGATGCGCAAGCGGACGCCGGGTGTACGGAGTAGGGACGGCGAGGCCACGGCATAGTCAATGACAGACGATCCGAGCGCCTGGAAGGACGTGAATCGGGGTATGGAGTCTGGTTCCTGTAGTGTAGTCCCATTCAATATGCAGAGCCCGTAATCACTGCATACCTGCAGCAGTGTGCGCCCGTGTTGCGAGACCGCTGCTCCATCGGGCGAACGTCTCATCCAGTCGACGTGTGGTGTACAGGACGCGGTGCGCGCATTGAAGTCGCCTGCCATCACCAGTGGGACGTTATCCGAAGTTGTCACTGCAAGGACCTCGGCGAGCTTCTGCATTGGGCCGAGGGCAGAAAGAGCGTACCAGTGCGACTGCTGAGGGGGCACATACACGTTCAGGAGCCATAGTCCGGGAAAGCGGAGGAGCATGATCTCGGACCCGCCTAAGTCTTCGTGGTGTACACAACGCAGGTCACAGCGTACTAGCGCCGCCAGACCGCCTCCTGGAGCACCCATGGACGGGGTGTTCGGCCGGCCACACACGAAAAGGTCGTAGCATGGTGGCAGGAGGAGTTGGGCTTCCTGCTCCGGCCGTAGATGAGTCTCCTGGAGGAGAACCACGTCAAAGTTCACCAGTGCGGCACGGAACGAGTCACTCTTCATTTTGAGAGCCATATTGCCGTGTACGTTCCAGCTTGCCACGCGAATCGGGGGAGACTCGGGCGCACTGGAAGGCGCACATTTCAGCATTCTCATTTTGTTGTGTACAGTAGTATCGAACACTGACTACTGTACAATTTTAGCCCGGACGGTCGGGTACCTCGACTCCGCCGCCGAGTTCCAGGCATTGGTGAAGTCCCTGGCTTCCTCCCAGGACCTGAACAGGACGCGTACATACGTGATGTCGTTATCCAGGGAAACGTTCAGGACGGGGGACGCATCCATCTCGATGTCGCTCCGCACGATCCTCGTGACTGACAGGAATTGCTCCCGAACAACCGTCGCGGTCCACGCCATGGCGCCAAAGAGGACATGCGTATTGCGCGCGTGGGAGTACGAAGCCTGTGGGGACGGCCTCTGCGCAGGAACAGGCAGGACCGGCATCGGGAGGCGAACTCGGGACGAAGAAGCCGTTGGTTGGGCCTGCACTGAAGGATCGCGACGCTGGTTGGGGGGATCACGGTATTGGTTCGGAGGCTCCCGCTGCTGGCTGGCCGGGTTGCGAGGTCCACGCTTCGGACGCTTAGGAGGCCTGGCGTTCGTGGCATCATCGTCTCTGGTGTCCGATCCCCGGGAGCGTATGTTTGGAGGCTCCGGCAGCGGAGCCAGGGTAGCACGCTGCACCCGCACCGCTGCACTTGCAGGACCAGGCATCGGCACGTCCTGTTGCTGAGGAGGACGAAGCGCTGCGGGAGGGTCGCGAGGGGCGTACGTGTATCCGTTATCCGCGTGCCAGTTCCCGAGGAGGGTTGCAACCGTGTCCTCCACCCCAGTGAGAGTATGAGCGACCCTAGCGATCTGCGTCGCTACATCGTTGACCGTGCCGTCCACATGGTTCACCGAGCGGGTCAGGTTGTCGAGGCGTAAGTCGGAAGCGGCCGTCGTGGACACTATCGTGTTGTGTGCGTCCCGCAGCTGCTCGAGGTCATGGGCTGCCATGGTCATGTCCCGAGTCAGGGTGTCCAGGCGATCGTCGAGCACCGCTTCGACCGCAGCAGGAAGCTCATTCTCCATGTGCGCGAGGATCTGCGAAGCGATGCGAGCATCCATGTTCGATGCCGCCGTTACGGCGCGGCTCATCGACTCGCGGAGCGCAGCATTCTCGGTGGTTAGAGTCGCGGCACCGAGTCACTGATGCGTTCACTGGTCGGATTCCTAGTCACTCCGGAGGTGCTTCACCGGTCCACGGTAGCCTACGGTAGCGCAATGGCAGCGGACCAGTCTCCCGGATGACTCGGCATCCGCCGAAGTGCGTCAGAGCAGCGTGGTCCGCGCGCGAGGGCACGCCGTGCATCTTGACTTGTTCTCTGACATTCAGTTTGCACGCACAACGTATACCCCCTTCACGACATGCCACGCGAAATTGTGAACGTACAGGTGAATGACGCGTATTCAGAGCGTGCGGGATCGGTGCTGATCCGTGGATGTCGTGCAGGTCGGCCAGGTAGGGCAGCGCGGGAGCTCCTTTGCGAGGTGTGGTGGCTCACGATGGCGTCTTGGTTGTGTAGGCCGGAAACCAGGTCGGGGCGAGTTTTTGGGAGATGGTGCTGGCGGAGCACGGTCTGAATGAGGAAGGGGTGAGTCCTTTGCCTCCAGTATTGAAAGAGTTCGCTAACCAAGCTACGCGTTAGTTCTACACGGGAAACGACCCTCTGCAGCTCCCCAAGGTACGTGACACTGTGCATTGATGTTTTGCTGCCAGCTAACGGCGCTCCATCTAGGTTGACGTGTTCTTCACCGAAGTACAGCAACAAGGCGGTAGCAAGTATGTTCCGCGTAGCGTGCAAGTTGACCTGGAGGGTGGCGTTTGCAACCACGTATGCGCGTTCCCTCAACGTCAATTGGCTACGAAGCTGATCTTTGTGTGTCAGATCCGTTCTGGCAAGCTAGGGAAGCTTTTCCGGCCAGACAGCTTCATCACCGGCGATACTGGCGCCGGAAACAACTGGGCTAAAGGATGTAAGTTGATTTTTCTTCGCGAAACCAGGTACAACTACTGAACCTCACTTAGACTACACTGAGGGTGCGTTTGACCGCTGTCGATACCTCGACCTTTTTGTCTTGAACTAAGCTTCTAGGTGCCGAGCTTGTGGATGGTATCATGGTGGGTATTGCTCTTCAGCTCACGGTGTTCCGCGTTGCTGAGTATGCTGCGGTACCTCTTCAGGACGTTGTCCGCGTGCAGGCCGAAGGTTGTGATGCCATGCAAGGATTCCAGATGATCCATTCTCTGGGTGGAGGGACGGGCTCTGGTCTTGGCTCCCTCCTCCTGTCTAAGTTCCGAGAAGTTGTGTTCGCTATTATTCACCTAATCTGCTCCCTGATGCGAATACTGTAGGAATACCCTGACAGGATGCTATCAACGTTCTCGATCCTGCCGTCTCCCAAGGCATGTTCTACTGCCTTCGTTATCTCACGCGCCACTGACCTACGCTATGAAAGGTGTCTGAGACTGTCGTCGAGGTATGTGTGGTGAGACTAACCTAGGTGCACCACTGACGAGAGTCGTAGCCATACAATGCGCTCCTGTCGATCCACCAGCTGGTTGAGAACAGTGACATGACTATGTGCATCGACAACGAGGCCCTGTGAGTGTATGTCGCTGACATGATTACGCCGAACCGTTAAACACTTGTTAGATATGACATCACTGTGCGAACTCTTGGAAACAAGGCCCCCGAGTTCGCTGACCTGAACGTTGTAAGTCCCAGAGATTGTTCACATTTCTGACGCCCGATATAACCCCGACGTGTCCGTAGTTGGTCTCGCAAGTGATGTGCGGAGTCAGTACCAGTCTGCGGTTCCCTGGACAGCTGAACGGGTGAGTGCCTGTACTGACAGAGTCTCAGCGACGTGCTAATAGTACGCATCGGCAGCGACCTCCGCAAGCTGGCGCTGAACCTCGTCCCCTTCCCTCGTCTGCATTTCCTCATGCCGAGCTACGCGCCGTTCTTCGACCCTCGCTCCAAGGCGTTTGTTCGCATGACCGTGCCCGATCTCACATCGGCGTGAGTGCTATTATCGTCGCGTGTTGCTACAGCGGACTGAGTGTCGTTCCTGATCCGCACAGGCTCTTCGACCGGAAAAACCTGCTCGTCGCCTGCGACCCTAGGTTCGGGTGAGTGATACTTTGTGTTTCAGAGAAGGAATGTACGCGGATCGTAGTAATGCGTTTTCGGCAGCCGGTACCTCACTGCTGCGACGATCTTCCGAGGAAAGATATCTTCGCAAGAGGTGCGTGTCATCGAGCCCTTGCGTGACTCACTGTTGACATGATATGCATTCAGGCTGAAGTAAGTTGGACATGTTGTCATTCCGGTGGCTCGAACGTCGGCCAATAACGCTCTACAGAACTCTGTTATGGATCTTCAGCGCAGGAACTCCGCCCAATTTGTGGAGTGCGTAGAGGACACGCATTTCTTAGCGCTGACATCTCATCCTTGATCGTTCAGATGGATTCCCGATAATGTCTCTGTTTCTCTGATCTCGGTGCCACCTGTTGGTACAACTGCGGTAAGACAACCACCGATGTAGCCACTGCTTGTCAGACTCATTCTATTGCTAGGCTGCAACATGTCTCTCCAACTCGACTGCTGTGCAAGAGCTTTTCCAGCGAACGCTGAGCCAGGTTCGTATTTAGCACTAGCACTTCCGGCAGATAACTCAAATAAGGATCTAGTTCGTCGCGATGTACAAACGTCAGGCTTTCCTCCACTGGTATACCGGAGAGGGCATGGACGCTATGGAATTCTCGGAGGCTGAAAGCAATGCTCACGACCTCGTGTAAGTCCCCTCCCAGCTACAACAAGTCTGATCAGTCCGCTGATATCCCCGCAGTTCTGAGTACCAGCAGGTATGCACGCTCCATACTACTTGGTGGTCGTGTCGCTCACTCTTTCACTTAGTATCAAGAAGCATCAGTCGAAGAGGAATACGTCGACGAAGAGTACGAAGAAGAGCTTCCCGTTGAAGAAGAATAAGGTCGAGTCTGGAGTTCCTTGCTGCTTTTGCCTTCGAGTGGTCCGGTGTCGGCACTCGCGATTTACTATGCGTCTATCTAGCAAAAAACTTCACATTTCTAGCATCTATCCTACTAATATAGCTTGCTGTCGTGTTGGTTAATCCAGTGCTTCTTGTATGATGACAGCTACGCCCGAGACGGCCTTCCGACCCGGGATGCGATCCACATGGGATCCATAGCTAGGGCAAGTATGCAGTTAGGTCGCCAATCGGACGTGTCCCAGCGGCCATTCTGGGGCCCCGCGGGGAAGAATCTAGATGTGTATGGTCTTCTGAGCCGCAGTGAGTGCAGTCACTCCGTTGTCCGCTAACCTTGTCATGACAGTCGCCCCGAGGTTCCTCCGTGTCCTGACTCTCCACCCGCTCGTCTCGCCCAACGGCGTCAGCATTCACCGTTCTCAATTACGGTGCATACAACGGACTCGCAGGATTGCTGTTCACAGCGACCGTCATGTAGCAAGTGGCGTACCTGGATTCTTCGCCAAACTTGCTGCAGGGGACTTTAGAAGTGGAAACAAACCCAGTAACGTGCTATCCAGCGCAGTACTCTGGTCAGGTATCTGTTCTGCACCTTGTGATCTTGCGTGCTCACGGAATACGGGCCGTATTGAGTAACTGTTGTGACATGCGTCCGTCTCTTACATATATAACACGACAGAGGTCGGAAGACTCGCCCTCAGGCACTCCGCAGACAACCTCTTGCCAGAATGTCCCAGCCTGAATTCGGTCCGTGCCCTCCTCGCTTCATCGAGCTCAAGAAGGAGATTGCCGCCTCCTATCCCGACTTTCAGGCACGCGTCACGAAGGCATGGAATGAGCTCCTAGCTGAACTCGAAGTCTTCACGGCCGATGTTGCCAAGCAGGGCACAGAGGTAGAGTTGACTCTTTCTGCACTCTACCACGTCCGCTCATGGGATCATAGTATGTTCCTCAAGTCGACTTCTCTGAACTCAGCTCCCTCAGTCCTGAGAAGGTCGAGGAGGTTCGCAGGAAAGGCAGCGTCGTCATTCGCAATGTCGTAGATGACGCCGAGGCAACTTCCTGGAAGGAATGGCTCAAGGAGTACGTTTCGACGAACCCCGGAATCGATGGTCAGACTATGGCTGCGATAGGTGCATGCAGTCATTCTCACCTCTCGTCCTGCAGGCTTCCCCGTGGATGACAAACAGTTCTTCCAGCTCTAGTACGTTATCTGCGGCCCCAAGGCAGCTTTTCACTAACATCAGAGTAGCTGGACGAAGTCCCAAGTCCGTGCTCGTGGGCACCCGAATGTCCTCGCAGCGACCAGCTTCCTGAACAACTTGTACCACGTCAAGTCCGGGGCGAAGATCGAAAGCGTCGACCTTTCCACGCCATTGACCTACGCCGACCGCTTCCGCATCCGGCACCCAGGCGTGCAGTGGGACGTTCATCCTCCGCATGTAGATGGTCAGTGTTGAGCGGCGCTAGAGCGGACATTGCTCATTGAGGAGACTGAACAGGTGGTGCAATTGAACGATGGGAAGATCCCACGTTCAGGAAGTGTTTCGAGGATATTTTGACTGGTAACTGGCGCGACCACGATCCTTATGACCTCGAGAACCGCATCAACGCTCGCAGCTCCCTGTACGGCCGAGTCGGCCAGGTATGTTCCTGCTCGGCGATTTGGACCAGCCACACCTGATAAGCCAATCAGGCTACTGTGTTCAGGACGTATCAGGGCTGGCTCGCCGTGAGGTGCGTATCATGCTACACAGCACATTGCAGCACAGCTGACAGACGTAACAGCGAGACCGCTCCTCACGAAGGAACCCTGCAGGTCTTCCCGAATGTCTATCTCTCGAATGCCTACACCATCCTGCGTCCGTTCTTCCGGCAGATTCCTGGCACCAATGACCCTCTCGATCCCAACAACTGGGAGTATGGTAGGTATTCTTCTCTGCCTTCCGTCAAGTTGTAGGGCGCTCATCTGAGCACCAGACATCTCGTCGTCCGACTTCCCTGGCATTTACTCCACCGACTCTGGATTCCGTGGGCCCCGGCCGAACACGGAGACACACCCGCACATGAAGCTCGAGCGGACGATGGTATCCGTGCCCAAGGTCTACCCTGGCGACATGGTATTCTGGCACTGTGTACGCAACACTTGCACTCCTCTTCATATATCGTCCGCCCTGACATCATGGATTCCCTCAGGACGTTGTGCATGCAGTTGAGAAGGAACATGTTGGAACGGGCGACTCTGCTGGTAAGCACGGCCCTTCCACATCCTCTGTAGCCGCCAATAGCAGACTAATCACCTGCGCTGTGTCATGTAGTTCTATACATCCCTGCCTTACCGCTGACACCCATGAACGCGGACTACGTGCGCCGGCAGAAGGAGAGCTTCCTTCAGGGTGTCCCGCCGCCGGACTTCCCGCCTAGCAACGGCGAGAGCAAGCACGTAGGCGTGGGCAGGCCGGAGGACATCGAGAGCCCGATCGGCAAGCGTGCGATGGGTCTTGCAATCGAGGTGGTTTGAAGAGCCTTGTCCTTCTCGGAACTTACGTGTAGGTATTCATGAGTGGAGATATGCTTGATTTATGCCCGTGAGTGTATATGCGGTCGGGTATATGCTATGCATCGAATATATGGGATTCTTTAGCAATAACTGCTCGTTGTTTGCTGCTCATACAGATCTATTGCGCATCGCGACGACGAACTAGGATTACACATTGCGCTGATCATTTGATGCTCATTGTTACATGCATACAGGTACACTTGGGTCCTAATCGCCTTCGGTACAGATCGTTCACCATTTGAGGTACGGCAAGAACTTGCCGCTGTAAGAAGCATCATTGATATGATGCACAGGTAGGCTGAATGAGAGTTGAGACGCACTCAAAAATCAGCAGCACACGATCACCCTTCGGATCCGGCTTGCGTTCCACGTTGACCTTGCAGTCGATCATGGACATGATACCGTCGCCGAACTGACACGCAAAACATTTCAATTTAGTGGTTCGCGCCCAAAGATATTCTGACTGACCTTCTCGTGGACGACAGCCTGGTATCATCGTGTCCCGTGAGATTCTACAAGCTGATGTATGACATACAGGAAAGCTCACCTTGATGGCATTGCCATACACAAGGACGCCCTGAAAGTAGTGCTGGTAAGTAGTCTGGGACGTGACATACCTGACAAACATGGTGGGAAACGTACCTCGTACAGACGATACAGAACAGGGTCAGTGGGAGGCATCGGCCCGAGACCGCGGCGCGGCCACCAGTTCGCCCCAAGTTCAGCCGCCAAGTCCGAGTGCGGAATCTCGAGGAACTGTGATAGCTTTGCCAGTTCCTCCTCTGAAAGCTTTGCCTGAGATAGGGGGTCACAACCGTGCAGTCCCGGGACGTGTCATGTGCTCTACCTGTCCGTAGAACATCGCCGCGACCCAGACTTCATCCCGACCGATAGCCTTGGCGATCTGGTCGAAGGTAGCACCTACGTCGCAATAAGTGAAGCACGGTGGGGAAGGCATAAGACCTCACCCTTCTTCGCCTTTGCCTCGAAAAGGGCAACGCACATCGGCGGGAGATCAGCGTACGGCTCGCTGTTAGCGTTCACTGTCTGCGAACGTTGCGCAGCGATCGCGGTCACTGGTAAGTTCCGAATCCACACGACCCTCGACTTACCAAGCTTTGGGACATGTCTGGAGGGCCGTAGAGGGTGCTGTCCGTATAATGGGTGTCGGTGAGAGCAGCTGGACGTGTCTGCTAACTATATAACGGGAGTCGGAAGCGCGGTAGCAGTCACACGTGATGCGATGAATGATAAACGGGCTTGTACGGTTTGACAGTCAGTAGGTACCTGGGCGTGGGCATGCTCCGCACCCCAATGGCGAAAATGCTTCCACAGGCGCGAGTGAAAGTATCGAGGCGTCATGGAGAATGCGAAGCACCGGTGCTAGCCCTTCTGGACTGGTGGGAGTACGGGCGTGAGCGGACAATAGGGGAATGTTGGCGGCAGAAGCGCGGCTGTTTTGCTACTCCTGAGCACCCACTGCCCTCGCGAAGCCGAAATGTACCTATCCGGGCACAACGCATGCGGGATGCCCGGCGAACGATGGATAGAACGCGAAACTCAACGTGCAGCGTGTTAATAGAAGTTCTTAAAACAGCATGCTACGGAGAGACAGAGTCAGATGAGATGGGTGCCGAAGGAAACGAGTATCGCACAAGTACAACACTACGTACTGAGAGGCCTATGACGACGACTTTGGATGTTCCATCCCGTCGTTTTCATCCTGAGCGCGGGCGTTCCAGACGGCCTTCGTCGCGTCCATCAACTCATATAGCTGTCCGAGTTGCTCTGCAGACATCTTAGATCACGGTCTAGTTAGCAACACGAAGGTGACAAGGGAAAATATGCTACCTTTTCCAACAACGTGGGATCCAGCTTCTTGCCCGAAAATCGCTCCGCATCTTTACCGGATGGTAGCCCGTCCAGATATATCTTCCATTGAGTGAGGAAGCCGAATATGTGCACTTTGTTCGTGATCTCTTTGTGCCGGCGGAACTCTACGTGAATTGATTTCAGACACTACGCACATATAGCAATGAAACTGTCGCACCCGCTTTGACGTAGTCGTCACCGAGTGAGCGCATCTCACGGGGCAGATGGCAGTGCGCTCGTAGGATTCGCCTATACAATCTAGCATCAAGTGTTAGTACAGCGTTCCCAAAACTGTTCACGCCGAAGCTCACGGTATCGGGGGTAGAAGAGTCGCACTAGCTCCTCGCCAGCTCAAAGGGCTCTCCGAGACCGACTTTGCTAGTTGTACCAGGGTCGCGCGCATGGTAAGAGGTCAACACTCGTCTTGCTGCCGTAAGCAATGGTTGAGGTCAGTCGCGGTACGAAGCCCACCACGCCTGATTCCAAGACGGTGAAGTTTGCAGTCCGAGCAGGAGTGCTGAAAAGGGGCTTTGACTGTGTACTGAGACAGATGACTGCCTCCCTGCGTGGCCACTGGCAAATCGTGCTACGGTGGTGGCTGGTGGTGGTAGAGGTGCTATCGGGCTTGCCCGAAGGGTGGCCGACGAGTTCGGACTTGTACAGCGAGTACGTCTAGCTGCCACCTTACATCGCTCTCGAACGCCCGACTCAAAGTCGGTTGTACGTGACAATACTCCTGAGGTGAGTGGAGCGCTAGAGAGCCCATGGTACAGCAAGTACTTATGTATGAATACGATCAGTGTCACTCAGACCATCATAGGCCCGGTTCAATCCCTCAAGCTCTTGAGTCTCATAAGTATTCACCTCGGAGTCACGGACGTCCTAGAGTTCAACGTCATCAGTCCATTGTCCATTGCATATGCTAAACGAAAGACTATCTACAAGAATGGCTAATGCTACAAGCTCTACAAAACGATAGGATATGTTACTAATGTAATACAAACGGGGCTCTAATGCCAAGTCCGTGCCCAGGTATAATCCGAACGTCCGCGATGTATCCGACTGGCTCCGAATCTAGAATCTACGATAGAATGCTGGACGAGGAATTAGGTGTAGTTCATACGTTGTCTTGATGAGGTGCTGAGTGCTGGGTGCCGGAGAAGGCGGGAATGATATGGTCCATGGAATCTAGATGTGTATGTGCGAATAATCGAAGCTCATGGGGATACGGCGTCGACACAGACCGCCAGATTGCTGGAGAAGCTGGAGCCTGCGGATATGCGAATTCGTGAGTGGCCATATCAATGGGTGTAATCAGTGAGGACTCACCTGGGTAGAACCAGAAAGTGACCGCAATGACAAGATAGAGGCCTGTCGAGGATGTCAACGCACTGTGAGGCCCGCGAGCCCAGCGGGTACTTACTGATAAGGATGACACCCTCCAGCCAGTTGGACTTGCCATCTGCCATGACATATCCCATGATATGAACTACAGAGACATTATATCAGTCGAACCCGCAGAACCAGTCCATGTGGCTACCGACCAGAGATATACAGGACCTGGGGCGGGAACATGAATGAGAAGTGTTCCTTCGATACATACAAGCGCACATACCACTGTTTCGAACGGATCGAATAAGAGAGGGAGCGGTTTGTCCAGGATCCAACCCAAGAGCACCATGAACGGGATGACGAACAGAGTGGTTTGCTGGAGATCATTCATGCAGCACTCAGTGAAGAGGCACAGGCGTTAGAAAGAGACAACTTACGATGGATGAACCGACAGCGACACTGATGCTCAATGTCAACTGGTCCCTGACAGAGACGTTGACGGCCGTCACGCATTCTATGGAGTTCAGAGTTGAGCCGTGTACGGATATCCCGAGACCAAGTTGGACTCACCAGCGATGGAACTAATAGTCGGCAGCAGGATCAGCCCAATCCACTCCTTGCTAAGCGTCGGCGACAGATTGTCCATCGAGTCGACGAGCCACTCCGAGTTGATCGTGACGAGCTGTCGACCGAAGCAAACTCGGTGATCAGCGCACAAGACCATGTCAACGAAGGTCGAAACGACACGCACGACAATGACGGTGATCAGAAGTATGAACGTCATCGTCCAGCTCAACTCCGGACCCTCGTCTTCGCCCGCTTTCTCCCCCGACACAGAAGGGCTCTGTCCATCCCCGCCTTGCCCGTTCGCACCCACACCAATTTGCACTGAGCGGGCCCCGTCCTTGCGCTGCTCCGAGTATGCCGAAAGGACTTCGTTCACGCTGATGTGCTTGACCTGGCCGCTCTCAAAAGAGCTCCGCCTGCTCCCCTCCGACGAGTCAGAGTACCGCCGCGGACGGCCGAGGATGCCGTCGTCGCTGACGCTCGCACTGCGCCCGCGCTTCTGCTTGTCGTGCACGAGGCGCACGGTCGGGTCCTCCGTGCGGTTGCCGAACTCGTCCACGGACAGGGTCACCTGCGAGGTCGCACCGTACGGCGAGAGGAGGTAGGCCGTGCGGCGTTGGCGCGCGTTGTCGGGGTTGCTAGCGTACTGCGCGCCGGTTACGTCGGAGGAATCGAACGACGTCTCGGGGACCTCCTCCACGGGGCTGGTCTTCTCCCTCTCTGTGTGCTGCACACGGCGTCCCTTCATCTCGGCGGGGGAGCCCTTGGATCGCGGGGAGTCCCGCTTGCCTGCCTGAGAGTTCGAGTTCATTCGAAAAAGGGTACCACTATTCGTCCGCACACGCTGTGTCAAGGATCGGACCGATAGCGAGAGGGGAACACCAGGAATCTTCTCGCTGGGCTTGGTGTTGTCTTGGTACAAATGAGTATGAGAACAAAGCTGAAAGACCAGGTACGCGAAGTAAACTGCATGACATCAGAGCATTAGTGACACGGGAAATCAGGCAGTCCGCGATAAGACATACTGATCAACAGAAGAAAGGAGACCTACGATAGAGCGTTGTTAGCATGTCAGCATGTCAAAACAGGAGGGTAAATGTGACTGACGCCGTGGCTCATCGTCAACAAGTCGGCCTTCTGTTGCTGCAGAGTCGTCCCTGCTGAAGCCAGATCGGCAACATTGTACGACAACGCAAAATGGAATGCGGCGGGGAGGCAGACGGCACCAACGCCAATGCTCAGGAGCGACGAGTGGATGATCGTAGCAGCTACCCCCAGTAGTCGCGTGAGTCAAAAAAAGTAACAAACTACGCGGTCGAGCACGAACTCGGGTCATAATCCTGCTGATAGAATCGCAGGCCACCGGCGAGGAAACACATTCCAAGAATGAGCACTATTCGAGTAATTGTCGTTAGCGTATTCAAAAACCGGCACCAATAGGACTTACACTGTTTGCTAAGGATCGCACCAATCACTAGAAAGTCGTTGAAGTGGATTAGCAGAACATCAATCTATGCATGATGGGTGGGTCGCACAGGAAGACTGGACGACGTGCAGTTCGCATTTACGCAGTGCTGTGATCTATTACGAGGCGGGATCAGCCTCGTCCGAGCGCATACACTCCAAGTGTCACTCACTGCTACGATCAGCTCAATCCTATGCACGCATAACAAGACGAGAATACAGACGTTCAGCTGACTACTAAATCAGCCCATACGATTCCACTCACAGGTTGCTCTAGAAAGGTGTACTCAGAGAAAGCTATCAGTGGACTGGTGGGCGCACGTACAAAGCTAGCGTTGATGAGTCCCGTCTTGGTACCGCCCATACGCCGCGACAACACATTGATGGCCATGTCGTGGAGCTGTAAACGCAGCATTCATTCGTCACCGTGCCAGCATTTTGAAAAATCAACGCTATTACCTTGACCAGAGGAATCATAGAGATCATACAAGCTGGATGACTTAGACGTTAGCGGTACGGCAGGCGAGGCACAGACACAGGTGAGTTCGTGAAATTCACCAGAGAAGATGAGCGTGTCTGTTTCCTCGGTAGCGAGCTTTAATATCCACTGCAACACGCGTGAGCAGTGCTGAATCTAAGCAGCATGCATGCGTCCGGGGAACTCACTGATACAGGGAGAAGTAAGAGGAAGACGTTGAGCCCTTCAACACGATATTAGAGATCGGTAGGGGCCTTGTAACAAAACAATAGTACTTACATGAACCGAAGAGCACATATCGCCACCCGTGCCAAGCCTTCAGGCGGCGAGACTTCTTGACAGGAGCGGCTTGGGACGCGTCTCGATCGTCCGTGTTCGAATCCGGGAAGTTTCTTGGTCGCCCATACCAGGACGTGATCCTGTCCTTCAAACTCGTCCTGTTGTCGTGCTGGGGCGAGTGGTGATGCGGAAGCAGGTCGGACGTGGATGAAAACGACGCGGCGGAGGTCTGGGTCGCGGTACGCGTCAAGGTAGGGAGTGGTATGGGGTGCAGGTCTGCGGGGTATTTCTGCCCTGTGCGTGAGGTATATGCGCGTTCGTGGGACCCAGCCAGCGGCTCGGCCGTCTGAGAAGAGGTCAACATTGAGCGTCTAGTATTAAACACGGTGTAGAAGTTGAAAGAATGTAGATGAATGGACAGTGCAGCGGGGTGGGGGCTTAGGGAGAGACAGAGTAGAGTATGTATGCGTGCTCGGCAAAACGACCCGGGCTGCGCATGGAGGAGAGGCGGGTAAGAGACAAGAAGGTCAGCCCGAGTTAGAACGAAACATGAACCTCGCTTCTGACACTTTCTCCACTTTGCCGATTCCAATACACCTGCCATTTCCGGCCGCGCGTGCCGTCGCCTATCAGCTTCCATAAATAGCAATTCCATCAAGACGAAGTCACACCGTGACGCGCGCGTCGCATTCTTCCGAGTCCCGCCAACGCCGTGCGCTGTCGCTGTTGCACCCGTCCTCGCCCCCGAAAACCATGTTCCGCGCCGCCGTCCGTTCAGCTGGCGTCGTCGCCCGCACGGCCGCCAGGCCCAAGCCCTCCGTCGCCCTCCGTGCCCTCTCCACAACCCCCGCCCGTCTCTCCGAGGGCCCGAAGCCTGAACTCTTCGGTCCTGGCGCGAAGGCCGGTGAGGTCCCCACCGACGAGAACCAAGCCACTGGTCTCGAGCGCGCGCAGGTTCTTGCGGAGCGGGAGGGTGTCGAGCTCTTCGATGAGAACCCGCTGGACTCGAGCAGGATTGGCACCCTCGCTGACCCTATCAAGGTCCTCTCGTATGTATGTCACAACAATTCGCCGTCTCCCTGCTACAGAAACTGACCACCTTCACTGTCTGTAGGAGCACAGCCGTCTTGTCGGGTGCACCGGCAGCCCCGCAGAATCGCATGAGCTCCTCTGGATGAACCTCACCCAGCAGAAGAAGAGGCGCTGCCCTGAATGTGGCTCCGGTCAGTTGCACCGTCTTCGTGTCTCTAGCCCAGTTCTGAGGCGTTCCCAGTGTACGAGCTCGACTACCAGGGTGACAGCGAAGTCGTCCTCCACGAGCTGCACTAGAACTACAGATGCGCCAATGGTTCCACTCTGTAACACACTAGTAATCAATGCAATTGCTGTAGAGCATGAGTTCGCTCCATCCGCACTGTTCGTGAGTTCGCAGCAATGGCATCGTGCTTGCATTGCTTCACCACATCCTTGTCGCCAGCACATCGCTTCTCGGTGCGTCCCCGAATGATTCCGTGCTCTCGCGAGAGTCGGAGCCTACGCAGGTCTGGCGTTCACCTACGCCCGTCCAGACCTGCCCGACAAGTAGCTCGTCTGGATCTAGGCTGAGCCTTTACCGTCTAGACCGACGACCTCGATGTCTAGTCGGAACGCAAGTATGGACAGTATCAAAGGCATCGAAGCCTACTTACTTGTCTATACGCCATACTTACTATGCGTGACAAGTAGTGGTTGGTTTCGGGCGGCTCGGGAATCAGCTGTCGGCAAGTGCCGGGTCCATTGGACGCGACTGTCCAGTGACTATAGTGACCGTTCGACGTTTTGTCACGGCTTGTACTTGCTACACGGTAAGTATGTATCTTTACGTAATTTTTGCGCGGACATTTGACCCTACCCAACCTCCAATCGGACCCTGGTGTCACCGGGGATACTTATCCTGGGCTGAGTAGTATACTCATCGACAGGGCACTGTTTGTCCCATCGTCACTCCGTCCAGACGCTCCGTCCCGCATTTGCAAACCAGGACAGTGTCAGACGTACAGTACAACGTCCAAGCGCACCGTGACATTGCATCGATCCATGTGCTCTCAAGTTTGAGGTATGCTCGGTACGTACTCCTGCACAGGTTACCCTTGGTGGAGCGAATGAGAACAATATGCTTGAATAGGACAATCGTCGCGGCCCAAGAGGGTAGTCTCAATTGATCAACATCACGTCTAGATATGTGAACGATGCGGCGTCAATAATCTGCGTACGTACCGTGCACTCCACAGCTGGAGCTCTGCATCTCCCACCTCATGTAGAGATGCACAGAATCACACAACTGATCGCGCATATGAGCGACCGTCGGTGAATCAGAAGTGCGTAAGGCGCTGCATGATGGGCTGGGATACGAAGTGATCATGGTCGAACGATGACCGGTCGATGTCCCTTATTTGTGCCCGTAGGGATTCTGAAAGATCCCTAGTACATCAAGACTGTCTGCGTCACCCGTAGACAGGCGGCACTTCCACATTATTCTACACGGGCGAGTAGACCGGATTGTGGTTCTTGTGGGGTGTAAAGGTGAGTCCGAGTCAACCATGTCGTTCGTGCCACGAAGATGTGCTCCCACCGTATTTCACCGACCGTCGTGATTATGGTAGTCAGTTTGGTCCTGCGCGGCCAACCCATTCAATGCCGCGGTTCCCCTTGCGCTCAAAACTGTATCTTTGCTACGATGAGATACGCTGATTCAGCCTGACAGGCATCGACGGCCAACGGTGGTCATTCCAAGGTTTGAACAATATGCTCGTACGGTCAAGCTTGCCACTCGTGCGTCGTTCGAGCAGCTCTGGAGACGGACTGGCTATACACGTGCGCTCTGACATATTGAAGATATTACACCTCAGTAACCGACGACAGACCTCGCAACGTTTGGTGCCGGCGGTGCTCGCCACCAGACCGGCCAGCCTCTGTCCTGCCAGCCGCTCTCTATCCGCGACTACAACACCTCTCGTCCTTCGAGCGAACACGATCTCGGGGACGTCTCCACGATGGTCATCTCCGCGGGCATCGGTAGGCCATGTACTCTGCATCCTCTTTGCATATATTGCAATCCATCACTTCTTTCCTCTCTAAATGTCTATTCGAGTTCGGCTTTGAAAGGACCGAGCCCACACCGTCAAATTTGTGCGTGGATCCCCTTATCCCCTCAGCTAGACAAGTGGAATATTGACCGACAGTCTACTGGCTTGTTGGTGAGTGTTCCGTTCTCGTCGGGCTCAAGTTATCATGGCTCAAGGAGCACGCCATACACGCCAATGGCTCGGAGTTCGTAGTCGACGTGATACTACCATCGCAAAATACTACATACTATACAGCATACCCTTATGTTCTACGTAACTTAACTGCCACCAAGCTGCGTCGATTGCCTCTATGGAGCTGAACTCAAACGCGCTTGTGTCGGCGTGCGACTCGGACTCGCCGCCACCTCCACTGGCAGCTGCCTTGTTAGTAAGTTACATCAAGGACAGCTCTCTCGTCGACGAGTCGGGGCAATATACGATCCTATCGCGGGCCATCTTGGCGTTCTAGGTCGCCGAGTACCGACGGACGACTATGGTAAAAGCTATACCGAGAAGTGGAGATGTTCATCATTCATGCGCGGTGGCGAGTGCGGCGCTTCACTTTTTTGCCTCACACTCTGCACCTATTTCCGTTCTCTACCCACGGGCGACCGCCGCGGAGCCAGATCGACCAGGACTTCTAGCCAGCCTGGCGGGTAGTTCGGAGGGGTTCGAGCAGCCGTAGTTGTCTGATTATTCTGACGGACTGGCTGCGAGCTTTGGTTGCGACTTTCGGCTGGCGAGGTCGAGTGTCCCTACGAAGGCCCTGCAGCCCTCACCCTCTTTTCCATGCCGCGATTGATTTCGTCCAGGCTGCCCCGTCTGCCGTGGGCTGGGGGTCCCGCGGCAGGACGGCGGCAGCTGCTGAAGGTTTTCCTTGACGTCGGCTCGAGCAGATCGTTATCTTGCCTGCTCCTGCCAGGGCAAGCCTTTCTCCCTTTCTTTCGGCAAGTCCGATCTTAGTGGAGTCGTTGCGGCTTGCAACGCTCGCCCCTTACAACAACACCGTGTAGACAGGAGGAATGCTGACCTTTGCGGCACTGCGCCACCAGCAGTATGGTTGCTCCTGCGCACGGCTCGTGCGACGAACGTCTGGCTAAACCGTCCCGGACCGCATGATCGATGATTCCACCCGCACACGCTCTGCTGGCGGCGGCGCTCGCCATTTGAGCTTTGTTACGTCTGCGGCGCACACTGGGCCTGGGCCTGCAGCGCTGCGGACTCCGCGTACGGGTGTCTTCGAGCCGGGACTGTGGTCCAACAATGTCCTGCCAGTGCGAGTTGGCTGTGGCGCGTTCAAGTCAAGTCAGAGTTGAAGGTCAGTCCGAATTGAAGGTCCTGCCAGTGTCAAGACAGCGATGCCCTTCTGCTGAGGTCCCCGGTGCTATCGTTCCCATGCGGCCCTTGTGCGGCCCTTTGAGGATTGGAGACGGTTACCACCGCCCATTCTGGCAGAGCGGTAGACCCATACTGATTCTGGGGTGGACGGGGCGCATGCCGCGCACCCTCTGTGACCTGGACGTCGTCAACGGCTCCGGCACTCCGGTTCATCCTCGCCTGTGGACCGGACTGACTGCGTTCCACAAGGTGCCGTCCAGCCAGTTCGCACGGTTCGCAAGAGACTTAACTGCAGCAGCGTCCACGCCGCCATACGGGTGACTGCATGTGTCGCACCGCCAAAGAGTGGCCTCGCGGAGGAGAGACGGCTGGCAGGAGACAGCGCGGGCGGTCGCACGAGCGATCGGTCGAGATCTGGCAGTGGCGGGCTCGGACTTGGCGCGCATGACGCGCTGCAGCGATCGTGTGCTCTATCAGCGTGCTGCACCTTGTCCTATTCGAGCCAGTCTGCTCTTTACACCAGGTGGCGGTGCAGTGGCAAGTCTCATCTATTACCATCATGCATCTACAGTGTCTCACCGTTAGGTGTATGGTGCCCAGGAAAACCTGCCTTCATACTGGCCGTCTGTCGAACGGCAGGGGCCGCTTCTGGTCTGCTATTATTGATGGCCCAAGTGCGTGAAAATGCGCGCACCGGCCGAGTCTATCTGATTACCCGTTGCGCTTAGCCGCGTCAACGCCTTCTCGTGCCGCAGTTTCTTTGCGGCGCCGTTTTGGGCGATATGCCCTGACAGAACCGCGTCTCCCTCTCTGATCCTGCACATTCGCGGATCTCGTCAATCTTGAGGAGACCAGGGCATCTGCAGATTCCCAGGCGCACGGTTACCCTCTCCATAACTTTATATGGTCGACATCGCACACACACCCGCCATGCGTAACCCCCCCGCTCTCCTGGGCTACCGTCGACTTCCCCTCCACCATGGTTGCAGAACTGAGTGTCATCTCCGTCAACCTGGCCACTGCGTGCATGGAGAGCTTCCTCTATGGCATCTTCTGCATCCTCTCCGGCACCTCCACCTACCTCCTTCTCCGCCGTGGACATGAGCAAAGCCAGATGAGTGCAGGCGTGAGCCACCGGCCAATGTGGCGGACACCCATGTTTATAGCTGGGTGTTTGATAGCTGTAACAGTCACAGGTGTGAGTGGCCCGCGGCCTTTCCACGCATGTCAACAAGTCTAATGCGTTCGCTTCGCAAGCACTGGATATTGACCGTTGTGCGCGTCTTTGACGCGTTCGTCAACTATCTGGGCGGCACAGAGCCGCTCATTGCTTTTGCGGACCTTTCGAGGATGTCGGAGGTCGTCAAAACTGCCTTCCTGGTCATGACCATTCTCGTTTCCGACGCGATGATCGTGAGCCCCTTCCACGATCATCCTGGAAGCTCCGACTGACGATTCTTAGATTTACCGGTTGTACATTGTCTGGAGCTACAACAAGTTTATCATCATCTTCCCTCTGATGACATGGTGCGGGTTGATTGGTAAGTTCCGCTTCGCGTCGCACCACGCGATTCATCGACCATTGCGCTGACATCCCGCCCGCCCTGCAGCCTGCGGCACTGGTGTATGTTGGCAATTCGCAGTGTATACCCTGGGGGAGGACGTTTTTGAGACATCAGCTGGCCGGTGGATCACAAGCGACTGCGTCTTCACCTTCACGTGCGTATCTCCCATGTGCTAACCTGGTTCGAAACGTTAATGACGCGATGTCCGTCCTGATGCGAACAAATAGCACGAACGTCTACTGCTCCTGTGAGGCATAGATCCTGCTCCGTATCATGGCACACTCCGCTGATCACCCCACCTCTTGCTAGTGCTGATCGCATACCGCGTCTGGCGTACGCGAATCACCTCTCAGGCCTATGGCGGCGCAAACATCATGGGTGCACTCGCGATCATCATCGAGTCCGCCGCCCTCCAATCGTGCGTGCCGCAATCTCGCCCGGAGCGCCCGCGCACTGACCTCACTTCCCCGCCCCCCTGATTCCCCGCACACAGGAGCTGGAACCTTATCTTCTTCGTGACCTACCAAGCGAAGAGCAACATCCAGTTCACGACGTGCGACCTCTGGGCGCCGATCTGCGGGATCTCGCTCACGCTGATCAACCTGCGCGTCGCGCTCGGCTGGGCGCAGAAGGCGCACCAGTCCGCGTCGTCCGGCGTCCCGCGCGTGACCGCCGTCTCGCAGGCACGCTCGTACGCGTCCACCGCGGAACAGGGCTTCGCGATGCGCCCGCTCGCGGTGAACATCACCCGCGTCGTCAACCAGGAGGACGACTTTGGCGGCATGAAGAAGGCGGACTACTCCAGCCAGGGCAGCATCCTCCCGGTATGATCGTGGGCCGTACCGCGGGCTGAGATGGGGCGTCCGGGGGACTTAGATCGACGCCGCGGCGCGGCCGCGCGCGGGCACCTGAGGGACTTTCGCGGATTTATGGGAGGCTGCGCGGCCGTGCTGTTGTATTAATTATACTCGCTCGCGGGATAGACCTGGCCGGGCCCGACTTAATGGTTGCCGTTCGTTCCCTCTCACTTATCTCGTGTGTGGTCATATATGTACATGTTCGCGGGATGCAGTCGCTCGTTTCAGCAGCAGCCAAGTCGCGACTTGAGCGAGAAGGCGGACGTCCAGGCGCAGGTGAGTCGCGAGCGCGAGCTCGAGGCCTCTAATAGAGTATGTGCGTACTGTGTGTGCCCCATCGATGTACTTGACTCCTCCGCCATAGACGGATTACCAGACGACTTCAGATGTCGACAGATGTCTCCTCATCTGGTATCAGTGTTGACCCCCGCTGAGCACAGTTCGCGGTCAGTGGAGTGAACAACGAGTGTTTGTCTCCCTGCGCAGACCTCACTCAAGCTCGCTGCCTAAACGATCGGACTGTTGATCCCTGTCCCTCCAATGAAGTAACTGCATCAGGGGGCGAATCTCTACTTCGCTCGAAAAAAAAGCTCAGTTCAACGAACCTGTGTGCACCGAGTAGGTCGCAAAAACATCCGAAGGAGTACTGTTTGGGGGCCGGTGCCTTACAGTAATAGACTGCACATTATACAAAAGCGCGAGTCAGTCCGATTTGGAGCGCTGGGCAGCTAGCGGGAGAGGGGTACGCGCCAGGGAGCGTCGTGTCGCCCCAAGACGAATAGCAGAATATACCATATAGCTGTATACATGTAGACGGATAAAATACTAGCAGAGCGAGCGGACTACCTACGTACAAGTTAAAGCGAACGACCGTGACAATATATAACAGACCCAGGGCCAGAACAGACCCAACCGTAACTATCCACCCACAGAACGAAACACGCAAGCACACACGCAACCGGCACGCAACCCATCTACAGCAGCAACGCCCACGGCCTCCGCCACCCCGGCGCGGGTGCAGCGCTTGCCTCCCGCGCGCGGCGCCGCTCCTCCTCCCACCGCTCCAGCTCCTGCTTCAGCTTCCGCACGCGCTCGACGTTGAGCGGGTGCGCCGACCCCGCCCAGCGGTGCGGGAGGACCTTGCCGATGCCCGTGCGTTCCTCGACCACCTCGTCCTTCGGCGCGTGCGCGCACTCGGCGTTGTGTGCGCTCTCCGAGCGGTTCTCCCAGAAGCGCACGGCGTGCCGCGGGTCGAAGCCCGCGTGTGCGAGCAGTCTGTGCGGGGGGAGGTTAGCGGTGACAGCATTGGGGTGAGGGCGGGCGGCGTGCTTACCGGGCGGAGACGATGTCCGCCTCGATCTCTTGCTCGTGGCTTGTGCATATCCCAGAGAATTTGGCGAACTCGACGCTGCTTGTTTTCCATACGCCGGAGATGGCGTCATTGATAAAAGGACCGACTGTGAGTAAATGAGCGCCGCGATCAAATGCTAGAGTCGGTGGGGGACATACAGAGCATGGTGAAAGGGAACATGAACGTCCTGATGACGTCCGTAGTGATAGTCACGAGGCTCGGCCCGACGATGGACCCGATCGAAAGTGTCTCGATGTGGTGTGAGAGCAGCAGGTGTGCAACCTCGTGCGCGAGGAGGATGGCGAGCTCGGACGTCTGTTCCTCCGAAGGAGTAGGCCGTGATGGTAAAGGTTGGGCATTGAGGAGGCCGCCAAAAATGGCAGACCACCAAGAAACCTCTTCCGTAGATGTTAATTCCGGGGAGACAACGCTCTCCGCAGGACACTTCGCCATGATGTCGTCGAGGAAGCCAGAGTACACCACGATGCCCGCGGCGCCGTCGGGGCCGAACCCATACGAAAACGCGTTGGACGACTCGGGCCTGTCGACGACCAGCAGCGAATACGGCGGCCCCAGCACAACCTCCTCAGCCGAACGCAAATTTGTCGCCTCCGCCATCCTTCCAATATAGTCTGACTCTCGGAGGCGCGGCCGGAGTGGATAGTCGGACGGCGGCGGAAGGGGCACCTCAGTCGCGCCTTCGATCCAGTCTGGCCGGAGCTCTTTCTCGGCCTGGAGGACGGGGATGACACCCTCGAGGCGGCGTAGCGTCTGTTGGACCCAGCGGTAACGCCAGTCGGAGGGGTCGATGAGCTTGGGCGTGTCCCCGCCAGAGGCGAGAATCTCGCCGACGGCGGCATACCACCCAGTGCCGGCCAGTTGGAAGGCTATGTCATCCTCTTCCCAAGGGGAGAGTAGAATGAATCTCCATCTGAAAGGTCAGTCGTTAGAGTGTGACTTACAAACCGATCAGTTGTGTGCTTCGGATATAGCTCTGACGCAGCTCTGAAATGATGAGCAGTGCTACGAAATAGTGTAAGGAGACTACCGGCTGATTGTGCAATAATGAGAAGAGGGGGGAAGCCACTGGTGTCGCAGGTGACAGAAGGAATGTCAACATCTGCTTTCAGGTGCAAGGCATAGGTAAGACCGCTGTACGTGGACGATTGCGTTCCGTGTCATGTCTCACGCAGTCACCGCGATCAATATCAAATGGCTCCAGCGCCGAGACAGCGCCGAGCTATATCAGAAGCACCATAGTAGAGCCAGAGACATACCTGCCAGTCAACGGCGTTCGTTCAATACCTGCGAGGAGAGTAAATGCTACAACCACGCCTGGGATAAGGAGCAGTATTCGGGTGATCTTCCGAGCTCTCTTCAAATATGTGATGGCCCTGCGTGCTTTGCCATCGAGGTCCATATCTTTGCCGCGACCAGCTTGTCGCATCTTCTCGATCTTTTCCAGCACTTTGCGTGAGCGGAATTTCGAAAGGGATGCGAGAGGGATGAAGGTCAGAGCGACGCGGAAGACAGTCTCTGCGACAGTAAGTGCGGTGGATGTCTGTAAGCAAGCATGGTTATATATCAGCTACACGGCGTCTTCGCCGTGGGGGACAATAGGCCCTTCAAACTGAGCACGGCAAGACGAAATGTCATACATGAACCCAGCAGAGGACATAGAGTGCACTTCTTGTTTTCGAACGGTGATGGTGATGGCATTGTGCGCTGCCTCTGCTCGATGCATGCTCTGTACTCATTCTAGGGGCCTATCAATCCACTTCGGCACATGTAGATGCCTCATACCTTGAAACACCAGATCCAAGGGGGATGAACATCAACTGCCGGGGACTTGAAGCATGGAAATGTCTCTTCGAGGGAACCGTCGTAGGGCTTTTCGGGGGCAAGCGGGACCGAGACTGGTGAAGGGCGGGTGACGCAAGGACATGAAGAGGTCTGCCATTTGCCGACCAGCTGCGTGAGGGTAGAGAGCGAATGGCATAGCCCGACCAGCGGCTGACTCCTAGAAATGTGGAAGAAGAGCTACCCAGGACTGAAGCCATCATCGTGGACCGTCATAAGCGGAAGGAGGAGGAGACCCTGAGATTGGCGCATACTGCGGGGAGTCGCTACGGGCGTCTACTTGAGGAGGCTCCGCCGCTGCACTGCTCCGCACTCTGGACCCAGATCGCCATCAGGACTGTATCAAGCGATCACGCTTTCCTGTCATACATTGACCGTGACAACGCTTTCGAGACAGGGACTAAGGACGAAACTGGGCACAATGTATCGTACTTATTCCGAGTGATGGAGGAGAGGGGACACCCACAGAGGGATCGATTATTACGCATCATGGTGTTAAGTTATGTTCTGAAGGGGATGTTCACTTCAGCCACTCATTCCGAGCTCCGAGTTTTCGTGTATGCGATCGAGTCTCCCACGGTTCAGGAGGTTGGTTTCCTGTTACGGTAATAGTCGCCAGCTGTGAATTTACGCCCCGAGCCAGTTCGAGATGTGAGGGTTATAGGTCCTTCAACTCTGGCCGTGACAGACAGCCTTCTAATGAGAGACCACGAAGAGATACATAAAAATGATTCGGCCGAGTCTTGCGAGGATTGATGTAGATGCGAGCGCCGACGAACGCAAGTGGCGGGGCCGGCGCTGGAGTCAGGGATCGACTGCGTGTGCATGAGTGATATTACTAGCATCCCGACTCCGTCCATCTCAACAATGTGCTATGTTGCGCCCACTGCTTGGCCGCAGTGCGCCGCCTCTCCAAGCTTTCACGTTTCGACATGTCCCAGCTCGCGGAGGACTCGCGTGGAGAGGAGGAAGAGAGTGTATGTTCCATCTCGTCCCGAGGGTTGAGGCCGGGGTGCAGCAACTTCCCCCGTCCGTTTTGATGAATGTACCGAGACGTGCTCGAGCGTTCCACTCAACGCCTCCGAGGAATGGCTTGCCAGTGATACCGTTGTTTCTCTCGTTCCTCAAGGTATTCATAACGCAGACATTCGAGTCGACCAGACCGACTGACGATAGTTCCCATCGGGATAACCATGTTATCCGCAGACTTCCAGTGCTATTCAACTAGCGAGCACCGTCTCTCGAATCGCTCTGACGTTCATGCCCATTGCCCTCCTCAACAGGCTCAAGAGCCGCAGGAAGCTTCAGAGGATTGACGCGAGGATCAAGGACGGCAAGGCCAGCGACTCGGACGAACTGCAGAAGCGACGGGAGACGGTCACCGAGCGGTTGCGCAACAGTACACGACTCTTCCAACTTGTCCTCTTCACCCCCATCGTCCTCTTCTGGCTCACCATCGTCGCCAGCCTCGAAAGGACGCCGCTCACCGGTCGCTTGCGACTCATCCTCCTATCTCCCGACGAAGAAGAGGACATCGCCGCTCAGCTCGCGGGGCCGGGCTGGTACCGCGCCATCGGCGAGATCCTCACGCAAAACGGCACTACTCGACTCGTCGATCCGGGCGACTGGCGCTACCAGTGGGTCCTCAGCACCCTCCGCCGCCTCGAGAGCGTGATCCCCGTGCTGCAGTACGAGGAAGGGCTCCGGCCAGACTGGATGGACGGCGGGCCAAATGATATTCCCCAGCCTCCGCCAGCGCAGTATCCTTTGCGTCCTCGCCCGCGTGCGTCCGACTACTTCCGTCGATTCGCAGAGGCCGCACGACATCGGACCGCGCAGACCCCAGCGCACTCCATACCCGGCCCACCTTACTCTTTGCTGGTAGTTGACGACCCGGACTCGTCCAACGCGTTCTCGTATGGCTTTGGCCCGGATGGTGGGGGCGGGGTCGTCGTGTTCTCCGGCTTCCTCGAGGACGTCCTGCGCAAGTACCCGCACGCGTTCGTCGAAGAGCCGCAGCCGACGTCCTGGTGGTCGTACATCTTCGGCAACTTCTTCGGGCTCAGCCCGCGCCCGCCTGCGCACCCCGTACCCACCGAGGAGCAGACCTCGGAACTTGCGATTCTCCTCGCGCACGAGCTCGCACATCTCGTTCTCACACATCACATCGAGACGCTCTCCACGGGCACCATCATCTGGCCCGGGGTCATCACCATCTTCACTGACATCGTCCGCTCCTTGCTATTTCCCGTTACTATGCTCTGTACGTCCCTCGCGCCATTCGCCAGCACATTCAGCTAACCAGGATACGTGTAGTTGGGCCGTTCATCAACGATGCCCTCGCCAGCGTCGGCAAAGCAAGCTCGGGCGAGATCTCTCGCATCACCGAGTACTGCACCTCGCAGTCACAAGAGGTCGAGGCCGACATCGTCTCCGCAAGGTATGCCTTCCCTCGCGGTCTTAACAACAACTCCTAACCAACTGCTCCCAGACTCCTTGCACACGCCGGCTTCGACCCGCGGCACGCCATCCACTTCTGGGAGGGCCGCAACGAGACGCCCAAGACGGCAGAGTGCACGCCCGGGCTCGCGGAGGAGATGCAGCGGGCGGAGGAGACGTCGCTGCTCTACCTCCCCCGCCGGTGGATCGGCTCGTCGCACCCGATCAACCTTGTCCGTGTGCAGAGGCTCAGGGACGAGCTCGACCGCTGGGAGAAGGCGAGGTTCGCCGCGAGAGAGAAGCGCGAGAAGGAGAGGGGGAAGGCTGCGGATGCTAGCGCTGCGGCAGAGTGATACGACACATTGCTACGAGTATTTATTGGTCGGTGTTATCGTTGCTTGGCTCATCTCTCCTGTGTCATGGTTCGTGTAGGTCTTCAGTAGACAGTTCACTCACCGGGTCCGTCAGTGTATTTGTAGTCGTATTCGAGCGAACATTGCTATGGGGCTGCTTGCTGTACACCCTCACTGTAAAGTACCCTTGTGGTAGTAATCCTAACAACTCCACTCTGAATCCCAACACCAGAGGCGCGACCGGTATTGTCCAGACGATGGCTACGCAGTAAGCGTATTGCGCCCACAATGTGCTCGGAATACTTGAGGAGCAAAAAGGAAATGACAAGGGAGGCTTCGAACGAAGCATACATCTGAAAAATTCGTAGTGCGGCTTTGAGCAGGGTCAGTACACGGAATCCCCTAGTAAAAGGCGAGGGGATTGTCTGATTGTACTAACCCCAGCCGACATTACAGTATGCGTTAGAACGACCTCATACAACCGAGTTTCGCATTTTGTTCAGCCCGCGCGAAGTCAGCGCCTATCGGGGGCGTGTCACTGTCGGCAAGGACCTGGGCAAGCAAAGGACAGTCTTTTTTTTTTTTTTTAATTCTCCATGTTTACCCTCCGTACGCTACGTACATGTGGAGCCATATATAGTCTGAGCCATACTTGTTCACCCGCCCTGTGGCGACGGAGTGAGGTACAGCGGGTTACGTCGGGCGTCGGGTCGGGCACCAATCACAGTAATGCGATCGCGTGCCACTTGCCGTTCCAACGTATCTTGTGACGCGTCTAACAACTGACTCGCCGAGTCTGCAACTAATACAAGCTCGGGGTCTAGCAGCGCGTCTAAGTCCGGCGTGGGGATGCGTGGCAGGGCACGCATCCCGTGTCGGTCACCGGGAACATCACCGGCAAGGGAGAGCTCAAGCTCTTCCGAATCTTCACGCAAGAGACCACCCTCAGCGTTGAAGGCCTCCCACGTGTTGAATAGCTCGAGCGCAAAGCACTCGCATTTGGCATCGATGGTCTCAATGAACTTTTCAACCTCTTTGTCTGATACGCTGACGTATTGCGGGGGTTTACCCATACGGTTCAGCACTTCTTTCCACTTCCGTTGTTTCCAAACGGTGTGTGCATTAAGCCTGGCCCAAGCCATGGTGCGCTTGGATCCGGCAGCATGGTCGTCCTTGCATTTCGCAAGAATTTCGGTCCATTCGAAGGACCCGACCCATGGGTTCAACTTCAAGAAGTCGAGAACATCAGACGGCTTCCAAGTGCGTTGGAACCGTGAGTAATAAGTGTCCTTCTTTGTTTGGTGCCACCTGAAGGGACCAATGAAGGGACTATGGGAGTGCTTTTTGACGCGAAGCCAAAGAGGACACTCGAAGAGCATATGGTCACGGGTTTCCTTATGTCCACCCTGACCGCATATGCAATATGCGTTCCCATCTCCGAGGAGATTGAATCGCTCTCTGAACTCCCCGCAAGGGAAATGATTGGTGATAACACGACAAAAGCGAGCAGCGTCTGCGTTGTTTCCCCATTCGGACAACCCCTTTTTGAAAATAAAGGTAGGGTTGCGAACATTGGTGGGCGTCAATTCCTTGTGCCACCAAAATTTCTTGCCTAAATAGGCATTAGGTCGCGCAACAATGGACGGGTCTGGAATGCCCGCCACGTTGGCTCGCTGTACATGATCCGGATGCTTGTAAAGCTCCGCCCATGAGTGAAGCATTTCCTTCCGAATTTGTTGGAGTCGGAAGGCAAGCAAAGGACAGTCGCCCACTGGAAATTCATCGAGTTCTGCTTTGCGGGAGGACATATGTAACACTAATCGCAGGCTCATCAGTAGACTGTATAATACAGAATCTTGATTCAGACGATCCATTCCTTGAGTACTTCGTTATAACGGATATGATACATGGGTGTCACAATCTACGTCTGGTGAGATACTGTCGTTCACGGCCGCCAATACATGCAATCGTAGCCTTTCGTCGTGTCTAAGAGATGAAGGTCGCCTCAGCGTAGAAAACACCTTCGATCTCTACCGCGCCAGACACGTCTGGGATCAGTCCACTAGGGACAGTAACAGAGAGCTTGCCAGGGTTGAACCACTGTGGCAACGGATCAGCACAAGCGAGACAGAGCAAGTAGATCGCGGCACCGACCTGGTAAATGTATGGCTTGGTGCCCGCGGCGTAGGCAATCATCGTCTTGATTACGGCTGGGATCTCCGCCAGCACGTCCACCTTCTCCACGAGGCCATTGTATGCACTGGGTTGGCCGACATCGAGGACGAGCGTAGCGTCGATGTTGCCCTGTACATCGGGCAGGATGGATGGCGCTGCCCATCGGAAGGTCAGCTCCGTCGGTGCGTTGTAGCCAGTGTCCGCATCGTGCGCCGTCTTCGTATGGACTGCACGCGACTTTACCTCCGCTGTCTCTGACAGAGGCTCGTCGGGGTATTTGGTCTCCGCCGTGACGGCTACAAGCTTGCCTCCGAGCACGAGCGAGCCGACGTTGACCGCGACGAAGCCGGAGCCCGCCCCCTGGCGCCCGTACGTGTCGATGGTGGTGAACTCCATTTGGATGGCGCTGCACCCGCCGTGCGCCTCGCTGACGAAGTGGCCGAAGTTCCAGCGCGCGGCTACGAGGTTGGGACGCATGCCCTGGATCGCGTGCACGAACATACCGGGGCCTTTCACAGATTCTGCGCGCCCGCTGCGGATGATGGTCCCCGTGGTGGCGGTCAGCGGCCAGATCTTATGGATAACGTATCCCTCAGGATTCGCGACGTCATGCCCGAAGTACGAGAAGCCGCCCTTGGGGCCCTTGCCAACCTTCCAGCCTGGAGCAGACGCAGGACGACGAACGTCGAGGGAGATCTGTAGGTCGTCTGAGAGGTTGACCCGAACGGCATAGGACTCTGCGAATTCGTCTCCTGGGTGGTCTTTGTGCGTAATGCTGAATTGATCGGCTTTGCTTGAGCGTTTGTCGAGCCCCGGCGGTGGGGTGACGAAGTTGCCGACATTTATGGACTTCCAGATGCGCTGCTTCGTCTTCGGATTGTACAGCTTGCAGGTGAACTGGACAGTAGGGTACCACACGCTGGCATGGCGTCAACGTTCGCGCGAAAGCCTGGCGCCATGGAGACTCACCCAACCGCAGAGTGAATAATTTGACACATCAAGTGCGACCCATCATCCAGGATCTGGTACCATATTTGCGTCTCGACAGAAAAGCCTCCCGGGCACGTCCACTCCGTGTCCTTTGGCTCAAGTTCACCGAAGAGCTCCGATGCGCTCTTCCCTGTACTGACAGGGTGGAAATTGGGCGCCTTCGGGTCGACTGGTGCGGATGTGCTGTGCAGACAAGCACCTCAGCACAATCGAATTGTATGAGACATATCGCACTTACGAGAAGAACGAGGAGAACATGATGGGTGCGTCGAGGGAGTGCACCAAGCCGGACGCCGGTACACACTCGAGTGAGGAGCATGCATTCGGCTGGTCCCGCAAGGCGCCTTTTCAGGAAAGATACCGGCCCGGCGGGGACCTCCCAGCGTCGTCCATAAGTGGTGCTCTGGAGTCTCGGAGACCGTGGCAGGCGACGCCCGCCTTGCGTCCACCCGGCACATGCATATGCTTACGTCCGTCAGAGTGCTCATGACCGCAAGCCAACCGCCAGCTGCTATCATCGCGCCTTCGAAGATGTAACTTACAAATGTATAGAATCCGTGCCGAGTTGGCAATTGACTCGTGAACATGACGCTCACCGCAAGTGATCGTTTGTCTCCGTCGAACCCGAGGTCTCACTGACCCGTCAGTATATAACGGAGCTTGCCTAAGCCCGGTGAAGACGTGAGTCGCAGTACGCCGAACGCGCAGACTGAAGGTTTACTCACAGCCGCCATAGAGTCACTCACATTCACCGCTGTGTGCTCGCTGTCTGTGGAGTGCTTATTTCGCACAATCTCACTTCCCCCACAGACCGATGTCTAAACGGATGTCCGACGGTCACGAGAGACTCTCTGAGAGAGTGAGTAGAGCGCAGAGTTAGCTCATGGGAACATCGCGGACTGACACGTCTACCGGTCTCTCAGAGACTCCTCCGTGAGCACAGGGTCCCGCCTTCACCAGTCTGCAACCTACCCTGCGAACTACGAGACACGGTCATAGACCTACTGCATACAGACCATGGATCTTTGAAAGCCTGCAGCTTGACATGTCGGGCATGGCTCCCACGCGCACGCTACCACCTCTTCCGCACCATTTCCATAGATAGAGGCCGCACCGGGGACGCGTTTGCACACCTACTACGATCGTCGCCCACCATATCCACTCACATCCAGGACGTCGAGATCAATGGTAGTCAGAGTCAATCCAACTGGTGGACCACCGACCACCGCAAGGGCATGTTCCCCTGGCCCACTCTCGGTCCGCCTACCCGTGGACACACAGAGACCGATCTGACAGAGGCGGATACCTGGCTCCGACGTATTCTCCCCGAGGACACACATCTTCTGGCGAAAGTCAAATCGCTGCGAATTTCGGCTTTGCCCTTGGGCGGAACCCTTACCGTCGCTCTGCAACCTCATTTCGAGAACGTCAAGGTGCTGTCCGTCGACGGATGCAAGGCCCTTGCGTTCGGCGACTTTATTACGTTCCTTCGCGCGTTCCCTCATCTCGAGTCGCTTCATCTACTCGCTATACAGTGGCTGCCTGGAAGGAGCCATCAGAGTGAAGAGTGTGCCAAGTCCCTCCCTCGAATGCGCTCTCTAGAACTGTCTCACAAAGTGGATGCGGCACCATTTGTCTCGTGGTTGATCGACGAAGAGGCGCACAGCGAGGTCACGTCGCTCAATTGCTCCGTATCCGGGCAGAAATGCGCATCAGCCATCAGTCAGCTACTAAAGGCTTTGGGTCCTACGCTGCGACGCTTCGTGGTAGGATTCCGCGAGACGGGCGATGGTGCAGGTGGGTATACATTCGTCCGTCCAGATTCCCATTATTGACAAGGAACTCCCAGACGTCCTGCGAAAGAGCGCGCTGGAACTGACCCATTCGACCGGATTGCGTAGCCTCCGTATCCAATGCTCTACCGCCAGTTCCACACTACTACAGTCTTCATACCGACCCTCTCTGTCATGGATCGTAATCTTACTCGCCACCGCGAACTCGTCACTGCTCAAAGAGCTGACGATCTCTATCAGCGCATCTGATCTGTGCGCACTGAACATGGAAGGCCTTGACGTCGTACTCTCTCATGTACGCTATGGCGGCCTGGAGCGCGTCATATTCGAAATCGACTTCCAGAAACAACCTATGGACAGGTCTCAAATCTCGCGGGTTAGCACGCGGATGGTCGCCGTGTGGAGAAGAGGGCTTCTGCGTTTCGTGGTCGTTGGAACTGATGCCAATGGGTTCTGAGTAGGTCTCAGTGGTAACTTGTAGCCTCTTGTAGCCGACCGGATGGCGCTAACTTCGGCCACATAGGTACTCTAACCACCCGTTTTACTGCGCCAACTATCATTCTATACGCGTGCCATTACATTCACAAATACTAGCCCCATCGAATAGTCCCAAGTTCGTGACTTGCTATATGTGATCGGTCGCTACAAGGGTATTTATTAGAATAACTACCTCGACCGCGGCCTTTTCCGGGGCAATTCGTGATCTGCCGCGGTTCTGGTGTCGGATATGGCAGACGGGTCTACTTGAGTGGGTGCAAAGTAATGCCGCTCCTCGATCACGTCCATTTCCCGACTTGAACGGCTTGTACTCGCAGAACACGGCTCCTATTGGGGTCATAGGCAGACAACAAATTGTTCGTTACCATGACTGATCATCGACTGCGCTCGCGCAGACATCAGGCAGTCACTGCGATCGACACTCACCGTGGGGACCGGCTCGTCTGGATCTTGGTATGCCCAGGAGATATCCATAGCTTGGTCGGTTGCTACCCTGGAAGGATCGTTCTGCGGCTTCTCAGTCGAAGTGCCAGGATGTGTTTCCGATGGTGCCCCTAAGCGTTCAAAGTACAACATCCCGTTGCGTAATGCCTCGAGCACCGCCTTATTTTGTGCGACGGAGAGGGTCGAAGGGTTCTGAAGAGGTACGGAGGAAGGCCATCCTACGATTCGGATGCCGTACGTGTCAAGCTTGGAGTGGTCTGTCCACTTCATCTCGGCGTTGCGGATGCCAGACGCCGCCCTGGGTGGTGCACACATAAGATCAATGAACGCTAGCGGTCACCAAATTCAAACGAAAAGCGTACCTGACAGCATCCCGCACAGAGGAATAGACGTCCGACTTGAGAGAGCTTGCAGGGCCCTTCCGTCTCGGTGGCGCATTCACGAGCGGAGCATCCGAGAGAGCCGGCTCTCCGGACGTATTCGCTTGTTTGACTTTCGTGCATTGCTCTTGAGAGAGCCTTGCCCCAGCTGCGCCACAGCCTCTATGGCACCTCCAGAACTCGCGGCCCAAGACGGTGCCTCCGAGAAAGCCCTCGTCCGATGGGTCATTGGGATTGACCACAAGGAAGAAGGATTGTAGACCCGCGATCTCTTCAAGGGATTCAAGGGTCCGGGATGTCGTTCGTAAGATAGATGACACTGCCTGATATTAAGCCTCGTACAGTCAAGACGTGTAATCGGGCGACTCACCCTGTTCGGCCAGGCTACCTTGCGGTACTGTGCTTGGACTGAAGAGCTCCTTGCAGTGCCATTTCGCCACCTGGTCTCTGATCTGCTCACAAACAAGTATGCACCAACTAGAGCTACGGCAACGGTTGAAACCAACCTCTTCAAATGGACGTGACTCGCGTTCGGCAAAGGCGCGAAGGTCCGCTAAGCTCTTGTCGAACAATGTCTGTAGCCTCTCGAGGAAGAGCTGTGAGTCGTAATCGCCTTGCATGTCTATGCCTTTCCCCTTCGTATCAATGCTAGTCTCGGAGTGCATATCACAATAGCTGGAACACGACTGAGGATGTGTGCCGAATGAGCTACCACGGGGACGTCACCTAGCTCGTAGCCGCACCGACAATTAACAAAGCATTCATTGAGGTGGCCGAAAGGAGATCCAATCGGGCATCCCCGAGATCAAGATCTGTGTCAATTTCCCTCCGAGCCGCGCGGAAAGGCAAGTACTTCGTCTTCACGCGGCTTTCTGTTCTATCCTTCCGGCACCAATATCTCCAGGGACTTCTTTTCACCATGGGCCGTACGCGTACAAAATCTAAGAAGGCGATTGCCGTGTCTACGAAAGCCTCAACCGCTGAGGAAAGTACAAGTGAACCGTCTATTGCCTCTCTGCTCGAGAAGGCCCAGGCTCTAGTCGTCGAATGCGACTACGATCTTGCAGGTCGCTTCGCACGACGGATATTAGATCGAGAACCAAACAGCGTGCAGGGCAAGGAGCTGCTTGGTGTGGTTCAGCTCGAGACGGGAGACCTGGATGCCGCCAAAACGGTACATTTCTACTTCACTGTGGATCGAGCTGGGATCACGAACTCTATGACTGATCGCAGACTTTCGAATCATTACTGCCTCCGCGAGCAGGCGCGCCGTCAACACCACCGCCATCCGCGCATCTCTACTTGGCCCAATTGGGCGACGATCCACACGCAGCACTGGAACATTACCAGGCAGCAGTCGACATCCTGAATGGCCAACTAAAGGGGAAGGAACGTGCCACGGATCCCCTCGGAACGAATGACGACGAGAAGGAGCTCAAGCAGAATATCGTGCGAGCACTGATTGGCATGGTGGAGATATGGATGGATCCCTCATATGATCTCTGGTACGTCTTGAGTTTGGCAATTAGTCTCATCTTCTCATTTTTGGAGTAGCTTCGATCCTGCAGCCGAGAAGAACTGCGAAGACCTCCTTAACCTGGCGTTGCAAACTGATCCCGGCAACACAGAAGCGTTGCAGATGTTGGCATCTGTGCGACTGTCCCAGCAGAGACCAGACGATGCAAAAGCATGCCTGGAGGAAGCTTGGACACAGTGGAAGAACCTGGAGCCAGGTGCGTTTGCCAACCGTTGCGGATCAATGTGCACACACCTCAGACTTCTCATGCTGCCTAGATGACGTGCGCCTGCCGCCAGTCCCTTCGCGTCTCTCGCTCGTAAGACTATTCCTGGAACTATCGCTCTTTACTCCAGCCCTTCTCGTGTTGCAAGGCATCATGACCGTCGACGATCAGGAAGTAGAGGCATGGTACCTCGAAGGCTGGTGCTTCTTCCTCATGGCTGAGCAAGCACAAGAGAGCGGAGGGAAGCTCGATGAACTCACCTGGGAAGAACTGGCAAGGGATTCGCGTGACTGCCTGGAGACTTGCCAGATGGTACGTGCACGATGTCCCAGTCTGTTGTTGTCGTACTCACGATCCATGTCTATGATGCAGTGGCATGTAAACCAAGAACACCCAGACAAACCACTCTTGCAGCATGTACGCGAGCTGATTGGCAAATTGGAGGCGTTGGGCGTACAACCGTTGTCAGATGATGATGGAGACGATGGCGATGCGGATGGCTGGCAGGATGTAGAGGGGGCTGAAGACAGCGACGAAGACGTGGAGATGTCATAACAGTCATGACGGATTATTGTGTTTGTCACTCGGATCTCTAACTCATCGTCCCTACGTGCTACTAGCTCGCTCTCGTACAGTGGACAAAAGTAACTTACAAACACTGCAAGGATATCTATCTGCTTGATTACGCTGCTGCAAACGTGTCACAGTCCTAAGTTAAGTACGATGCGGCCTTCAGGCCAGGAGGAGGAGGGGATGACATTTAGTAGTCTCGAGCAAGTCGAGAGCGCCGTCACGGTAGGGCTTCGGGGAACGGCACTGCCCGGTTCACTCGGCCGAGTGAACGCGCGTTACGCGGGTGTGGCTTGGGTGTGGCTGAGAATTATCCTGGGCGCTTCTGTACCCAGGTCCGTAACTGCCCTCACTTGCTCTGACGGTCTCCCCAGGTCTTTGCAGACGATTTTCGATGGTGAGTGTTCACATATCAAATGCGTCTTCAAGCTAAAGCTGGTCAGATGAGTAGCCTAGGTATTGCTCGCGCTCAATTGCGGCGTAGCCCGTTGGGTCGGTCACAGTGCTGGCGAACCCCGCCTCCGTCCGTCCTATTTTTCCAATGTAGAGGCGTTGCTCAAGCAGCGAAACAAGACGCAGCTCAAGATTCACCGAAACCTAAACCAAAAGCTTCAACATCCCTGCGTAGAACCGCTGCTGCCTCCTTGCCCATTCGTTCGAATCGGACACCAACCCGTAGTGACATTCAACCCATCATTACTCTCGCAACTGCCGAGCGCTACAACCTTCATGGCATCGCTGGACGCCTTCCACCTTCAGCCAAGCTCCTACACGAGTCATGGTGGATCCCGAAATGGGGAGAGGATGGGAAGCAGGGCGAGGTATTCATTTTCGGTAACGGGAGCTTTGTTTGCTGGGGGCTCGAAGAAGCGCAGGCAAGAAAATTTGCTTCGGAGTTCTTGCGCAAGCCCGTCGTAGAGGTTGCACCACTGCGTGAACCGGAGACGGAGGATCTCGAGTTCGTGACTGATCCCGAAGAGTGAGTACGCGCATTATACTGGGTTCAAGTCCCTCACAAGCAGCTTGTAGAGACACACGACTACAAGGCGATCTCATCATTCTTGGCCGCACACCTAAATTAGACACGGACGATGCAGTACCGAAGGATTTGCCCGAGTCATGTCTTCCTCAAGAGACCGTCCTTGCTCGTTATGCATACTCCCAGGCTCTGTCCCGCTCCACGGCGCTCTCTGCGCTCGAAGTATCGCTGGAAAGATACCTATCCTCGATGGCTTTACTTCCGGACACGTTGCAGCGCACGGGCAAACCGGGATTGACCCGGCAGCAACTGGTCATGAAGCTAGGGGAGTTGCTGAAGTTCAGGCAAGGACTCAACTTGAACAGGGAAAACTTCTCCGATACTCCGGACTTCTATTGGGCTGAACCAGTCCTAGAGAGTGAGCACATCAATCATCTCGCTCAACGCGTACAGTCTGACGGGCGCGGTTAGACTACTTCCATTCTCTCAGTGCAGCACTGGAGATGAAGTTGCGTACGCAATCGGTTAACGAAAAGATCACATACGCCGCTGAGGTGAGTGGCTGCCAATACCCCGTTGTACCCCGCAACCGCGCTCACCGCAAGTAAAGATGCAATCCGTACTTCGGGAACTCCTCACAGAGGTGAGTAATTTTGAATGAACCTATCGCTGCGAGATGAGCGGCAGCTCACCCACCCTACAGACTTCGGCGCACAGGATGGAGCTCATCATCATTGCGCTCATCGCAGTCGAGGTGGTCATTGTAAGTGCAGTGTTACTTATTCAGGAAAAGTGGCTGATCTGTCTCGTTAGTGCCTCGTCCGCGACGGGCCCGAGCTATGGCAAATGATCAGCAACGATGGCGAACCCGCGGAACACAGGCCTTAGACGGAACCCGCCTCGTATATTGTGCACAACTATGACATGGACATGCAGGATCCGCTCCTAATATCTAATGACTCTACGCATTCTCCCTTCAAGCGCTCCGACTCGCGCGACTCTCGACGAACTCGGCCACAGCTTAACGTGTTAGGCACCTTGTATGGGCTTAAGGTGATTTAAGCCGCCAAACGATAGCATTTAAGACAGCCTTAACATAGATTCAAGTAAGTAACTGACACAGATCGTTCTGAACGGATTCTCTGACAGGTCGCTGACAGGAGTCAGACGCAAACGGCTCCAAATCGCTGGAGAAATTGCAGGTTCTCACTGGGCTTCAACAGCGACTCACTTGTTGGGAGTTCAACCCCGCTCAACCTGTTCTCATGACTACGCCGTGTACTCAAACTGTTATGTTACACACTGCTACCATCGGGCAACTCACCACCACTTCGCGTATACACATTTATCACCGACGTCCAAATCATGTTTGCCAGATTGCATGGCTTCACACTTCGGTATGCACGGTTGTTATTGGGCAGTAACTTGTCGCACGTGTTAATCTAGGACCGAGTAACTGCTGTCACAGACGCGTCACTGTAACACTCATTTCGAGTTTAAGCTGTTTCTCGAGTTTGTGTACTCAAACCATTGGTGCCAACTGGCTCCGTATTTAAAATTGACAGTAACATAGAAACTCAAGTGAGGAGCTCGATACACCCGAAAAATGAGTATTGCAGTGGGTGTCACTCCCCTAGACGCCTAAAGCATATTTGCACCTCCCTCGCTCATAATCTGTGACTCTCCTTAAAATAGGGCACAATCAGTAGTTGGAGAGGTCTTGTGCTGCATCAGAATCCATGCAAAAAAAGCGGTCCCTACCCGCCCCTCCCGCACGCGAGGGACGTCCGATTGGTTATCGCGTCCTCAAGGTCATCCGTTTGAGGAAGTGGTACACTGACTGATCATGTTACACTGAGTCTCCATGACTCTACTCTATGCACAAAGAAATTACGTACTCATGGACCTGTGGCGCAGTGGCTAGCGCGTGAGATTCCAGCGCTCTGATAGGTTATTGCGTCCTCAAGGTCATCCGTTCAAATCGGGTCAGGTTCATTTTTAGACACATTTACGCATTTCATTGTCCGTAGAGGGGTCCAGAGGTGCGGGGGATGAAGGTGGTAGAAGGTCACAATATCACAGCTGCTATCACATACAGTCGAATCCATCCGGGGAGGACTGATTTCCCCCATTGTATCGGAGCATCTGCGGATACTGCCAATGTACATGAACGTGAACAATCATGGGTCACTAAGTACAGAAGATGCGCAGACACACACCTGACATATCGGCCTCACAAAACCAATGCCGTTGCTGGCTTGGTTATCGTTGTAGTAGACGGCGTTCAGGGTCGTCGGTGCGATGTCGTCCTCGACCCACCTAACCATCGCGGCAAGGATGTTGTGTTCTGGGTCGTAGGACAGAGGTGGGAGGCCGGTCGATGCTTGCTCAACGCTTCCGAACGCATTAGCGCCATACCCGTTCTGCGCCCGGTAAGCCAACCTGCTGACTGCTCGGTTGTTATTCAGTACTCACTTTGCTACCAAGCATGCTCAGCAAGTGATCCGGACACAAATGCATAACACTCACCAATGATTCATGCCCGGAACGGTGTACAATCGGTAGAAATCGGCAGTCTCCATGTCCGTTTCGGATATCATGAACGCGTGGACACTTTCGTAGTAGTGAATAGAGTTGCTGGGACTGATTAACTGATCAGCCCAGCCGACATATTGCAACAGCTTGCCATTCCTGCCCGACCCAGCAAATGCAGTGAGGTTGGGGCTGACAGCCTGGATCCTTGCTCAACACGGGGACGACGTGGTCTAATGAGTGTCACATACATTTGCTTGCCCGGGATTGATCTCCTCGGCAAGAGCAATGAGCGATGGATTGTACTGATCGATCGTCCACTGTGAATCACTGCAAATGCATCAGTTGTATGTCTTGAAAGGGCGGTGCATACATACTTGGTCACGAAATTGCGGAACCAGTCTAGTGCGATCGACAGAGTCTCATTGCCCACAAGCCCATCCGGGAACGCCGCCTCTCCGCCTGGATAGTATGGTCCAAATATATACGTCTGGTTGGCCTCGTAGTAATCCGAGTAAATCTTATGGAGTGCGTCTATCTGCGGCAGCGTGAGGCATGTGGCAGTGTCCTGGCCTGGCCGACAGGTCAGAGTTTCCGGCCGGAAGCTGCGGACATCAGTTATTTAGCATCCATGCATACTGCAGCACTTCGGAGACTCACTTGCAAATTCTCGGGTCGTTGATAATGCCGTCGGCCAGCTATCAGTTGGAAACACATCTTTAACAAGAGCATCCCGTAGATAATAATACCCCACTTACACCATCGAGTGCATCACACTGTTTGAGAACCTCCGGGTGAATGACGTCCTCCCAAGTAGAAGCATTGATGAACTGAGGTGAGCCAACGGGGAGGACATTCAGACTCATACGAACACCCCAGTCCTGAAGGTATGTCTGCCGGTTTGCCGGTGATCCAACAATCTGTGCATGACGGTCGACGTGAGTAGATCATACATGGGATTTCTAATGTTGCAAGAACATACGACGCCGTCAAAATCGTCGGGAAATGATTGCACTTCCTTGAGGCTATGAAGAGTCAGGCATATGGATACTGTTCACGTCGCAATACATACCCTTGCCGGCCTCCTACAGTGACAGTGTGAGGACATATGCTACGTCACCATGACTCAAGCGTACCTGTTGAACATCCGATATAGTAGGACTTGTTGAGATCTTGCCCATAGTATTGCTTCACGATTTCCTTGCCGGCGACGATGCTGAGATGCAAAGCACGCCACCCCCAGTCAATGATAGCGTTCTGCGAGCGAATGATGAGCCAGTCAACGCGTCGCAAGGCAGACGAAGACCCACATCGTCGTTGAGGGCCCAAGAACCGCTGCCTTCGGTGGAGACGTGACCGGTATCGGTAGATACTCCGGCAACTACACCCCGCAGTTAAGCCGTATTCATGCAAGCACGCACGAAGCATGGGGACGTACAGCCTTGTGCGACGGCGAGAAGCGCCAACTCCCCAACGTTCACTGCAACAACCTAAGCATGGAAAGTCGCCATAACAGCGTAGGCGCACCTCCGCCAGCAAAACCTCCGTCGCCCACCGTCAGGTAGCGTCCAGTCCATTCGTCAGGCAGCCATACTTCTGTGTAACACGTAGAATTTGCGGTCGCGTTTGTAGTGACGAGCAATTGAACCCGGCAAAATGCGGGCAGGTTGGCTGCGTCAATACTCGACATATTCGTCGTGATATTGACAGTAGAGTTGGCCTCGTAGTACCTGGCGTTGATGAGATTGACTCCGAGAATGTCTTGAAGGGCAAATGACTCGCATGATGTCTCCCAGGCGAAGGCTACGGGAAAGCGAGTCAATGAGAGAAGGAAGGATCCGTACGCGGCAATGAGTGAACCGCGCATGTCGTAACGTGAGTGAGAGATTGCAGGCACGGTGGACAGAAAGAGCGACACACCCTGCTCATATACGCGAACCTCTCGGAGTCGTCGCTGACCCGCGATCGTGTTCGATCGTGTTTTGCATGGTCGACGAGACAAGCACTTTACACAGGAACATGTATCACCTGTCCATCACCTGATGCTACTATACTGTACTACGGGCCAACTACGGGCTAATGAGTCTGACCGTCAGTACCGACGGCCTGCGGGATGGCCCATTCGGCGTAGAATGTTCACCGACAATCATTCTTTCGGCTGGCCAGATCTGTCAACTGACAGGATGATCTCCACGCTTACTGCTACCTCCTATCTTCGGCCAGTCTCAGACGGTTGTAGATAGCCTGCAGGCCACCGACGCCACCATAGTCTGCATCCGAGTCAAGACTGAGCGAGATGCTAAGACAAGCGATCCATAGGCTCAATGAGACACATCCCGTTGGGCCCATCAGGCACGATGAAGCCACACTCACTCATGGGGAACGCTCCTCGCCGTCACGTCACCGATTTGAAGCTTGATGCATTCGGTAACCGCACCATCATCGCCTTTCGGAGTTGCTGTTGTGAGGCAGACCTGCGGCAACACTCTTATCCCAAGGATGGCAGGTACAACCTCCGAGCCAGGACAGCATCAGCATATGCAGGAAGTCACGTCAACATAAGTTAGTCACATTACATTATTTAGAGCCAATCTGGACGATACCAATTATCAATGCGTACAATAGTCTGTGTATCAACGACCGGATAGAAGTCCGTGCAGGCGAGCGCATGTCAGTTCGCCACCTTGCAAGTATACGATCCAGGATCCATCTGATCACTGCCAGTATAGTAGAGGGATTCGGGGTACTGGAAAAGTCATGAGTGGCAAGTGCTGGGATCGGAGGCAAGCACGTACTTGACATAGAGGACGGATGGCGTCGATACCATTCTTTACGTCGTTGTCCTTATAGTGCACGGCATTCAGGGACGAAGGCGCTATACCCTCCTCGACCCATTGGACCATAGCAGCCAGCACGTCGTACTCGGGCTCGTGATTCAGCGGTGGCATGTTACTGTCGGCTTGTTGCACAGAACCGAACGCGTTTGCACCGTCGCCTCCCTATCCATGCAGTCAGCCATATGAACACATCACCACGTCGACCAAGATATTCTTACATAGCTGAAGAGAGGGAAAACATGAGATGAGGCCACACACGCACCCACAAACGTATGTACTCACCAGTGCTCCATCCCAGGGACCATGAACAGCCGATAGAAGTCGTCGATGTTTACTTGCATATTGTCCTGCGTGTAGTTCTTGACGCTGTCGTAGTAGTGAATGCTTGCACCAGGGCTGATGATCTGGTCTGCCCATCCGACGTAGTGGAGCAGCTTTCCATTATGCGCGGATCCAGCGAATGTAGTGAGGTTAGCATCGATGGCCTAATTACCAGGTCACTTTCAGACACACAGAACGGGCGTTCGAATACGCACGTCCGACTGTCCAGGATCGATGGCGTCACCGACAGCAATCAGAGACGAGTTATAATCGCCGAGTGGCCATGTGGTGTCGCTGCGGTGGGTGCCAGTGTTAGTGATGAACAAGGATCGACGCCCGCGTGGACCACCTACTTCAAAAGCATGTAGCGGAACCAACTCTGAGACACCACAGACGGTTTCTCCACGTAGCTTGTTGAGTATCCGAGCTCCCCGCCCGGGTACCACGAACCGAAAACCCAATCTCCATTCACGATGTAGTCAGAGTAGATTTTCTCGAAAGTCTCAACCTGAGTGCTGCTGAGACAGGTTGACGCGTTCTGGCCGGATTGGCAAAGGAGCGCAGATGTGTTGAGGCTGACCACGCATCAGCCAGGTAGCGTGGCGAAATGGCAATGTCACACTCACTTGCAAAGCCTAGGATCGTTGATAATGCCATCCGACAGCTGCAAGGCTAATCAGGACTATGTCAGGCCGTACGCGTGCTTGACTCACCCCGTCAATAGCGTCACACTGTTTCAGAACCTCCTTGTGAATAACGTCATCCCACACGGCTGGCTCGATGTAACGATCGGACGTGTTTGGCTGTACGAGATTATTGAGGTGTCCGGCCCACATCCTCAGATGAGAATGCCAAGCCGCTGGAGACCCAATGACCTGTTGGGCGTAGTAGACTCAGGCTTTTCGGTCTTTCACAATAGTCACGATTCACTTACCAGGCCGTCAAAGTCGTCGGGGAATGATTGCATTTCCTTGAACCTGCGGAGCATCGGTATGGTATTGATTTAAACGGAGTTAGTGGACGCACCCGGAACGTCCGCCTACAAAGGTCCGTGAGATAAGTTGCACAGTGGGCTGGAGCGGGCGCACATACCTTGAGAGCAACCAATGTAGTACGCCTTCTTGTGTGCGGACCCATAATACTGCTTCACGACTTCCTTACCGACGACAACACTGAAGTGCATAGCTCGCCAGCCCCAATCAACGATAGCATTCTACACAAATTTTAGCCACTGTGTAGACTCCCCAGGAACGATGAGCTCACATCATCATGCGGTCCAGCCCACGCAGCACTGGTGATTGACGATGTATGGCCTTGATCTGTGGAAACCCCAGCATCTGTAACATCCCCAGTCTGTCAATGGAGGCGCCGTGCAAGCGCATATGAATCAGCTTACAACTTTGGTTGACAGCGACATAACCCAAGTCCCCCACGTTGACTGTCAATGACGTCAATTTATTATCCTGGTAGTGGGCGCAGCCATAGACGCGGACTCACCGCCCCCAGCAAACCCGCCATTGCCTACAGTCAGGAACCTCCCGTTCCATGTACTGGGTAACCAAACCTCTGTATTACATGAGGAGTTTGCCGTCGAATTGGTCGTGATGGTGAGTTCAATGCGACAAAAGTCCGGGAGATCGTCCGTATCGATACTCGACATGCTGCTCGACAGCTTCACCGTCGTGCCGTTAGCGTAGTACTTGGTCTTTGTTACGCTTGCACCGGAGACGCCTTGCAGGCTGAAGGAAGAACATTTGGACTCGAAGGAGGAAAGTGAATTAACGTCCTGATCATCCGCCAGGACAGTTCTGGAGTACAGAGTAGAATGGAAAAGAGCCAAAAGGCCGGAAAGAGCAACAGGGAACTTAACCATGAAGGAAACGAGTGAGCGGCTCGGGGAAGTGTTGTGCATGTTAGCCGCTTTTATATGGATCTACTTGAAAGCAGCCGCTCGAGTAGTCCGTGAGCTTCCGGCATAGCCTGTCAGTGACATCAGCTCTGAAACGCAGAATCGAGTTCTGACGCCGTCACGACCCCGGCGAAGGGATGGTCCCGCGGTCTTGGACTCTCTCTGGTCCACCGACAGTGACAGTACCGACAGCAGCCTCAGTCAGTCCGTTCTTTTACCTAGCGATCACCGCACCTGATGCTCTCGAAGTAGCTCTTGCCGCTGGACGTTGACTGAGTGCTTCGACGACGAATCGCCATTGGTTGCCACAGCGTTTAGCGTCGGCGCAGTGTCTCTGTACAGCAATGGGCCATCGCGCTGTAGTAAGCCCTGTGGCGGTGATCACTGATCAGGAATGCTCATGCAGGCGCCCACGACGGCGGCAGATCACTCTTCCTAATTTAGTAATGACCGACAGTGGCCCCAGCCGATGGGAGGAGTTATCCGGGCCTATCCGCCGCCGGTAAGCATGCGACTGTAGCCTATCTGTTGATAAATGATTGATAAATGACAGGAAATGACAGTCGCGAGATCAAACATATGTAGCTTAGTACGATGGGTACGGCGTATGTCCCGGAATCACTCACTGTCAGGCCAGCGAGTCCGGGTCAACGTTCAGAACGGTCGCACCTAAGTGACCAGGTTAGCCTTGTCATCGGTATGGTGTTTAGGTGACCTTTTTTTTCTGACACGGATGGGTACGAGACAAGGCAGCTCAGAACAAGCTCAAAACCCGAACTTCGCACCCAAGACACGCAATCTTCGACGATGCTTCGAGATGTCAGCGGAAAGATACGGCTACCGAATGATGTGCAGTATAGCAACGATTGTGTCAATGAGAGCGTGCACTGGCATTTGAAGAGTCTGCCCGACAAATAATTTATTGCACTGTCAATACGATAGTCCATGGACTAGAGTAGTAGTGGGGGAGCAAAGAGCGGCTAGGGCATGTCGAGCAAAGCAGTCGATAACGATGCAAAAAGATACAGCACGAGAACAAAGATACACTCCGCGCCAGCCCGCGACCAGTAAACCCATATACACAACAGATGAGGCAGCGCGATGCGCCGACCGACGATAGCGTTTCACGCCATTCAATGCGAGCCCGCAGGACGCGAGAGATCGTCATACGGCGTCGTGAACGCCTCCTCCTTTTCTGGCTCATACAGCCGCTGGAACGCCGCTGGCGGGACCGAGGTGCCCACACGACCATACTTGTTGTTCCGGCTGCTGACGAGGAGCCTGATGAGCACGCCGAGGAGCAGGAGGATGGCGCCGCCCAGAAGGCCGATGACAATGTACGAGTTGCGCAGCAGCTGGCTCCAGTCGTCTGAGCTAGACACGGAGCCGGGTGACGAAGTATCAAGGTTGGCGGCGAGGTCACTGCCGAGCTTGTCGTCGCTGGAGTCCGAGGAGCTCGAGGACGCAGTGGACGTAGCAGTGGCGGCAGAGCTGCTGGAACTGTGGACGTACGTCTTCACGGAGGCGGAAGCGGTTTTCCAACCTGAGGTGGGTGCGACGAGCGAGAACGTGGTCGTCTGCGGCGCGGCTTCCGAGGATGCAGTGATGTTATAGATCTCTGCGAACTCTTCGTACTCGGACTGAATGAGGCGCTGCGCATTGGCGTAGTCAAAGTTGGCCCACGCCTCGTCGGGATCCGTGATCTGCAAATCTTAGCATTGAGATTCGGTATCGTCAGCGGGAGGCATTAATGACACTCACGCTAAGGATCTGCATGTACGGAGCTTCGTCCCCATTGCCGGTGAAGTTGCTGCCGTAGCTGAAAAGCGAGTAGACGTTGCGCATGAATGAATCACCGAGGATGAAGTCTGTGATTGGCGTCAATGCGACGTTCTTTGAAGAAAGATCCAATTACGCACCAACTCCAGCGTTATCAGGAGTAGGGGAGTACGTGCCGGTGCAGAAGAAGCTGCCATCGGGATTGACCTGGATGTTCGTGACATCGATAGGGTCCAAAGGGAATTCGCTCGAACTGTCAGACAAGAGTGGCCCGTCAGGACCGCGGATTGACACCGAACAAGCTATCCCCAAACACGTACCCAAAGACCATGCTGACATTGAGCTTCGTATCACAAGGGAGGGTGTAGGACCCGATCGACTCGTTGAACTCCGCGCCAGGGACATCCTTGTACATAGCGTCGACATAGTACCGAGGCGCAGTCGCTGCGGCAGAAGGACGTGAATATCTATCACCCACTATGGGACTGGCAACCAACAACTACGCACCGAAAGAAGTACCGGTGTCAAGGATAATCGTAGTCTGATCCTTGCCGGGCTCTGCAGTGACACCGATGGCGCTGTACATACTAAATTAGCTAAGTACATCGCACCCCGTCGGACTAACTGAAACAACGATGATGCGCACCCTTCGGAGTGACCCGTGAAGAATTGACCGTTGACGTTGATACCGTCCATGAAGGCCTCCCAGGATTGTGCGGATACCACAGGAAGTTTTGGCTGGTCGAGGACAGCCACGTAGTCCGAAATCAATTCACCTGCCCGGCGGCATCAGCGCCCAACTCATTGGCACGTAGGACACGCAACCAACCAATCGACATCACACCGCCCTGGGTGATCCCAGCGTCTGAGCGAGAGAGGTAGAAGGTCATGAAGTTCGGCTCGTCCGGTTCTTGGGCGAACACCTACGAGAGAGCGATGAATGCCGGACGCTATGCTTCGTATATCATACAGCTTACATTGACCAGGAAAGGCAATCCATCATATGTCGTGTTGATCAGCTCATTGAAGACAGAGGATGCGAATGGACTGCAATTTGGATGATCGTAAGTGAGTACTGAGCAGCACAATGCAATGCAACACTCACGGGCCAACACCCAGCAAGCCGCGGTCAAAGCCAGCAGAGGTTGCATTGCTGCCGGGAGCGTTGACTGCAAGGTAGACACATGAGTACGGTCTGATCGCTGCGAGAATTACATGCACCTACTGAAAGCCTGGCCACTAACGGTGAACTCGCCGAAACTGACGTTGCCTAGGACAATCGGACCAGTTGCAGACGAGCCATCTCTGTTCAGCGCAACATGAGCGGCGCGGTTTATTGAAAATGATCAGTGGCATACACGTAGCCAATGGAACCAGTTACTCCTGTATCCTGAAGGTCGTCGAGGGTGACATTGGATGTGTCCAACCAAAGATCTGAACTGCCAGAATCGATTTGGACCTGCAGATGTGTTCACGTTGAATCCAGAAGAGTCAAGTGAATTGCATACCTGGAAGGGCTGTCCTTGCACATAGATGGTGGCAGTGTAAACGAATCCTGCACCGTTAGAGAATCCTATATTTCCGTTAGAGTTCTGATTCACAGACACAGTAGTCGAGCGGGCGCCGACGGAGCGACGCTCAAATGGAATAGAGAGGCCATAAGTGCTCCCAATGAGGGCGAGAATAGAAAGGGGCAAAACAGTCATTGGGAGAAGGAGAGAAAGGGATAACGATGGTGATTTCCTCGAAGGTCGTCCCGGGTATATGTATGACAGGTGCCATCAGTCAAGCGTCGAGACAGGGCACACGGCTAGATTGCGGTGTAATAGGGCGCTGGCAGGCAGTGGTTGTCATCCCGAGGGTCGCCGTCGCGGGTAGCAGGAACTACTAGCGATTGTGTGAGACAGACCGTCACAGAAGCCACTTGCGCTGAGATGTATAGTGGTGCCTCCAGATGCTGGACCGGAAACAAAGAGCCTCTTAGCGCAAGGCAGGCTTGAGAGTTGTGCTCAACAGATTAAGCATGCTGGGCTGGCGTACGCCAGTACATCGACCCGCGCGGCCGAGGAAGCTCAATCATAGCGGGTCGGCCAAGAGTCGGCAGGTCTTGATTCTGAATGGGCGCTCCTTGGCACCTAAGACTGACTCGATGAGCGCAATGCGCATCTCCGGATACGTACAACATTTTGACCGCATTTCGTTGAGCAATTCGCTCCGAGACTTGACTGGACTGACAGAAGAACGGATCCGGATGGGCCCATGCCTCACGACGATTCTGCCACGTCCTCGATAGCATCTAAAGACTGAGACCGGAGGACGTGGTGCAGTGGGAACACCGCGAAAGCTGTGTGTTTGAGCGGATCACAGCACACACGGTGGCGAGTCGAAGAGCGATTAGTCCCCGGGAGGGACTCGTCGTTCAGACGAGCCCTGTGCAGACCTTTTCGTGGTCCGGGGGATAAGTAACCTCTCTGAGGCGAAACCAACATGCACTATAAGGCCTTAAAGTGAAACAAGCTCATGGCCCGGCGTTGCTGCAAGCGACCACATCTGAAGTCACCCTTGACAATCCACCCTTACACGGGCGGACAGAAACGGGAGCACACCCACAAGTAAGGCCTACAAGCCTGACAACCGAAAGAGTAGCTAATACGAAAGCAATCTCCACGCAACTCATGCGGAAATCGCAATATTCTCGGTACACTACCCAGCGAGGGACAATGCCGGAAGCGCTCGTTAGACGCCCATAAAAGCGCCTGGCAACAGCCACCGAATTTAAGTTTACACGAGCCACCCACAAACACAGGAAAACACGCAAGCCACCTACCAAATGGGGCACGAAAGACAGACAGAAACAGCAGTGGCCTCTGGAACTACAGAGACGAACGCATACGTTACACCGACATAGTCCACTTCGCCTGCAGCAATACTCTCCTTGATTCCCCTGACCGCTACCTGTCAGAATGCGAACAACTCCGTGCAGATAGGCATATCCTAAGCGACTTACGTATCTCATCACGTCCAAACGTCAATGAAAGACGCGCAACCCATACATAAAAACCTGCAAAAATGACACGGTGAGACAAAGCCAGTTGTCCCACAATGTTCCTGACCTTCACGTCCCAAAAGAACGACAACGAACACACAACATCGGACAACAGCCGACGACGACCACGGAACGCACACACGCATACTCCCAAACACTCCCCCATCCGACCGATTTCACATTCACGACCCTCCGCGATAACCAACAACACGTTCGAGGTATGGGTGGAAGACGAACCGGAATGGGCAGAGGCGAAAGACGGAGACACTGACGATGAAGAACGAATCTGTGTTTGGATTATGGCGAAGCCGCCTCAGACCCCCCTCGCGAGAGGCCACGTGATAACGATGCGAACCACGACGAAAATCATAGGGTCGGGCAGAATTACGGTTACCCGGAACATCACAAAACATTGGGTAACAGTACAACTAACAGGCGGCATCTTGCGGACCCGCGTACGCATACCGGTCTCGTGGATACGCCTGAGCCGGATGGACGAGCACGCCCACACAACTCTGTACGCGACACTGCAGAGTCTCCCTCATCCCCACCCATCCATCCCAAGCCACTCCGACGACTCAGACGCAATCGAAACCAGCCCATACAAACGCGATCACGGCACACGTGACAGGGATCACATGCAACGGCGTCTGAAAACGAGCACGAGATGGAAGACCCTCGCGCCCCGGATCTCGCCGGGCACCCCCGCGGAGGAGAGGCTGGATGCAGAAGCGGACACGATTACAGAGGAGATAGGATCACAACAGCGCGCTCAATGAGGGACAATCAATACGGCAGTACCCACGACCCTAATGCCTAGCTAGAATAGAATGCACTACCACAATCAGACGAACACATGTCTAGATGTAACGAAGGCAACAAGAAATTCAGCTTTCTAAGGCACAAAGAAACACATTATTACATACCAGGCCTGAGCCGGACGGCAAAGTGAAAACGTGCACGACAAGCCAACACACCGCGCACTGCACTAAACGAATACGACCACCCCAGAGGTGGCTGGGCAGGGACAGACTGCCGAGCGCGGACAAATAAGAGCCTAACTGCGGCCCAGGGACACGACCCGTACGGAAAACGGAAGCCGACGTCTTCGGCAAAAACAACCAATCCCGAAGCAATGGGCCCGGACAACAATCTGGAGCGGAGGAGAGAATCAAACAGCCCGTTATGGAAGGCGAATGAGGAACACAGCCTGTTATGGCAAGTCCAAACAATAACACAGCCTGTTATGGCAAGTCCAAACAATAACCCATCCTAATTTAGCATGGCCCACAACGGCCACGGCTCTTTCCAGCGCACCCAAACACGAGCGCAGCTGATGGAGAACGCCACCAACAAATGCAAGCAAACATCTACCGTTAACTCCCCACCCCTGATGGCGACGCCAACGACATCTCCCCGTCCCTCTCGCACCGCAGCAGCAGAGACCCTACCGAGAAGCGAGGCACAACCACAAAAAGAGGAGAGTACGTCCACCCCAACCAATACGAGTCGAGGAAACGAGTCGATAAAGCTGCCCCATTTTGATGAAGTGCAAATGGAAGTGACAGGGAACGTAGGATCGCATGGTAGGCAAATCCAATGACTATACACGGCGGCCAGAAGGGCAAAAACAGCTCAACGCGAGAGGCACCAAGCGAACAGCGCGGGAGAGGAACGCGTAAAGACCGACGCCGTCGCGATTTACTGCCTATCGCGCACGAACCAACGGACGCCCATACAACTGAAAAGACGAGACGAGACGTGGCGAATGGACAGTCTCCAGCGCCCTCCTCCTGAAGTTGCGCCCCTCTGCCTCTAAACTGCCCAAAACCTCAGCTTCACTAGCCCCAGCCTCCGACGACGATGCCTAAACGCGCCGGAAAGAACGAACGAAGCCATCAGAAGCAGCGTGATGCACCGAGCCGCCCCGGAAGGCGAGCCGCTGCGAGCCTCGCAGACGGAAACAGCGATGCTGGGCTGCCCTTTCCCCCCAACCCGTGGCAGCCAACCCCAGGCTTGCCGACGATAGAGGGTGAGCACGCACAACTGAACTTAACCGCAACTAACGCGAAAGAATACCACCGATAGACACTCCGGAAGTGACGCAACAACCGTCGGCACAGGACCAGGTAGAGGGCCCAGGGCAGGGGCCCGTCGCAGATGGACCAGCACAGACCGACGAGCAAGACGACACGCGAACGGGGGCTAACACCGCGGAGAACGCCGTCGCGGTGGAAAGCGCGGTACAGAACGCGGACGCTCCCGAAACAAACGGAGAGGTGAACCTACACTTACCTATACCGCGCTACAACCCTCTAACCACAACGAGCTTGCTCGGAACTAGACCACCTCGACGCCAGCACCGGGACGTCACCAGAAAAACGGCCAGCTGGCGTCACTCGGGGTCGAAGCCATAACGACGCAGGAGCCCATGCCCGCCTCGCCGGCCGTAAGCTCGCAGCGTTTGGTGAGCGAAACGAGGAAGCGCAGGCGTGTGTCGGAGGACGTCGGGAACGACGGCGAACCACTAGTCACCAACGTTCGCCAGGATCCCGGAAGACAACTTACTGCAGCGCGTCCACCGGCGATGGGTGCCTTCGTTGTTGGACCGCTGGCCGATTACGGCCTTGGAGCCTGGGGCCACCTCCCCGATCAGGCTATGGCACCGGTTGCAACATCGAAGACAGTGGCGTCAGCTACGCCGACGATGAGGAACTGCGTGACGAGATGGCCGTCGACCACGAACCCGCCAACGACGACGGCATCGTCATCGGTCACTTCGACGAAGATGTCCAGGCGATGGCCCGGAGCGCAGCGCGTCCCGGCCCCAGCTCGGATGTAAGACTACCTGTCCAATGAGGAGTAACACAGCTAATCTATCTAACAGTTGGGGCCAGCCCGTACTGGGCAAAGGGTCTGAACGTGAACGTGGCGTCGTCAACGTCCGCGCATACACATCAGGAAACCTACCCCACACGAATTTGTGGAAATCTGCACAAATTCGCACAAATTTCCTGGAGACCCCATTTACTTGACCCCCCGGATTCCCTCGCTCAAATTTGCGTGAATTCACATCCAATGGCTGTGAATTGCAAGGAAATACTAGCTCGGCCATACAGTTTGGGTACTTCAATTCACATTGTTTTGCACGTATTTACACACATAACCACTACATCCACCCTACTCAACTCATACCTACAGCTGGGCATTCACCCAGAGCACTCGCTGTTGCTGTGCCCACCCCCTCATCCGCTCGTCTGGTTGCTTGCTTGCCCATCTGTCCGCTCGTCTGCCCGTCCGCCCGCCTGTCCATCTGTCTGCATGCCCGCTCAGCTCCTGCTTCGCATCCTCCCGAGCCGTCCCACTACATCATCCGGTTCACTCAACGGCAGAACATCAGCGCCAGAAACAGCACGACAGCACTCACCTCGCTCGTCGCCGTGGCGCAGGTGATGGTCTTGTGGACAGGTTGGCCGTCCGACGGAAGCACAGGGAGAGGCCGGGCGGCGAGACGTACCGCCAGTGCTCACTTGCATGAATGCCTCGGAGGCAAAGACCTGCTTCGCAGGCTGGACGCGACGAGCAGGTGTTGTGCCGCATGAAAGAAGAGTGCCTGCGCATCTCGTACGATGCTGCGGCCCGTCTCGTGCGCACTGTGCCCCAGAGCGGCATGGGTCGCGGCACGCTGTGCATGTCGTCCACCTGAGACGCAGGCCGGGCAGGCACGGGCTCGCGCCATCGTCTTGTGGGCTGCACGGCGGGCGAATCCGAGTCACCTCACCACGACACATGCACGTCTCGCCCAGCACTCTCCCGGATCCGCGTGTCGACATCGTAGGGACATCCACGGACCCTGCCCAATCAACGCGCACACGTGGGTCATCGAGCATAGGCCCGAACATCAGTATCTGTGGCACGGACGAGGCTGCCATCTATGCCAGGTGGCGCCACGCTCGCTCCGCGGACGTCACCCAGAAAGGCGATGGCGACTTGCCTGCTGTCACGTCGCTGACGAGCACCCGGGCGAGGCAAGGTATATAACGCCGAGTCCTGTGGAGGGAGAGCGGCAAGGTGAGTTGTACCCTTCCTGCGGCAGAGTGGACACTAAACTAACCGCACTTTACAGGTTGGAGCCCTCGTCGCAACGGGTGAGCAGGCCGTTCGCCGACGGGCATCGAGTGCGAGCCGTGGGTACGCTTGTCGTCGACAGCAGGTGAGTTTGCTCGAGGCTTGATGCCGTCTCGGGTTTCGCTCACGATGATGACCTCCTGCAGACTCTCGACGAGTACTGCGTCGATGCGGGACGGTCTCGATCGC